TTAAAGTAGGAGACAAGATATAGATTACTACTAAATACTAGAAGAATAATTATCCGAGCTATAAGCTAGCTTACTAAATAGAAGAACCGTACGAAATCCTGGAATAAGTAGGATATTTCTTTAGGCTCAAGCTTCCGGAATTAATAAGAATATATCCGGTATTCTATATAGAGAAGCTATATAAAGACCTAAGTAACTCCCTTCCCGGATAAGCAAATCCGGAGCCTCTGCTATTAGAACTATAAGACGGGGAAACGGAGTACGAAGTTCAAGAGATATAAGCAGTAAAACTGCTTTATAGGAAGCTAAAGTACCAAGTCTAGTAGAAAGAATAGGACCCAGATCCAGAATAGTATCCCGCTTCCTTATTAAGTAATAGTACCCTAGCTCTTTAGAGCTTCTATAACAAGAATCCCGAATAGCTAGGACCGCCCTAGAATCTCCCCTATTAGTTAGATTATACCAAGAATAATATATTACCGGAACCATATAATATAGACGGAAATCCTTTAAAGTTATATATAAAAGGCCCTGGCCTTTAATATATAACCTGTAACTTGGAAATTTAATAGGAACTTTCAAAGCTCGGGAACGAGCTTACTTTGAGGAGAGAGAGTAATATTACGGTTATTATAATATACGGTACTAGTAGGGGTTAGACTAGAGCTAGAGAGGCATCTGGTATCTGAATAAGGCATTTATAGTTACCTGATTATTATATATAACCCCGAGCTTAAGCTAGTATATAGGCCCGTATATAGCTTGTAATTATTTAGATCCGAGGCTCCTTTAGGATCCTCTTCTCTCTTTAGCTTTAAATTATCGAAATAAAGACAGTCTAACCACGTCTTCCAGGCCCTAGATCTTATACTCATAATAATAAGAATATGTTTTCTTAATCTTTAGCTCCCCTAATAGAATTATTTCCGACTAAAAAATAGTATTTACTAGCTAGTTCTAGTTTACTTTCTATTTTTATTTAATATATAAATAATATTTAAATATAACTTATTATTCTTAGATAAATAATTAAATAGAAAGATAAAACCAGGCCCTAAAATATTACCTAAAATATTATTATAATACCTAAAAAAAATAACTAGTTTAAGAAGTTATTTTTTATAAAATTTATATATAATAACTCAAAATATTAGGTTTTATAGAATATATCTTTCTATATATATTATAGATACTACTTTTAATTTTTATAAAATTCTAAGAATAGGATTATAAAAGAGGTACTAGCTATATATAAGAGGCTAGAAACCCTTAAAATAAAATAAAGAAAACTTAAGAATTTATAGTATTATATATAAAATAATTAGGAAACCTATTATAATAAATACTAGTTAGCTAAATATTATTCTAAAAAAGCCTAGATAATATTATTAATAAGAAATATTAAACTTAAGGCAAGAAAGCTTAAGTCAAAATTTATAGATCTATTTAGGATTTTTAAATATATTAGTAATTTAGTATATAAGTTAGAATTACTAAATATATATAATTATTTATATCTAACTTTCTATATTTTCTTTTTTAAAAAATATATAATAAAAAAGAATTAGAAGCCATATCTATATTTCTCTAAAGAACTTCTAGAATTAGTAAATAATAATAAAGAATAAGAATAGGAAATAGAAGCTATTATTAATTACTAATAAGATAATAGAAGCAAGAAGTAATAGTATTTAATTAAATAAAAAGCCTAGTCTAAAAATTATAATACCTAATTACTTACTTTCCCTAATTTTAAAAATTTTAAGAAATTTCTAAAATTATATAATTAAAATTATAGCTTAGAATCCGAAACTACTTTTTAATAATTTTATAAAATTAAAAAGAATTCTAGACTATTAAGAAAAAGGCTACTTAAAAAAAAGAGAGAATCTAGATAGCTAAGAAAAGGCCCGGAATAATAATAGAAATACTTTTTTCCTAGGTTTTTTTATTTATAAAGGTTTTTTAGGGTTTTATTAAGGCTTATAAGAATTATATTTAAATTATTAGAAAAAGATTTAGGATTAAGAAAGATTTATTATAAGTAAATTAGCTACGGGTATCTTAAATAAATAAACTCTAATTCTTATAAATTCCTAATTCCTAAAATAAGAATATTAAATACCGGCCCTATTTAGGATTTAGTAAAGAATTAGCTAATACTTTCCGGAATCCGCTTATTTCTTAATAAAATATAATTATACTATAATAATATTAGTATTAAGAATATTAAGAGAAATAAGTAAAGAACTTATAATAGCTATATATATCTTATAAAAGGCCCGAACTTCTAAAATCAGGTCCTAAATAACTATAAATATTATATTATTAGTATTTAAAATACTAGTAATAAACTATTTAGTAATCTTAGTAATAAGCTCGGTAATAAGGTTAATACCTTAAAGATAGATATTATAATATTTCTTTAAGGAATTAATAAATACCTAAATATATTAGAAAAAACTCATTTTTAGGATACTAACCCAAGTAATATTATTATCTGCCTTATTAAGACAGGAAGAAGAATTCCGAAGCTTATTAGTATTTTTCTAGTCTTTAAAAACCTAATTAATAGTATTATTCTTATTAGTATAATACTATTTAGGATATACTTTAAGAAATTTCTTAAAGATTATAATAATATCTTTCCAGAACTAGTAAGCCTCTAATAAGTAGTAAGGAATCTGAAATCGTATTAGCTTTAATAGATATTAAAGCTAAAGAACTTACTAATATATAAGACTTAGAACTCTTATTATAATAGTTATAATTCTTCTTACCAGATACTATAGTATATAAGGTAAAGGAATTAATAAGCAAATACTTGAAATATTTCAAGTATTTACTAGTAATAGGAAAGGAGGCTACGAGATTACCTTTATACTTATTATTATACGGGCGGATAATAAAGCCAGAAAAAGATATTATGGAATTAATTAAAAATAATTAAAGAAGGCTTAAAGAAGAATAAAAGAAAGGGCTAAAAGGTAATAATAGAAAAAGTTATTATATATATAGTTATTAGAAAGGAAGAGAGTATATAGTAATATAAAGAGATTCTTTTATAGAGATAGAAAACTACCTAAATTAATTACTAGTTTTCGTACTAGTCCTAATTAGAAACTAGTATAACTAATTAATATATACTCCCAGAAGCCCGCAAATAATCTCTAGGACCTCAGAAATATTCGCATGGGTTTCTTATACGAATATTTATTAAATTCTTTCTATATAGCTATTTAGATTATTCTAATACGAGATCTAACAGGTAGTATTAATTTCGTAGGATAGCGCCTTGGCACTTTGGATCGAGCTAATTAGAATACTCAGATCCCAAACGAAATCGCGATTACCGGCTAGCCCCCATACCTGGGGTATAATTACCCTTTCTTCTCGCTTACTTAGCCCTAATCTGATTAGACGATTTTTATATCCATTATCCAGATCGCATTAGTAAAACTACCTCCCAAGATACTAGAAGTTTACCTCGATTAAATAAATAATCGATTAAATATTTACCAGGATAGATTAATAGATCTTGGGGACAAGATCCTAGAAGGGGGGCATAGTTATAATGTGTATAGGGTCGCACGTAACTTAAGGGCATGTGACGAACCTCGGATATCGCGGGTATTAATCAGGGAGATCAGAGGCCCTCCGACTTCATAACCAACTACTATTTACATCATAAGTATTAGGCTTATAAATCACTAATTATATGTACGTTATCGGGGCCTCCTATTTAGAGGGGGCTTCCCTGGACCTCACAGGAGGGACAGAGATTAGTTCTGTACTGAATTTAATACTGTGGTTTCACAACACACTGATTCATTCTATTGTCTTATTGCCTACCAACAAACACCTCACAAATAGCTAGTATAAGGGCATGATCTGCCAAGGACAGGATATCGGAAACAGGTATAAAACGAAGCTAAGCCAGAATTACTTAGACGGAATAATACTAAAGGTCGAGGTATTCTCCCTACTTTGTTCCATAGCTTAGTATTTTCCAATATATAAGATTCTTTGAACTTTGAGCCTTCGACTATTACATTAATCCCGCCGTTACAGTCGGTAGCAAAATCGGCTTCTGCCTTGAATATTTTTGAAAATTTACTATTAATTATACCCACAAGCTACTTGTTCTTACGCTAGATTACTTCTAGCTAGTTACTTCTTTTCTTATATTTATCTAATCTAGTTTGTATTTAATAGATCTACAAAATATATAAGCTAATAATTATTACTTAAGTAATAATAAATATAATAATTAAAGAATCAAAATTGCTTTTTAATTCTATTAAAACCTTAATTTAAGCTCTTATTAAAGTAATTACTAAAAGGCTTACTTTATTTAAAAATCGATTTTTGCACTTGTTTCGCATATGATTTGTAGTGCTAAACGTGCTAATTTTAACAAGTAGCTTTATATATTGTAAATGGACTAATAAAGAGATCGGGCCGTAAGGGCTCAGCTGAAGAGATTTCGCAAAAGAGACTTGCGCATCATGGTGTATCCCCGGCCAGGAAACAGACCTGGTGGCTTGTGGATTTTGTCGGTGGTGGTTGGTTGAGTGTGAAGCACGAGTTGGTCTGCGGCAGTTGCAGGGTGCCGCGAATGCAAGAGCGTCTAGAAGAGGAAGTCAGCCCAGTTGTGCTGGTAAATCGAAAGGCATGGCTCACCGTGGAAAAGACATTCCCTGGTTCTGACTGCTGAAGTGACTAAGAGACCATGCCCCATGACTTGAGGTCTCAATTGGACCTTCAGAGATTTGTGAGATATGCTTCTTCCGAGAAAAGTTGTTGTTTGTGATGCTCTAGTGATAGGATTCAGGATTAGGGGTAAAGACTGATGAGCGTTGAAAAGAGAGAACCGGTCGAGAAAAGGCTTCGCATAAGTAGCTGAAGTCTCATGGTATCAAGAATAGAAACTCCAAACTGGCCGTTTTGCATCTAGGAGCGGCTGATTGGAACTTGAAGTTAGCAATGCTACAGGGAAGTAAATGCGCTTGAAGAGTATTTGGTGGGAAGAGAGAGGAATCTCACCCTATTGAGGACCTAACATGTTTGGTGCGACACTTGCACCATAGGGACCAATATTCAAAACAAATTTTGCGCGGGAAGGATAGTGTGGAAGACAAATTCCAGGGAAGTGTTCAGGGTCCGGGAGTGTGCCTGACAGATTTGTGTCTTCCAATCGTGGGCGGTCCCACTGAGCATATTCGAGATCGCTGTCGAATCTGAAATCTTCGAAATTGGACTCAGCCAAAGACTCTTCCCACAACCGAAAGTAGGCTCTGCCTTGACCCATCGGAGATAGAAGCTTTCCGAAGAGGAACATCAGACGAAACGTTTTCCTTAGGTAAACCAGAACCATGGCTCTGTTGATATAGACAGCATTCAGATCGGGCTCTTCGTTCACCGCAAGAAAAGCTTTGAAAGCGCTGAGGACGTCCACCAGTGCAGACGTAAGAATGTGCCGAGCTGACCAGTATCGAGTGGGAAGAGACGTATGACGCATAGTATGGTACAACAACAACTGAGCTTTCAGGACAGCATCATGCAAAGCAGATGCAACCTCCTTGCACAATCGTTCCAGACTTTCATTCCGGGTCTCTTTATATACCCAGACGAGGCATTTGCGATGCCATTGATCGAATTCAAGATGGTCTGTATAATGATTCAAGCGGCGCACAAGGTCCTGGTTCCTGCAGTCAAGGGGGACAATCATCTTCTTCTCCTTCTCGACATCTTTCACAATGGCCTTGAGAGGGTTAATTACATTCGTTAGGGAGGCCATGTCTTCTCTCGTCAGCATCCTGTGGCAAAACAAATATTTTCACTTACTTGAAGTTGGCATGTCTTGTAACGTGTGTGGTGGGTGTGATGACTGAAAACACATCCTTCTCTATCTTTAAAATGCTGGGACGATGGCCTCAAATACTACCGATTCCAGGCAGCATGGCGGTTCGTGTGAAGGGGTCAGGAAAACGCCTTGCGTAATTCAGGAGAGGAACAATGCTCCATTGCCAATCGATGCGGTAACCGACAGTATGGTTCATCAATATCTCAAGTTCTCGTCGCCTATGTAAAGTCACAGGCTGAGAGCTTCCGAGGGAAAGACGCCTGTCTTAGCTGAAGAATTCCCCACCTTCCCCATATTAGCTGGTTCCAAAGCGTCTATCACGAGCTGCGGAATGTAAGGAGACGAAAAACAGTGTCTGAGCGCGAGTCCACTGGGGCGTTCCCGCCAGATGTAGTTCGTCTCACTCGTAAACCTTCCTTGACTGCCACAGGTCCCAAGAACCCGGTTATCTCTCGAGTACACTTGGACCATAGCAGATCCCCGCCCTTTGTGGAATCGATATTGATCAGGTGCATGTTTCTTCAATCAAGCCACGGAAAGCCCAGCCAGGTACACTTGCCCCAATTGCGCCCTAAATTCCGGCCCCGATCACCGGAAATGAATGAAGACTTCCTGCACCTGAAGAAATTCGCTCTCCAATTAATAATGCCGCGACTCCAGGAGAGACCTCTCAGCCGACTTTCCAAGACTGCCTTGCGCTGGAAGTGCCTCCGCCTTTTTGAGATGTTAAGAGTTCCCAAATGCGTATAACGCAAAGAAGGCATTGCCTCGATGAAACCAGGCGTTATCTACGCGTAACTCGTAAGCGTTGCGGAAGTCCTGGTGGCTTGCAGTCACTGTCCGAGGCCTCATGTTGGCCTTTGAAGATTGGCTGGCAATACGATGGAGATTCTTGTCATACCTCAAAAGGCACCAGAAACTGGGTACTGAATGGCACACCTCCTTGAAATGCTACCTGGCTGCGACACCAATGAATAGGGATGCGGTTGAAGGCGAAAAAAAAAAGAAATCCTCGAGCACACCGGATTGGCGCAATCGTTGCAAGCGGTGGGATGGCCCACCAGGGTCCTGGATCGATAGCAATCATCGAAGACGAAAACCTTGGATGAAGGGGGCAGAGAGGAGAGAGGCACCGGGAAGTCATGGTGACGAGCTGAACCGAATTATTAAAAGGGGAGGATAGATCCTTCAAGGAGCTAGCTAGCCCCAAATAGCGTATACGAAGTAGGCTAGTGGGGTAGCTCGCTTAGCATCAACAGACATCCACCAGATCCACAGGGCGGAAGCAGGGAAACGAGTACGCAAAAGGAAGATGGAATCCCCGCACAAAATCACTCCAAAAACAAAAATAAGGTAGATTGCATAGTAGCAGAGAAGACACAATGAGTAACGCTACGTCAAGGTGACACCTCGGTAGCTTGAAGAACTTAAGCGAGCTGAGTCGTAGCTAAAAAAATAAAATTTGAAGCGCAAGCCTCACTACTCCCCACACACTCCCGAGACATGCACATACTCAAAAAACACCCCCAAAAATGCAAAAAATTTGCTCCCCAGTGTTCGCTCTCACTCTAAGTGGGACTCGAACCCACAGCCTCGAGATTAGAAGTCTCGCGCGCTACCATTGCGCCACTGGAAAGCTGTTAGACCAGGTAAATTGGAGTGAAACGTAGCGAACTCACTTAGAGCTTTTCAACGGTCGAGAAACCAACCATTTTAGCCAAATTTTTCCTTATTTCCTACTATACGACCAACTCCCAAACAAGCACTCAACGATCCAGAATCACATGAAAAGTGGAGCCTCGTTTTCAATTATTCTATCGCCCACAGCAGTCCATTATCTATCTCCATAAAAACATCACACCACATCACATCCTTCTGTCGTATTGCTCTGTTAATGAGTTAATAGTTCGACACGCTAATATAACTCGGGCAATTTGCGGGCGAAAGATCCGCGCGAGACGAATTGACTTAATATTCTATCTCGGTGCAAAGCTTCCTTTAATTTGATAAAAAGTTGGAAGTCTTAGGGTCTTCCTTACTCCGTTCTTATTACATCAGCCTGTTGGCTTGCACCAATCCATTGCAGCCACGGTGTCTAATTGGTGCCGACTAGTCTAAAACATGATTAGACACTAAGGCTCCTAGGTCCGCCCCAACTTCTTTGTTTTGAAGCACGATCACCTTTGCAAGGAATTTCAACTAGGAGTAGGTTCCAACGATAACATAGACTTGTAAAACCGTTCGAACATACGCCGGCAGCTTCTTGGTAGGCATGATGGCGGGGGCTATAATCGAGTTTTTTCCGGAGGCAATTCTTGCGCATTTGAAAGATCTTAGGATTTCCGTTCTCTACATGCCACCTCTTCGAGGTCTTGCGACAGCAGGTTGTTCAAATATCCGTTTACGTCCCCTTGATGTGTGGCTTTTCGCAATCCGGTCGAGCTCTATCGTAGTTCCTTCTAAGCAAATTCAAATTCTTCAAGAGGTATAAATCTTTCAAGCCAGGAGCGATTCTGCACGACTTTGCAATAGCGCGCGACTCCTCTCTGGTCAAAAAGAGAAACCTTTCCATCACCGGCCGTTCAACCCTTTATCTCTTCTCAAACCAATTTGAAGACAATATCAAAAGTCGGAGCTCCCTTCGGAGATGAGCTCTCCGTTTTCGCCATTCTCCCGTTAATGAAAAGCATTTAATTTCACTGCTGTTCCTCTCGCCACACTGCAAATATCGGCGTCACAATGGACTTGTTAAAGGCACTAAAAGCGAAGGAGCTACTGCTAGAAAGACGAAGGCTTTGTTCGAAGTCACTAAAGTTTCTGCAAAGTTGCACAATCTCGTGCAGAAGATTGACATTCTTATTTGGGGCCACAGTGCAAAGAACACGATAACAGACAAGACACCATACGCGCAGAGTTTGAATTCGTTGTCCAGTTTTTATGTAATGTCACGAAACTGAAAGATATCTGGAATGAGGTGACCATTATTGAGCATACAAAGACATTCGTGTCTGTTTAATGGGTGATGATGATATAGAGCATGGATAAAAAGCCAGTAACTCAATATCCGACAACTTCTGTTCACATGCTTGACTTAAGAACTTAAGGCTTGGGCACTTTGGCAGCGGAAGCAGGGCAACTTCAAGCAGAATTACGTTATCTGGCTATTAACTTGGTTGACATTGGTCTGTCCCAGCACCATTGCTGTCTGGCCAAGCTATGAACGCGATCCTGCTCCACTGATTGACAAAGATCAAACAATGTGGTGGTCAGATGTTCAATTTCTCAACACTTTCGATTCCAGCAGCATGGAAGTTCGATTGACTTTTAAGTTGATTAAGGGCCATCGAAATTTGTTTGGACAGCAGATTCCACATGGATCTCCTTACTATTGACAGTACAAGTTCATTCAAATGTCTTCAAAGTTCTGGAACGTCGAAATCCGTCTCCAAAACAGGTGTCCAAGTTTATTACTCGGGAGTTGGGACATTGAAATTCACGTCTCCTTTTTTGTCCACGGTAAGGGAGGTTCGTTCCTGTGATCTGGCTCTCAATCCAGGCTGTTCCAGCACTAATTGTGTCCAGAATATCATCCCTTCTCTAAAGGCTGTTGATCCTGCAATTGCTCAACATATATATTCCAAGTGAGATACCCCGCATTTTCTGCAAGCAATTGCTTCAAACCAGTAATTAAACATTTCTTGAGTCTTCGAATCACAACCTTGAAAACATACCTCACACAGTGAACTCCTGCACCAAATGTGCGGCCAACAAAGCCATTGGTGGTATTTCTTTCATCCACCACTTCGACTTTCAATCTCGTGGACGTCATCAAGTTGTTCGACTACTTTTAGGTGTAATATTGTTCCCGTAATTATTCAGAATTGGGTCTGAATTTTCTACAGGAAGCCGGTGCAGCTTTTCAGGATATCTGATACAGCTTCAACGAATAGCCAAAACACAAGCGCAAAGACCCTTTTGCAGAGATGGACCCAACAAGAAACATTCAAGTTATCGAGATGCCTGGTGGAAAGATTGTTACGCAAAGCTATGTGATTCTCAGACATTGGGGTATGCAATTGGGTGCCGTTGACGGTAAAGAGGATGAAGAAAAGTATTGGGCTGACGCTATCTGCGATATAGTCATTGGTTGTTAGTATACTCTGAATGAGACGGAGGTTACGTGCTGACCAATTTCGAAGGGCGAACACTGTTCACTGCAGCCTTTTTCTCGGACAATCAGAAGGTTGATTATCCAAAGCATCAACAGGGTGACCAAACAATCGATTTTTGAAGACCATCGAAACTCACTTTCAGGGCTTAGAACTCTCCAAGAGAGGTCCTTACGTGATTTGAAATGAGATCACCTATGCGGATTTGGTTCTTTCCCAATTGTTCCTCGATGAGAACTTAATTCAGGATGGACCAGGGATATCCAAGGTTGATTCAGTTAGTGGATGCGGTTCGGAACAGAATTAACATCAAGAAGGTTTTCAACACTGAGGCATATTTTGGTTGAATAAAACTCTATGTCAGATCATTCAAAGAATTGATACAAGTTGAATATCAAAAGTTGTGTCTCCTGTCAAGGTTGCGTGACGAGACTTGTATTCAAACTCAACAAGCAATTTTACAACGATAGTTCGTGATGACTTTTCGTGTCTCAACCTGGTACTCAAAAACATCAAATCTCTCTAAAATCTCCCTTCATAGGGATAAACGGAAAGCCAAAGAATCCATGGGGAGTTGCAGACTGTCACGTGCAGTGAAGACTGGCGCTAAACGAATTCAGGGAGCTGAGAAATATTTCTTAAGATTGACAAGAACAACAATCCCTCCACCGCCTTCCCAACGCCGGCCACATCTGCGCACGTCCCCAAAGGCCCATACTCCAGTCTTTCAATTGGAGTGATTGCTCTCGATTTCTCAGCCACATCCTGTCCATGGCCTTCTTCCAACCCAACATGGCCGAACCTCAATCGACTCGAGCTCCCCAACCTTCCACGACCTCCGAATCAGAGTCTGCGTTCTTCTCACCACGGTCACGGCGTCAATTGAGTCTCTTTGCAGCAGGAGTTGGTTTCTTTGCACTATCTACAGCCATCACACGACGTTCGATCGTGCGGCGATACAAAGCAACAGCCCCCAAATTCTACCAACCCAGCAATCAACCAAATTCAAATATCAATGGTGCGATGGAAGCATTTGAAGCTCTAAACATTGCTACGGTGAATGTGTTCAGTGTGGGAATGATGGTCACTGGGGGATTGCTATGGGCTTTTGATATTGCGTCGTTAGATGATATGAGGTCGAAGGTTCGGACAAATCTAGGGGTGGATCCCATACGAACCGATCAGGATGCGGAGGATGAGATTGAGGAATGGTTTGCGTCTGTGCTTGCCAGGAAAGAGTTCAAGGCTCTGCGAGGAGAGAAGGGGATCAAAACGAAAGACGATGAGGACGAGAAGAAATCATAAGCTCTGTTGTTAGATCAGACATTGCAGATTTTAGCCCCAGGAACACGCGTTGCTCCTGCAAATGGAAGGGTGCGATCTGCAGAAGAAGTCTCCGCTACCCGTTACTGCAGATAATGGTTTTGCAAGCTGTCACGGTTCGGGGGACGGGAACTTGGAAGGCCAGGAAAGCCACAACAACTCTCTGCTCATACAGGGTACTGTCTGCATACATACACCTGCGTGGGTTTGGCCTTGACTCTCCAGGGATTAAAAAGGCGGCCCCCCTTCAGCACGGATGCTGAATCCAATGTAGGGTTATCACTTCAAGCATCGAAGAAACCACAAAACTTGATGCGAACTTTGGATTGTGATCATGGTCTCGGCAATCGTGGAGATCAAATATGGGTTATTACCGAAAACAGAGGGTCATGCATTAGTGACTGGCAAGACGGCCACTCAGCAGGTCGTATTCCGACAGTCTTCTGTTCAACACAACAGTCACCACTTGCAAAACTTACTTGCTTTTGAGAAGTCTCAGGCTCCCTGCGAAAGAGTGGTTCCTTTTTTTTTTTTGTGACGGTCAGCACAACCTTCCGCGACTGGTCAAGTGTCTCTGTTGGACTTCAGTGCAAGGGTATGTACTTTTGGTCCTATTGGCGGGACCGGATTCCTGAGCTGTTTTGCAAGACCGAACCAGGTTGTTGGGTCCCGAAGGACAAGAAATCGTACTAAGGATCTGCCTATAACCATGATATTTTTCTGTCGTATTTCTTTCAATGCGGTCCTGCCGCTCCCTCCGAGAGCGTACCACTTGCTCTGGCCTCGGTTGCCCAAATTGTTATGGACCTTTGACCAAACTCTAGATGCAACTACCCGCATGTTTTCGTGATGATATCCAACCAAATGGATATCCAAGATTGCAAAGTTGAAGTACGGAAATATGTCCTCGTCTCCCAGCCGTCCCGTTGGAAACAAAAGGGCGAGCGAGTTGTGGTCCAGTCGCCAATGCTGAAGATTTCAAAAACAGTCTTGGATGTTCCCGTCAAACGCTTCAACGGTGAAGAAGATAATTCAGTCTGTTTCATTCCAAAACAGGACATCGAGAAGGATTCAAACAGTATCTACAATAATGCAAAAGTCAGCACGGCCACGAAGTGGGTTGATGCTCATGGGGTAGCCTTGTTTGACAGTTCGCCTTACGATAAAATTGCATACGCACGGGGAGATACATTTTGGATTTGTATAGGAGTCAATACCAACGGCTATGGCGAAACCGTCCCCGTCATAAATCTACAGACATCTCACAAGGGCGATATTGGGATTGACCAAGTGTGCTGGTTCCCAAAGATCCAAGGGCCAAATGTCAGTATTCCCACTTTATGTCAGGAGCGGACCTGCTAATTCAATCCAAGGGAGAACTATGGACTCTCGGAGGGGGGGCTCGACAGCTCAAGCTATCTGGTAGAAAGAATTATACTTACTTATCCTGGGCCATTTGCCAACGGCTCGATGACTCTGTAGCGACAACCAAGAATGTCGAGATACCCACAAAAGAGGTCAAAATGGAAGACAGACGGCAGCTCACCATTTTTGAAGCGAGGTCTCTATTCAAGAAACGATTGCGATATATGGAAGGAGGCGTTGCAGATGAGGCAGACCAAACCGAGCAGAGCAAAAGCCAATCTTGTTCTCCTGCAGACTATACACTTCGACATCGGAGCTCTCTTTTGCCCACACCACCTGTGTCACCCGACCAGCAACTGTTGCAACTTCAACAGCTCCAGCAACTTCCAAAGAAGATCGTGATTCTCACCCGTCAACATCAACGTCATCTTCTTGCTCGTCCATGGCGGGGAATCTTCGAATTGAGCGATCCCATGAACTGCAAATACGTCCTGAGAAACACCTTAATCCACCCCCAACAATTAACTCAATCCCGTGCTGAAATACACCCACATCCCCTCCCATCCACAGAAATTTATTCCGAAGACATAGACGGCTCAATGAACGACGACTTCTCTACTCGTTCTAACACCCGCTCCTCATCATCACCCCCATCGCCCAACCCAGCAAACGCCATGGACGACCTCCAAGGCGCCCACCTCCTGCACGAAATCTGGCGCGAGGAGAAAGAGAAAGAGAACCTCCGCGGCTCCTCAGACATAGACTCCGGCTTCCCCGACGACGCCGACATTTATCTGGATGCCGCGTCTCCCCGCGAAACATGGGAAGCTCACAGACCGCATGCCGCGGAAAATAAAATCTTGACGGAGAAGTGCAGTGAGAGCGAGCCGTGGTGTCCGTATACGCGCTTATCGACGAAAATGCATTTTCACTGTCCGGAGGAGAAATGTAGGATCTCGCGACCTTCCTCTTCTTCCTCCCGAATACCGCAATCGCAAGATGGGAGAGAAGGAGGGGTTGGACAAGAGCATGAGCATTGCGTCTCCCGGCTCGGCCCGTACCCGGATTCAGCGGGCGAGTGCCATCTTCTTAATACTCAGCTTGAGGAATTTAGGGATCATCGGTGTTGTGAATGGGATGAGAAGGATCTGGCTACTATCACTGTGAGAGGAAGACGTGCGTACGAGATGAGAAAGACGGAGGAGGTGAGGAGAATGGGAGGAAGGGTTTTTGATCGGAGGGGGGAGATTTGGGGGATAGGGGTTGGTGGGTGGTTGGACATAGGGAGGGGAGTAGAGGTTAGCGATTTTGTGGATGATCGGGGGAGGGAGTTGCTTGAGCAATTGCAGACGGGTGGGTTGGATGAGGCTGTGAGGGGGTTGGTGTGTGGGCGCTCACGAGCAGGCCGTGTTGAGGATGTGGACGTGGACGTGATGGATCAGTCGGACAGTGAGTATGATTCGGATGAGGACTTGTATACAGATTTGTGAGTTTGTTGGTTAGTTGTGCGTTTGAGCGAGGTGTCAGGAGTCTGTCTCTTGTCGTGAAGTGTTGGGGTGTGTTTGGGCCTTTGCATGAGAAGGCTTTCTTTCAGATGGCCAGGAAAGTCGGAACGGAGTTCAGCATGAGCAGCTGAACCCCATAACCGTGTGTTGGCGTGTGTTTAGCTTAAGTCTTGATGTGAAAGGCTATTTTTTAGCTGGTCAAAAGTTCGGAACAGAGCTTAAAATAAGCATCTGGACTCCATAGCCTGTCCAAAGTGTCTCCAAGTTTTCTGAATTCAGATCAGTATCCCCAGCGATTTGAATGACGCTTCACTTCACCGGTCTCAAAAAACGATGGAATAAATGGCTAGACCAGCTCATTTTCAAGAGCAAGTATCTTGCATGCTTCTATCCTATCATATATACAAGCCTCCTATATGGCTTCTTTGATTGTGCAAGTTCCTTCCCTTCTATCAGCACTTCAATCAATTATTCCACCCAGTTCAAATCATCCACCAAATGCATTACTTTCATCAACGCCATCTCATTATGCAACGTCTTCTCTTGGCTCTTTTCATCCCACACCCGGAGATGGATACTCTCTATCCAGCCCCAAACCTCCACTCTCCTCAAAACTCCCCCTTCTCCCCCAATTTCTCGGCTGCCTCTTCAAAAATGCGCCAACCGCGCCAAGATACCCCTCATGCCTTAGAAAATACGCCTTCTTCTCGCCATTACTCCAGAATTTGATAGCATACGATAGTGTATTCATCGTCTGACGATGACCGCGGATGAAAGACCCGCCAAAGTAGATGGTTGAGAGTGAATGTTTTTCAGATTGCAGGTAGGCGATTTGCCCGATGTTGTTGGAGATTGCGTACAGGAGAGAGCGCGAGATGTCTGGGGCGGAGAAGGGCGGCGCTTTTGTCTCTGAGGAAGGATGAGGGTTGGTCTGTGATGAGGATGGGGGATCGGAGTCTCCGTTTGTAAGGCCACCGCTGTCTTCAGCTTCACGCTCTGCTTCTCTTTTCATCCGGAACACTTTCCCGAATGAGCTTGCAATCGTGCTGCTCTTTAAACCTATTTTTCCATAGTCGGTACCATATATATCTCCAACCAACATATCGACCTTCGCATTATCTCCGCGCTCAGCCATACCCAGCATTTCGTCGAAAGTCCTCGAGCCTGTGAGCAGTGAGAGGAGACCCCAAAGTGTGCCACCGCCTAGAGAGGTACCGCCTACTCGTTGGTAGGCCCGCGGTCCGGAGACTTTTATCATGGACACGCCGGATCCGATGTTCACGAGCAGGTAGGGGTAGATATCTGACCGAGGTTCTTCGAAGTGCATTGGGTCTGTTTCGCTGTAGGTGAAGACTTCGCGGGGGATCTCGGTGATGAAGAAATCGAGGCCTATCTCCTGTTCATCAGCAATGGTACCAATTGGAAACATGGGATAAAAGGCGTAGTAAGGTCAACATACCAATGATTAGACATTCCATCTCATCTTCCCGTAACACATCTACACCAAGAGCCTCGCGTATCTTGTCATAGTACTTGTATGCCCCCCCTCCCGTCGCCATAACACACAGTTCACCGGGTCTCGAGCCATTGAGCTTCTGCTGCTTGATCTTCAGCTGTTTCATGAACTCTACGCAGTCGTCTATTCGGTCGGTCTCGAAGTTCATGAAGTTTAGACGGCCGCCCGGCTCGCGGGACTTGGGTTCTCGGGAGAAGTAGACGAGCTTGGCTAGGGAGCCTCCAATCTGCCATTGTCATCAGCGGGCCTGATTGTGGAAAATAGAGGATAGAAGCATACATCCACCGCAATATGGCTGACCACTGCGGTGTGGTTCGGTAATCTGATATCCTTTGTGTCATGACTGCCCCCGTTCGTGCTCCCATTCACATTTGTCGGTGAGCTCGAGTCCTGATCAACGATGAATGCCCCGGTGACGTTTATCTTCACAGATCCAGGATGTGTGATGGTGCTGTCTATCTCCGCAGTGTTCGTTCGCATGCGGAGGGGCTTCGAGCTAGAGGAGGGGCTGGCTGGCACATCGTTGCTCCGCACACGAGACAGCTCGTCCGTCTGCGTCGTATCCGCAGACATGACGGGAGGTTGCTGGCTGTTGCCAGAGGGACAGGAGGTCTAGAGAAACATCAATGGGTTGGGGGAGGAGAGTTGTGAGTAATCAATCCTCGCGCGGTCAGATTATGCTGGAGCTGGTCAAGGCATCCATCCATCCATCCATCGGTTCTGGTCTGCTGTGTTGCCGAGACGAAACTTTTCTCTATCGATAAGCCCCGAGGCCCCCTTTGCCCGAGGTTGTCTGTCAGAGCTGGCACACAACGAGCGAGGAACGTTACTATGTTGCATTGCATCGGCTTAGGCGTAAGTGGCGGAGAGAAGGGGTACAACACGTCGATCGGTTGGTTGGGTGACTGGTTGTGAGCAGTGATTGCGTGAAGATGAGGACTCCTGGCTGTTGGGAGAGGTGGCTGGGAAAAAGGCGTGAGAGGTGAGATCCCACCGGGAAAACATTTCCCATCTGCCTATTTTCATTCTCATCCTTGTTCGCAATCGCATTATTTGTCTCAGCCATGCAACCTTCAGGAAGTCCAAGAAGCCTTGAGTTTGGTCCGGTCTCTAGACGTGGACAGCGTCGTGCGCGTCCCGGCTCAACCGCAAAGTCCTCGATTTCAGCAAGTATCAAACATGAGCTTTCCTTTTTCGCTTCGTGCTTTGCGCTCTCTGCCAAGATTAGATCTTGAAGGCGCCAAGCGACAGCAGTATGTCATCGTCAAACATGGCGCTGCGATCTTTGAACGAAAGACATGGGAGTATCATGCTTCAAAACCACGAGCATCCCAACTCCACGGTCTTCCTCAGGGCAAACCGCTTCTCCAGGGCAATCGCAAACCCCACACGCTCCACCTTGCTCATCACCTCATCTCGGGTTCTCGCGCCGATATCATTGTGCGAACAATGATCCTATAAAAAGACGATATGCCTGCACTTGAAGCGTTTCACGTTGCGGTTAAGCTTATTCCATCAATCCAACACGAACCGAGTTTCAAAGTCCGGCGGATCCCGGCCCTCCTATTTCGACTCACGTTACAACCAAGGAAGGTGCTTCATGGCCGCCGGGGGATCGACGCGGGATCTAGAATGCGGGATCTCTTCAAGTACCCGTTGAGCCTCTCCCTCGCGATGGATCTTCAGCTCTTCCGGAAAGTCGGCTCCGGCTTTTCACTCTCAACACACTCCTTTCTCTTTGGGCGGGCCCTGATTTCAGACGACCTTCCTTTGCGTTGCAACATATACCCAGGAGACGTTTGATTTCTCCCTACATCTGAATCAATACCTTTCCTTCCGTTATCTCGATATGCGTCTAAAGCAATATGAGCAAACGACCTTCTCGTGGCCCACGCGACGAGCACAACGTTGTCTTAGCTTTGCAGTTATATTTGCGTAAGTGATGACTCCTCCTTGACCTTTGATGCTTTACTCACAATTCAACAGCATAATCTTGATATTCGGCATCTATGAGCACCAAGCGTACCCAAGGAAAGCAGAACTTCAAGTCGACACTTTGAACGCGGCGTATCACTACACCTCCGCTCCCGAAGATGGCATGCCACGTCTCCCTTTCGAGAATACCAGCAAGCGAAAGGCTAACGAAGAGCCCTGTAGGTGTTGGGGGAGAAACCCTTTCCTATTACGGGCTGTTTCACGACTTTCTCCTAAGACAATATCCTCTCCCGAAACAATCTTAATCTAGCAATGCTAACTCCCCCGTTACCCAGGGTTCTGGTACGATGAATAGGCCACCCAGCAGGACACTCGCAAAATCGACAAAAGAACAAGAAGATTGGAACACTCATTAGACTTCACTTGATAGACTCGGCCGTTTCGGCTAGGCCACGGCGTATCTTGGGATGTGCATTGCATGGAATTTGATTCGATGATATCCCTAGGCTTATAAGCCACCTGTTTTGGTGCTGGTGCACAATACATACATTCTTGAACATACTTAGGCTTTAGCGGAGCTGAATATAGGCTTGGAGGAAGGTTTTTATAGAAAGGAGGTCGCGTGTCTGGTTCGATTTTGAGGAATAACTTTCATCCATCTAGTGCTTCAAGGTCTACTTTTCCAAGTGGACGTACCCAGAAGGGCCGTCATCTCGAAATAGCCCTGGCAAAGTTGCTTGCAAGTCCCAATCGCTTCTTTCTAGTATTCCCGTCTGGAATCTTCTTCATCCGAACGTTTACCCTCCCTCTGCCTTTACAATCGTGAAATTACCGGACATGCCTGGGTTTTGTCAGGGCCACTTCTGGCTGTTCGTGTGAAACACGCCGATAGTGGGAAGTTTCCATCTGGGATTTCGAGTCCCGCAAACGTTTACAGGCTATTCATGAAGAGCCAAGCGCGACCCCGGAGTCCGGCAACGCACATTTGGAATTGGATGACATTCGTGATATACACGCAATTACACCATCTGTTCTGTGCTTCTATTTCATCTGTGCCACGATCTTGCACTCTCTCGAGACCTGTTTCTTGATGGCCAGGCCGCGCTTCTCGGCAGGCTATCTTGAGTCTCGCCAGCGTTGTTCCGTTTAACCTCCATATTGTATACTCTACACAACACGCGGCTAAGTGACGCCCTTATGTCACTACCGTGGAACGTACCATACAGGTATCGTCTGCTCGAAACCTTGCTCCCTGAAAAGTCATTTGACAAGACGGAGCTAAAAGCCATCTCTGTCACTTCGGCCTGGTCGGGAGAAGATGCTGTCAAATAGCTGCCAGACAATATAGGAGAGCCCAGATTCCCTGCAACACCTTCTATCTCTGGTGGGTCTTACCGCACACTTGTGGGCCACGTGGTCGGATGGGTGGATGGATAATGGCAAAGGGAAACTTCTATAGGTTAATGAGGCAAGGGGACTTAACGCAGGAAAGCATTAAAAGAGTGAAGCACTTAAGCCTTGACGGCCTTGTTACCTAGTGGAAGGGCCTTGATCCCTAAATCCGTCATGGTTAGTGGTGTTCTTTGGTTGTATTATGGGGAGGCTGTTTCAACTTACATCCATCGACGGTCACTGGTACCATTTGTTGCTTGGTGCATGCGTTATATTGAGGAGAAGTGTGCTTGTGGATTCCTGCCTTCGTACAATCTTTTGTCGAGGTTGCAGGCATTGTCCATCGCCAGTTGAGGTTGTTCTTCCAGCCGAAGACGTAATCGCCATGTGCTGCAGCTCCGCTAATAAAATGTTAGCTTGCATGACAGGAGATCCAATGGTTGGGGAGTCCTTGCCCCCAGTTCATGCTGTAGACGAATAGGTTCGAATCCATGGGCCATTGGCTCTTGTCCGTGAACGTCGAACCGTTCCACGTGAACTCATACATGATTTGAGGAAGCTTGACCGGGAAGGCTGGGGGCAAGCACCACCTCCGCTGGCGTAGCCTCTGAGTAAGCGACGTGGGAGGTGTGGTCTGGCGAATCGAGGTTCTTGCCGTCCCAGCATCTGAGTTGGGTGTGAGTCATTTATGCGAGAAAAGTCGGAGTAAGCGTGCAACTTACGTTGGGAAAATAATTGTTTAATGGATCATTTTGCACTTAGGATCCGCCGGGATATCCACGGTGTCGCTACTGGAGCAAGGAGCACCTCCCACAAAGTTGTTGTCGTTCGTGGATATCCAACAACGATGGCAAATTGCCTGCTTATTTACCTTGGCGTTGTTTGAGTCGACGGCGCTTCCGGCAATCATATTAACACGAACCCCATCCGTATCTGATGAGAATCGTTTATTGGCTTGAATGCCGTAACCTTGCCGCTGGGGATATAATAAACATTGAGACCATCCTTGTTATCAAGTTGACATTGTGGCTCTCCATTTCCGACTTGAGAGACTCGTGTATAAGTGCTATTTTTTGACTTAAAAAAACATAACTACTGTCCGGTAGTTGGAGAAGTCCTCCTTGAATGAGCAAGATGTGCAGGGGGACAGGCCGGGGAGATCGTGGGTTGCCGGGTCCATGGTCAAGTTGAACGAGTTCCCTCCAACGATCTGATGAAGATGCGCTGCGGATGGTGTTCCTGGTTAGACGATGGGGTCGACACGGTCGACAACCAGCTGTGAACAGGCGAAACGAAGCATATTTCCTTGTGCAGCGGCGTTGTGCGTCGGCACCGCGGTTGCGGCGAGTTGGACCAACATGATGACGCTGGGCAAGACTCTTTCTTGGTGTTGTCGATTATCGATATCTGAGACGGTAAAAGAAGAGATGAAGGAGTCGAAGGGAGGAATGGTGTGACATGCTTATAAGTTTTCTGTAAACGACTTAGCTTCTGGCGTAATAGGTAGTTACAGTGCCGGTGGGAGTGATTGCCGAAGATGGAAGACTTTGATAGTTAATCTCCACTCTGGGGTACAACATAATGATTGGATGGGATCCGCTCAGGCATTGACCGACTTTATTGTAGCGCTCTCGAAGAAACTGCCACTGCGTCGATGGATAATCGTTCGTTTAATGGATTTATATTCAGGCCCAGAGGGAGCAGGTGTAATAGGGGCCAGTTTTAAGCGGGCTGATAGGCAGTTTTGTTTACTCTCCTCTGCCCCTGTTCAGGGTTGATTAAACGAAGAGGGTTCCCGTGCTGACAGAGGCAAATGTGTGTGGGGAGAGCGGCTTAAATGCGGGGTCCCCATAATAGGGACCACGTTTTTGTGAGGGTTTTGAGGCTCAGGGGCCAATCGCCTCCGTGTAATACCTTACCCCTGAACGTGGCAGGTCACGGTATATTTCCGCCGACATACCCGCAAAAGTAAAGAAAAATTTCCCAGCCTGTTCAGGTGCGATGCGGCCTCCCCCAGATATTTCATCTGGAAGGTCCTAGTGGAAACTTCTACATACTGTAGCCTAATAGCAGCTGCGGTAATGCCTCAGCTTTCGCCTGATCCTATTCGTTGCTTTGGCATCCTTGATGCCCTCCCCGCATCCCCCCTTGCTAAAGAGATGGACACAGACCCAACCTCCACGACGGAAAAGCAGTCGTTATACCAAATCGAAGATATATCCTTCGGCTGGCAAGGTTCCTCTCTGAGTTAAGGTCATATTATCCTTCTCTGATGTCCTTGCGTCTTTGGGTGCGCCTGTCTTTGCTGATTTCGGGCACATGATACTTACGAAGGGATTAGCTGGGAGCCTCTTCAGATACCGACACCATGACGAGGGTACGTATTCATGGTCATATAAGAGCGGCTTACAACCGTCCGTCTTTGCATTTACTTCGAGTTCTTCGAGAAGTAGAGTTTGAGGACGGAGACCTATGGGTGGGAAGTGGGCATCGTCGTTGGAGGTATAGCGAATCCGACTAAGGCGCCTGGCGCATAATAAAGAAGAATATGAATTTCAGCAAGTTGTTGGAATAGGGTGGTTGATTAGGTAGGTCGGGGTATTTGGACGTAATTCAGAATGTAACCTCAATTTTTCCTTAGAAGTCCACTCGGACAGTCGATCCCCCCCAGAAAAAAATATGGCAAAGTCCTCCTCCTCCGTCTCATGGATAACCTCCTCCAGAGCTTCCTTGCAAGAAGCAAGACACCATCAAGACTCACCTTCCGGCCACTATACCGAGGTCTCTTAGAAACTCTTCGATTTTCTAAGCAGAACACTCAGGGACTCTCCGACACATGGACACCATAACCAATAGCGCAAACCGGAGGAACCTTAAAGCAAGGCTCACGCTTGAAAGCAAGTATATTCTCTTTTCCTAGCCAGGCCCCAGTGCTATGCCACACAAACCCAGCCCAATATAATACACGCCAAATGGCATGACCAGATGCGCCTACCATTCAACGTCCTTCTCCGGAACTGCCCTCCAAACCTCGCGCATCCAACTAATTCAAACCCCTCGCCCCATTTCCTAAGCGCCGCCCACCAGAACATTATTGACAGGAATGTGTACTGCAGAAGCATCAATGGACGGCTCTATTGCAACACAGATATCAGGGGAACGTACTTAATTTCACAAGATAACCAACTGCGCCCATTACAAGGAATCCAACTCCAACGGCTTGACTAATCTTAATGAATTCGCGTCGATCAGCTGTGGAAGATAATAGTCAGCAGATGCGCTTTCAATGATTAGGTCTCGTGTCCAATTCTTAAAACCTGAACCCGCAAACAACAGTTTGAGCTGCAGATAGGGGGCGGAGAAAGGGGCTTCGTACGCTTTGTGCATCTGTTCAGGAATTGCGTGCCTTCTTTGAAGAAATCCCTTGGGATGTCGAGGAATTCTTGGATTTGGTCGGACATGGTTGCGATTGTGGGGTTGGTATTGGGAGGAAGATGGAATTAGGGGTAGTATCGTAGGGCAAAATCTAGATTCTTTGGAAGCTCGAAGGAGGGTGGTCGAAGAGGTGAAGAGTGCGGTGGCTGTTCTGAGGAAACCGTGGTCTTGAGAAACCCATCGAAAGCTCTCCAAATTTGAAAGGAGGCGGATGGACGAGGCCAGATTTCGTCACGTGGAGACGGGGTTTACCTTTGGCGCTAAGCCGAATAGAAAGCTCAGCTCAGGCGGCCAGCTCCCCCCGACCTGGATCGTGAACTCGTCACTCTCAACCAACGACGGAATTCTCTTAGTCCTTCATTCACCAACCTGCGCGCCATCTGCGACTTGCCTCTCGCAACTCTACTCGACAGTGCGCGATCTTTTCTAGGAGGTGAATTGGTCGGCGAGGCTCTGGTCAGGTTGTGCGAAGAAGGGGGATTTGGCTGTGCTCTTCTTACCACGATTTCACTTTTCAATTCGAGGCTGTTGTTACAATTTGGGACTTCTGGAATTCGCTCACTTCAGAGAATATTCACATTCAAAGTTCCCTGTACGGAACGGATCTTCAAGATTGCAAGCATAGAGCTTCATCTTCCATCTCCATTGTGTCTGCATCTGCCAAAGAAGGCTATCAGACTTGAGCTCAGTTCAATTTGGTTTCAGGAGTGTACGTATTTGTATTCTATCCCATGTATCGCGAAGTTGGTCGACGTCCGCGCGTCGAGACTCAGTAGGCTGCTCCCATGTTTCCAGCGCTGATCTCAGTTGTCCTTAGCTCACAGAATCCAATTACTGTTAATATCAAGACAATACAGAAGAATATCAACACTTTGAAGATTCAAGTTCTTCTCCGCAGGGTCAATAATTGAAGATTCTAGGTGTTCTTGGCGACTACCACATTCACCATGGCTGACGACGAGTTCGACATCGACATCTATGGCGACACCAACACCGAACAGGAGACAGAAGGCACTTTGAAAGAAGATGAAGAAGGCGACATGAATATCGACGGTCTTGAATCAGTAAATGGCCACGCTGCCGAAGCCAATGGACAGAAGCATGAAGAAGAGCAAGAAGATGATTACGTCGACATCAAGACCGGTAACGATATACGAGACCAGTCGATGAGCGAGCAGCAAAAGATCAAGAGCACCGATGAGTCCGGAGCTGATATCCTCACTATCCCCAAGCAAGCCCCACAACAGCAAGGTGTCAAGAGAAAAGAAGGTTCTGATGATCGAGATGTTGACCCTGGAGCGACAACTGCGTTGCTGATCTCAGATCTGCACTGGTGGAACACCGACGATGATGTTCGTGGCTGGGTCAATCAAGCGCGGGTTGAGGATGAATTGAAGGACATCACATTCTCGGAGCACAAAGTCAATGGCAAAAGCAAAGGGTGCGTTCAAGATCCAATCTTTCTCCCGGAGATCGCATGGCTAATCTGATTTCTATCACAGACAAGCGTATGTTGAGTTCACATCGCAACAAGCAGCCACTGCGGCCAAACGACAGATCGATGCCTTTGGAGAAGGGGTTCCGTATGCGAAGAAACATTCAGTTACATACTCGAATCCTAACATCAATCCCTTCCGAACACTGCCGAAAGATGCCCCTATGCGAGCTGGCAAGGATGGTCAAACTAATCGAGCACCTTCTGGAGGATATAACAATGATCGTGGTAACTCAGGAGGGAATTTCGGGGGGAATTTCCGTGGACGAGGCGCTGCTTATAACAATCGCGGCAATATGAACAACAACATGAACAACTTCAACCGAAATAATTCCTTCAATCCTGGTATGGGCAACATGGGCGGTGGTTTCAATGCTCCCATGGGAGGCTTCCCTGGAAACCCGATGGGCGGAAACTTCGGAGGATTCAATAATCGTGGTGGCATGATGGGTGGCATGCGAGGCGGTCCTGGAATGAGAGGCAGAGGGGGCATGAATAATATGATGGGCGGAATGCCCATGGGAGGTATGCCGATGGGTGGAATGGCTGGAGGTATGGGCGGTATGCCAATGAATATGAGCCAGATGATGCCAAGTAAGTTTCACTCCTTTATAAATTACTCGAGGGATGTGCCGAACACTTGTATACCACTTCCGCTGGACTGTACTCCGAAACCGGTTCTAGCAAAGCCATTAAAGCTGTAGCTGATGACAAGCAGATGCTGGTGGATTCCAGGGCATGCAACCCCACTTCAACCCGGCTTTCTTCCAACAAAATCAACCAGCCGGAGGTGATTGGCAAAATCCACACGGAGCCAAACGACCACGGCCAGAGTAAGGTCTTCAGAACCCTTAACTTTCTCTCGATATCTTCGAACTATAAGTTGACATTCGAGCTAATGATTTCTGGCCATGGATCTTACATGCATTGGGGGGCTAACTATGGGGCGTTGGGTTGAGCGATCTCGTTCTTGAGATGATGAATCTTCCTCGTCACTGTAGTTCTCAATATTATGTATTATAGATGGCGTTCAGATGCGTGAAAAAGCGTGCATTCTGTGTTCTGAATACGAATTTCGTCTCTCGTCTCAGTCTCTTCTACGCTCCTTCCGTTTGATGGAGAGTTTCCCAGTCATTTTCCATGCTACTCGCACTTTTTGCACGCAGGTCGTTCCTGCCATGTCAGTGAGACGCCGTGCTAAGAAAATTGCTAAGTGGCGAGTCCTCTCCAAATCAATTTACCATTCTTCTTCTCACATTGAGTTGCAATAGTCTTACATATCTCTACAAGAATTCTAGCAAACAGCATCCTCAAGACATTGATACGTTTACGAAGCAACCCCGTCACCTCACAGGCCGACAAAATGGGCAACCGCTTCTCCTCGAACTCCACGGGCGGCTCCGCTCCCAATGGGGATGTTTCTTCCATTACTGCTGCCGGGGATAATAGCTATGGATCTGGAGCCACGCACCATATCCGTGACATTACAGCTCGATGCGTTCTCTACCCCCATTCTGCCGATTCATGTCCTTGGCTCTACACACCTGGGCATGGCATTTTCCCTCGAAATGTTACCGACCCAACTGGCAGAGTACTCATCGAAACGAAACCCTATGGCATCGCGAGATTCCATCATGGGGCATGGATTGGGATGACTATTCTCGCAGCAGCGTTATTGATCTTATGTGCACTATTCGCTGGCTTGACATTAGGAGTCTGTGGTCTCGATGCGACATTGCTGCAGCTGAGATGTGTTACGGGAACACCCAGAGAAAGGTATGAGGCTACTCTTGGTGCAAGAATTAACCAAGCTGACAAACTTTCAGGAGACAAGCATGTATGGTCTTTGGAATGAAGCGTCGTGGTACTTGGATGCTATGTGAGTAGTACCGACGGATATCAAGTGCCTCTGCTAACATTTTAGGCTCTCTCATCATATGCGCAGTCCTATGTGGCGAAACCTTTCCATTCGTTATATCGACTCTCTACCATGGACCTCAGATCTGGGTTCCTATCCTTGTCTCTACATGCCTACTCGCCATCTTCGCCGAGATCCTTCCTCAATACTTCATTCCTCGACAAGCTATCTCATGGGGCTACTATTGCTGGCCACTCATCTGGGGATGCATGTTCCTTACCGCAATCATAAGCTGGCCACTTGCTTGGTTGCTGGATCAGTTTTCTTGCAAGTCCCAAAAAGACAAATATCTTATCTTCAACAACGACGATCTGGGTACTCTTATCAAACATCACGAGCGTTCGGAGAAGAACGGTGGCAAGCTGGGACAAGATGCAAGCCGAATCATGCTTGGAGCTTTGAATCTCGATTCGAGAAAAGTTGGAGGTGAAATTCATTCGCTTCCACGTCCAAGCTCAGGCGAAAGTGAGAGAGACGCCGAGAAAGCAGATCTTGTCGTAGTACACGGGTTGATCGTGCAATGGCACGTGGTCAAAGTTATCAACATTAATGAGAAGGTCGACAAGGCATTTATCAAGAAGGTCAGAATGTGGTCATACAGCAGAATACCCGTTATTGGCGAGCCTGGAGATGGAGAATATAAAGAGGCAGTCGAGTTATCGGACTGGAATGGGAGGAAGATCTTTGGATTCCTCCATATCAAGGTATATGATCTTGTTTCATGGGCACAAGTACGAAGGCTGACTTTGACGAGAACCTCATTGGCATCGACATCAACGGCAAACGCAACGAGGATGAGCCTTTACTTGTCAAGGATTTACCGCTGTATCCACTGCCTATTGTCAGAGATGACATTTCGGCTTACGAGCTTTTGAACATGTTTCAACTTGGAATGGCCAGGTGAACCTGAATACTTCAACTCTAGAACACAGAATTGACCTTCTTCAGGATGGCCGTTGTTGTCCCTGCCGCACCTAAACAGCCACGACTCGTTTTGAACGACGAGTGGGAGGGGCGGACCACACGCTGGACAGGCACTCAGAGAACCAACAATCATATCAAAACAAAATTGAAAGCATCCAAGTCGAAATTCGATTGGACAGTCGATTATCTTGAAGCTGCCCAGTTGAGTGCTAATGATAGCCTACTCAGACGCCATAGAATCCACGGAATCCGCTGTCCCAAGCCTGTTGGAATCGTTACGTTCGAAGATATCATTGATACGATTCTCCAGAAAACCAGTTGTGACGAAAACGACTTCTTCGATCGCCCTACTTCAACTCCACCAACCAAGTGCAAGAAAGCCGGTGATTATTCCCCGAGACCTGTTATCGGTGGCATAGCCCCAAACAGCACCATCCCAATCAAACACTCGAAAGGTCCTATCTCTTTCGAAAAGTCTAGCCATCCAAACCAGCTTCGCAAACGCAAACCTTCAGAGAACGAATACCCAGCGAATCTGGATGGCGCAGATGAACGCAGTTGTGACACCAGCAGCAGTTCCAGTATGCGAGCGCAAAAGTCACGGAAAGACTTCATTGAGAGCTCATACACTCAAAATAGTCAAGGGGGCTTCCATGGTACTCAAAATTCTGATTCTTCCATCTATCCGGCAATCATGCTGAGCATGATGACCACGGAAGACTTGGCAGAGTTCGCAAACACATCAGCTTCAACCTGCCCAGGCACCCCTTATTCTCCTACCCAGACGAGCAGCTTGCCATCTCGAAAGACCAGAAGTTCCTTGGGATCCGGTGCTAGAAAGCAGGCAATGAGACCTGTCAGTGCCGCTCCAGTACTTCCAATATTACGTCGTGTTACTCCTTTTGGGAGAAACACTGAAAGTTACGAGAGATCAGAGGAAGCCAAACAGGCGGCGTCTGAACTGATCATGCTGGCTCCATCATTGACTCCTACACCCACTGAGGACTGTCCCGAGCCTTGTCTGGATGGCCAGGACGTGTCCATATTTGATTTTGATGGGAGTATTGATGGCGAGACCGAATTTGCGAGAGACCCTGACTGTGAGATGAGCAGCAATCTTATCGTGATTGATTCTTCTGAGGAGGAAAATGAGGAAGGAATTTCGACGCTGTATAATGCGTTCCCCGTTCCACCTAGCGAACAAGGACAGCACGAAACTTCCCTTTCCCGTGATTTGAATACTATCGAGGACGGGGGACGGAAAAAGCCATATGATGGTTTCCCGCCGGAACTGCTAGAGGCAAGCGATGAGAACAGAGCTGCGAACTACGACTCCAAGACTATACCAAGATTGAAAGGATCCCGATCCTCCCGGGCCTCGGAACAGAACATACATGTTCGAGAGCAGAGCTTCCATGATGACAGGGCTTTGTTGCCTAGTCAGCGAAAGGCAATCAGGCAAGCTGAAAATATTATCATCGGAACGAGAAGCTCCAGCTTGCGGTGGTAATTAGACCGGATGCCATTATAATTACTAGGTCGGAAGGATTATGATGTTTCAAGAGTATTATTATCAGGTCTCTCATTTCTACATCGTGGTCTATGACAGGTTGTATTCTGTCCATGGATCGAGAAAGAGGCTCAGCCTGTTCAGAAAGTTTTTGATGGTTTCACTACAGGCAGGATTATGATTGCCCACGGGATAGAGTATAGAAGTTTCCAACTTTCTTTTCGTTTTCAGTTTTGTATCCTACCAATAGCAGCTTGAATCAATCCTTCAATCTGCAACCACCTCCTCCTCAACATGTCTCTTTGACACTCCATTCCCACATCCTCCGCAAGACTATCCATCTCTTTGATCTTTTCCTTCACCTCTTGCTCAAAATCTCGCAAAACCTTCCCCAAAAACTTATCCACAGCCCCCTGCTCCTTCTCCCCATCCTCCAACCCATCGACAAAACGCTCCCACTTCCTGATCGGCAGAACGAGAATTCGTAACGCGACTTGAGTGCGGTAACACACTTCTTTCTTGTCTAAGAGGTACTTCCCCAAGAACCCTCGTTCTTCTAACTGCTCCTTTTGCTTCGCGGAGAAGCGAGGCAGAATATGTGCATCAAGCGGAGCTTCGTCCCATTGATTCCCTCCCCCCACCCCACTGAGAATAAACCCATACTCCGTGAGAAGGAAATCATTGGAATGATTCCCGTAACTGATATAAACCTCTTCTCCTTTCTTAATTCTGGCTGGCGTCATGATGCTATAGCCGGAGGAAGAAAATGATGCAGAGCAAGCGGACGGGGAAGAAGTGTGGTTGAAGTAATCCGCGAATGGGGATTGTGCCATGCAGTCATCTCTATTTGAAGGATGTAGGTTTCGGTGTGCAGGGAGAGGAGACAGGAAGTAGAAAGTTCGGGTGTTGATTATTAGCCAGCGATACACATAGTCCTCGTACTTGATGTCTGGGAATGCACTGGAAACAGCCGCCCAATCGAGCTTTAGCTTTCGCTTTTGGTTGAGGAGAAGGTTGTGAGCGGTGCTGGGGAGGAGAGATTGCAGGGTTGGATGCCAGAGGAGCGGCATTGAGGTTTTGAAGTCGAGGGGCGAGGGGAGGACGGCGTGCCAGGGACCTCGTGTGGAAGACGTGTCGAGGAGGAGGTCAGTGGCCAGAAGGTTGTGGATTGTGCTGATCTTGGGGAGGGACCGGGTGAGGGATTTGGGAACTGTGTAGGCGGTGCGGAGAGCGGAGATGGGGACTGTTAGGAGGGTTTCTCCTGCCTGAGAGACGTGTTAGGGGGTGTCTAAGTCCAGAGGTGAAAATTGGGTTGGAGAGATTTGCAAGTGAGGCGTGAGGAAATTGGGTTGAAAAATGGAATGGAGACTTTCAAGAGAAAATATAAAGAGAAATATAAGTCCATATAATGACAGCCTTTGAGTATGCTTTCGATATTAGAGAGAGGGTTTTCGAGGAATGTACTTCAGACCCAAGCCAGGGACAGATGCAATGAAAGCGAAAAAGCAACAGATATACCAAGAAGATCATCACGAAGTATATAAATCTTCCACTTAGAGCCACGAGTCAAATGAAATAGAGTAACACAGTGAAATCCCCTCACGTACCTTCAAGTCCCTCGCTGCAATAATTCCCAATCCCCTCCCTTCAAACCTGTGAGGTCTGATGCCATTGATCTTCACCCCCCTCTCAATCGCCCATTCCATGAATCTTTTATGAATATCCATAAATCCTATATATATCGATCAAGGACCGTCCATTTTGAAGCGAGAACAGTCTTTGGAAAGACTGTTATACTTGAGGCAAAATGGAGGTAGTCGAAAATGCAATGCGGATCGGCCCGCAAAATCCGGATCGGAAAAGAGCTCATTCTCGACCCATTCTCGACCTTACAACTCATTCCGCAATTGGCGACATGGCGTTTCTCATACGCCAGCAAGCATTGAGAGGCGCTCTGCCTAGGGAATTGCTAGCAGCTTGTGCAATATCTCTCAATTCCCGACACTTTATCGTCCTCAATCGTCCTCCACCGAATTATCCAGGCCATGTACCGCTCACGAGGATTGAGAAGGCGGGCCTGGCTCTGGGCAGTGCGGTCATGAGTTTGATGGATCCCCATCGTGGGGGTATTGCTTTCTCCAATTCAATGCTCTCTTGAGCTGGAAGCTGATGTTGAGGGCAGATTTGATAGCCGCTCTTGGTGAGGCCACAGCAACGCCCTACTTCATTTACCGTCTCCGCGACGCCATGCTCTCCGACCCCACTGGCCGTCGAATATTACGAGACCGACCACGCATCTCGTCGAAAACACTCAGCATGGAATATCTGCGGGCTCTGCCCGAGAATACGGTGGGGAGGACATATGCAGACTGGTTGGACCGCGAAGGTGTCTCCCCTGACACGCGCTCAGAAGTCCAGTATATCGACAACGAAGAGTGTGCGTACGTTATGCAAAGGTATAGGGAGTGCCATGATTTTTACCATGCCCTTACTGGCCTGCCGATTGTAAGGGAAGGCGAGATTGCACTGAAGGCCTTCGAGTTCGCGAATACTCTGCTACCCATGACGGCGCTAAGCACTTTTGCTATCACAACACTGAAGAAGAATGAAAGGGACAGGTTTTGGAAGATTTACCTCCCATGGGCGGTAAAGAATGGGGCGCAGTCGAAGGAGGTCATTAATGTTTATTGGGAGGAGCAGCTGGAGAGAGATGTGGATGGGCTGAGGGCTGAGCTTGGGGTAGAGAAGCCAGTTGATTTGAGGACTATCCGAAAGGCCGAGAGGGAGAGGTGGAGGGCCGAGAAGGAGGCAAAGAAGAGGGCGAGTGATAGTTTGGGGATCAACTGATGGTGTACGATAATAAAGACCAGAATGAGGACTGGAATCTCCATTCCCATAACCGCAATTTCCAATCGAAGCAGCGTTCATTGTCCCCTTCCTAAAATCCTAACGCCAGACATATGTGCAATGGTATTCCTCCAGCCAGAGTCCAAGTTCATTCGAGATCCAAGAGATCGTCGTCCTCGTCATCCCACGTTCCCTTCCTCCGCGTAACCACAATCTTCCCCTCTTCCTTCCCCTCCGCAACTGCGCCTAGCAACTCCTTAAGCTGCTCCTCCGTGACCTTCTGCCGTAACTGCCCACTTCTCGCTAGCGTAATAAGGCGGTTTTCTACATCTTGTGCGCGGGACTCTTTTACGAGGCGGATGCGGCCAAGACGGTCTGCGGCCTCGGGCTCGAGGATTTGGTTCAGAATCGATTTGCGCGCTTCCTCTGGGAGGTATTAGCTTCTGCTAAGATTATTATATTATGGAGGGAGAGATGTGCCTTCTTGCTGCCTGTACGTTTAATTCAGTAATTATCAGAGATGGGCGAGGGGAAGGAGCTCACTGCCTGTCTTCTTGACCTGCACCACCTGCCCCGCTGCTGCTGCCTCCTCCGCCTCCTCCCCCACCACCCTGCGCCTTGAGCTGCTCGAGACGAGCTTTTCTGATCTGGAAGAGTCAGTTACCGTATTTGGGATCTCATGGGAGGGATAGCTACTGCTGCTAAGTCGTCGTCTTCCATGTTGGTTGTTGTGTTCGTGTTATGGTGGGATGTGAGCTGTTCGCGAAAGAAAAGAGGGGATGCGGGGCAGCCTCGCGTGACGAATTTCAATCGCCATTCAAGGTCCTTCTCTTCTCATCTCATCTTTATCGAATGCTTGAGGAGAAAGTTGTCATCAAGCTTACTCTATGAGCAATGGCTGTTTCACTTGTCTTTTGTGCTGTTTGCAACATGTCGGCGTGTACTCATCACCCTATTGACAGCTCTCAGGGTGAAATCCGAATTTTGACTCTTCCTTGGGATGCCAGGCAAACTCTTGGAAGAGCCCACATTGGTCTACTCACCGGCTCTTTGACGAACATTCTTCTGCCAGCCTCTACACTCCCTCGAGCTCAAAGGCTTCTTCGAGCAGCTAAACTGCCATTGTTTTATGCTCTTTCATATGTCTGGGTTGAACCCACCTCGAAACCACAGGAAATTCTCATCGACGGCAAAAGCATCCCAATCACTCAAAACTTATATGACGGGCTTCAAGCTCTGCAGAAGAAGGTCTACGGTCTAGTTCGAATTTGGGCAGATGCTTTGTGTACCTGTCAAGAAGATGTGGTTGAAAGGTCTGCACAGATCATGTTGATGCGAGAGATTTACCATTCTGCAAGTGAAGTGGCAATCTGGCTAGGAGGTAACTCTGACGACGGAAGACGGGCCTTCAGGTTCATCAACGATCTGACTTATGATTGTGAGATGATTGAGGATCTCGTTGAAACTAAAGACGACAGGCTGAAGAAAACATCTACAATTTCATGAGACCCTTGGGAAATCTGGCTCGAGGGTCTTTCCGTATGGCTCAAGTAGTCGATCAAATATCAGATCTAAAATCACCGGCAGGACTGGATAGTAAAGCAGAAATACTCATCGACCCAGATGCGGAATATTCCCTGCATCGGATCGAATTTGGAAACCCAGGGTGGCAGCCCTCTGCTCAACGTCTTGCAAAGGCCAATGAAGAAGGCGATTTTTCGAAATCGCAAGCTCGATCAATCGCATCTTCACTCAGAATGACTGGTTCTCAAGGATGTGAGTCTCTACTTCTCGGAGCATTAGTCCCTCTTGTAGCAATGTCCAACAGTTCTACTGGCAATTTCCGATAGCTGCTGGAACATTCCACTACCTAAAATATTTGAATGAAGTATACTAATTCCGATTTCTTGGGAATAGGTGGGTTGTTCAAGTAGGATCCCGACACCCAGTGTAAGAACTTTGCCATTAGAATCTAAATGTTGAACAGAAAGTTGGTGTGGCTGATTCAACCCACTTTCAATTAGGTGGTATGTCAATGGAGTGGGACAGCGTTCTTAGTACAATATGCTACTTGCATTATACGAGAGGCATACCCATCGAAGGAATTCGCCGGTAAGAATCATCTTTCATGTGGAGTCCGAAGGGTTAAAGTTGCGTTGCTGATCATGACTGTGGAATGCAGTGTACCTTAATTGGACTTGGCACGCAGTGGGTGGAGCAAAAGAAAACGACATCAACTTCAAGACTTGGTGCGGGAATACCGCTACAGAAAAGCAACAAACCCCCCGGGACAAGATATACTTTCTGCTTGGATTGATGGGTGATCGTATGGAAGACATCCTGAAACCAGATTATTCCAAGTCTTTCGGAAATGTCCGTTTGCACACTGCATCCAAATTCTCGACCCAGACTAATAGAAAGAGGTGTGTTTGAACGTCACGCGTCACTTCATATCTCAATCGGGGTCGCTGGATCCCATCTGTGACTGGCAGACTCTAGACCGCAATATAGATTCAACGTGGGAACTTCCATCTTGGACCCCTGACTACACTCTTGGCTAAGAGGCTGCACCTGCTCCTTTGGTCCCAGTTGACAAGCCTCCGAGTATCTACGCTAGCGTCTGGTTACGATCACAGATTCAAATTTCAGCTTTCAGCTGAATCAACTCCTCCCGATTGGAAACAACTTAAGACGCGCGGGATGTGCATTGATACCATCGCAAGACTTTCGAATCCTGGCCCAGACACAGAGCCATTTGGTTCGAAAGCGACGCGATGGCTGTCTACCTTAAATTCAGCACAAAAATTCTTGACAGATTGGCCGCATGATCTGCAAGCTTCCCTAGCTGATCTGTGTTCGATAGTTTCGAAATATTCCAGCTATAATTACTCAACGGATCGATCTGTGCTTAAGTTCGAATCACCGGAGGAGCCTCAATCCCTTGAAGAGAACCAAGTGCTGGGTGCCTTTATCCACGTTCTTTTCCTGGGCCGTATCTCATCCAGAGAACGACTGACAGAGTACGATATTTCGGAACTCCTTGACATGGATCCTTTAATTGCCTTCTCAAAGTCGAAAGAGACCGATCACCTAGACAAGGTCTGCCAGGCCTTTGAGCAGGGATCGAAGAGGAGAAGACTCCTCATTACAGAGAAAGGCTACGTCGGCTCTGCATCTCAGACCGCGGAGGAAGGCGACATCGCGTGTGTGCTCCCTAGCTGTAGTGCGCCGGTGATTGTGAGGAAACTTCAGGATGAAGATTCTTACAAATTCGTTGGAGAATGCTACTTGCACGGCTTCATGGATGCAGAAGTAATCACCCTGCAGATCAAGGGTGTTTTGAAAGAGCAGTTCATCCTCGCATAAATTGAGAAGAATCTACAGCAAGGTGGACTTATCAAAATGGAAGATGACGTACTCAGTATGATGGAAAGATGATAAAATATTTCGTCCAAAAATGGGAGTGACATCAAGGGATGAGCCATTCGGCACGCCACATTTTTAGTCATTCCAGGACTGAACCAGCAAATCTTCTAGGTTTACGATGGAATTCTGCTTTCCGGGACCACCTTAGTGTTCGCCACCTCGCTGCGGAGTCCCCTTCCGTAAGAAGATTCGAGCAGAGCCGATGTGGTCCGAGGATTCTGATGCACGAGCCTCCACGCGTCCTCCCCCATCCTATATTAAAAGCAGCTCTTAAGATCGCCATAGTGGGGTCCAGTCTCTCTCTATTTTTCTTCACTTAGATAGTTTTTTAGGTCTTCCCAATCATGGTGACGCCTCCTACTGGCGGATGATTGCTCGCTGCTCCTTGGGCAAAGGTTCTCCGCAGGGCTAGGCTAATTTCTTAATCATCACCCTGGAAGATCTGAACGAGACCACTAAGAATCGGCCAATGGTATAAATAGAGCCTGCATCTACACAGGAAATACCATGATGACGACGACTTGCAGTTGTAGGTTTCTGACTTCCACTGAGGCTCAAGACCGATATCGAGACGAGGCTCCCTGGTCCACAACAACACCCTGTCAGTTGCTTTTCCTGTCCGAAGGTTGCGACATGGGGGACCATGCTCGCGATACTGTAGACCCAAAAATCGGTACTCATTTTCAATGTCCCAGGTCAAAGTCGGAGATTCCTCTGCACCCGGAGTGGCTGGATTATTATATTTCAGGATCAGCAATACAGCCGAAGAATGCTTTCATACTACAATGATTGAGGGGAATATTCGTATGTGGTCTTTCTAAAATATTCCCACCTGAATCGGGACGTTCACAATTTCAGTGCCGCTTTTTGTATCCACTGCGAGCTATCCCCAGCTTTCCGATCTAGCCGTATCTTACTCGAGTTGTACAGTGTGTCAAAAAAGTAATCAAGGTATTCCGAATATTCATGAATATTCATGATTAGCTTGAATAGAATATAATTACTGCAATGCTTAAATAATTTGATTAGATTAGAATATATAATCATGAATACTCATGAATACTTTGATTACTCTACACGTGACTATAGCATGTGATACGCTAGCCTGATTAAGTAGAGGCCCCGCTCTAGTGTCGCCTTAGCGCCACCTCGCTGCCTAATTAGTAGGCGAAAGGCTTGCAAAGACGATTCTAGATCGGGAGCCATACCTAATTAGGCTAGTATATCACGTGCGACAGTCACGTGTACAGTAATCAAAGTATTCATGAATATTCATGATTACCTTAATTAGAATCTGATTAGAATATAATTAGTGGGTATTTTTGATGAATAGATTAGATTACTAGCCAGTATTCTATTCTATTCTATTCATTTGACACACTGGAGTTGTACAAGTAAGCTTACGAAGGAAAACTCTTAGTTCGTTCCCAAATCAAAAGCTTACAAGTAGATTCTCTCGCCTACCAGTAAACTCTCTCTCCGCGTGAGTTCAATTTTGTATGTCAAGACGCATCATACCTTCTTCAAGTGCTGGGGTGACTGGTGCATTGTTGCGGCCTTAACAGGAAGTTCTGCTCAACGGTACTCCTGAAGCCCTGACATCTGTGCCTTGGCCGCCAGCTATACATGCAGGAGCTTACGTTGTCGTTTTCGTTGACCGATACTCTCTTTGGCAGGGGCAAACCTTTCTCTTATCGGGCGTTTTGGTTTTCTATTTTCAGCGCTCTCCTCACATGACTCAGAATCCCACAGATGTTTTCACATAATATCCACTCACTGGGCCACGGGGCTGACCTTCCCCGCGTAGTCGGACATCACTTACTAGGTAGTTCCTCACTTTTCTCCTCCAAGTCCTTGCAGGTGAGAGACATGGTTTGCTATATGTTCCTAAGATAGTGCTAGCGGAGAATCTGGTCAAGCCCTGAGTGGAAGCGTTGGGATTCTATTCGTCAACGCCACTTCCGTCAACTGTTGTCCATACGCGGCCTCACGGGACTCTCCGATGATAGAGGGAAGGTATGAGGATACACAGCTGCTATGAACAAAGCAACGGCTATATAAGTCATCCCATGTCTTCATCGGTCCCAATGTCCAGCAGACTAAGTCGAATCAATATCTGCACTATTTTCGTTTTGAGCACATCATGTCTGTCTTCATATTACTTTCTTTCGCGGTTTTCATCTCTCATGCCTTGGGAGCATGTTCATCAGTTGAAGTCCGCAAAGAATGGCGAACTTTCACTTCGGATGAAAAAACAGATTGGATAACTGCTGTCAAGGTGAGCTCTTAATCCCGGCTTCATAATTGGATTTAATGCTTCTCAGTGCATGGCTAAACTTCCCCACAACGACTCCTTAGTGGCCACAGTTGGAGAGTTTGCTGCGGTTGCCAACATAACTTCAGACAGTTCCTATTACGATGACTACTCCTACGTTCATTCTGATTTGAACCCAACTATCCACTTTACTGGTATGCCACAACTCCAATGCGTATTCTTAGCGGCGCTCTGATTCGTGCCATAGGACTCTTCTTCCCATTCCATCGATATTTTGTGTGGTCCTACACTCAAGCATTGAAGAATGATTGCGGCTATACAGGTGTAGCGCCTTACTGGGACTGGACTTTGGGTACTTCCCCTATTCCGATCTTCTCTCACAACAACTAACCATCTCAAGATTCAGCAAACGTCCTGGACGCAACAATCTGGTCAGATGACCCTTCCTCCGGACTCGGCCAAGCCCTCGGGGTCTCAACCAACGACTTTGTCGTTTCAACCGGTGGCTTTTCCACCGATTTCACACTTGCCTACCCCTCCGCCCACGGCCTCCGCAGAAATTACACCCTGCGACCCTGGACCGCCTTCGCCGCACTAACAGCCTATTTCCCTCTTCCCGAGCTCGAAGCAAACTCTACCTTCACCCCTACAGCCATCGACGCTATAATATCAAATTACACAGGAAATTTCAAGGGGTTCCAAACGGCGGTGGAGTACTTCGAGGGTCCGCATGCTGCTGTCCATGAGATTGTGGGTGGTGATCTGGGAGGATACTGTCCCAAGGACGCAAATGAGGAATGTTTTGAGGCGGAGCCGAGTCCGACGTTTTCTGCTAATGAGCCGATGTTTTGGTTACATCATGCTGTGAGTACCCTGCCACTCATCTTGCCCCTTCAGGGACATTACGGACTACTGACCTCTCCCAGATGGTCGATCGCCTGTGGTGGCTGTGGCAGAATGCCAATTCAGCTAACTTATATGCTTTCGAGGGCGGAAGTGTGCAGAATTTGAGTTACTACTCGGAATACCCGAATGGGAGCCCGCCATGGTTGAGCATGGACTCCGTGCTTCCTAATGATGGGATCTTGCTGCCTGCTCAGACTACATTGGGAGATGTCTGGATCACGGAAGGAGATTTTCTTTGTTATACTTATGATAGTTGAACACCGTTGTTTGGAGATGATTCAATGGAGGGGTTTGAAATATTCGTGGATTTTTGAAAACAGCTTGTCCCTACCCCATCCCATGTCCCCGATTGAGCTCTCAACGACGTTCCGCTTGAAATACTGACCGAAAGAAACGCGTCCAAGTGATAACCCAAAGAAAATAAATTTAAGCAGTCAACATCTTTCTGGCATGCCCCAGCTGCGACCCAACTTCAATGACCCAAAGCCATTCTCTCCAAGCTAGCCTCATCGCCATTCCACTGATCCTGATCTCCAGGAAACTTCCCACTATCGGCAAACTGCCAGAACGACTCATAAGACCATCCCGCAGGCATAGCACCCGGTGTGCTCGCCCACCTCGCAAGAACAAGAGGGTAATCTGCACCAAAACCGGTGTTATGTCCAGTGCACGTATTCCACCAGCTTGTAGTGCAATAGATCATGGGATAGCGGCCAGTCTTGGAGTGATATCTGTTTCCGAAATCGTGGATGAAAGTCACCATCTCGCTAGGCGTGATGCCCCAGCATTCTGAACCTCCGTTGGGTTCGAGATCGATCATGCCGGGGAGGGTCTTGCCGTCTGCTGACCAGCCACCGCCATGAGCGATAAAGTAGTCAGCTTGAGCGGCGCCGTTTTGGGCACTTGGGTGGGCAAAGTGGTAGGCACCACGGATTAGCCCCTGCTTGTAGGAACCGTCGTATTGCTGTGTGAAATAAGGGCTCGTATAGCTAGTGCCTTCTGTTGCCTGAGGGTTGAGTTAGAAATAGTTATCAAGTAGTCGAGAATGAGGGGATTTGCCTTGACGATAGCGAAGCTGGCGCCATTAGCTTTGACTTGAGCCCAATTGACGTTGCCTTGCCATGCGGATACATCTAAACCTTGTGGCTTGGATCTCTTGTCGAGGCTTGAGGGACTGGCACCAACAAGGCCGAGAATAGATACGATGGTGATGATTGAACACTTCATGGTGATATCTGAGGAGTGGGCTGATGCGTCGAATCTTTTACTTTGGATACTGATCTGAGAGATTGGCTAACTTGGTTCTCGACAAAGCGGGTTTTAGAAGCGGTGAAAGAAGTGAGTGAATGATTTGTAGATGGAAAATGTGTTGAGAGTGATTGAATGAACTTGATGGATCGATATGGGCAGACATCTTCACCCATTTTATACTCCTCAGTATACTTATATTTAGTTCACTACCATTTTGGAACAGATCAGTTGCTATTTCTGTCGGTACTATCCCGTGAGAAATTGCGGGTTCGTGCTGATTTTCTGCTCGAAGTCATGGAGAGCGAATTGTTGGGAAACACTGGATACCAAGATAAGAAAATGAGACCTAGAGCCCCAAAGTCGGGATAATTATAATGCCGAGCCATGGAAATAGCCTCCTGCAATTTAAAAATATCTTATCTGAACCAGTCTTTGATGTTTGAACTTCAGAAAGGTTCATCAAAAGAGACGGCTGAAAATCCTTCAATGACTTCAATCACCGATCCATTCCATGCCCTCAAAGTACTGCGTCCAATTATCCAAACAAACGCTCGTACGTTTATTTCCCGCCAAAGCTTACCCCCTTGAAGTTGAAGTAAGAACTCAGACTTTGAGTTCTCACTGGAGAATCGGGAGGATCTTTGAGGCTGTGTGATACTCGGTTGGGGTCGGAATCCGCCTTAGCTCAACCAAAGCCAATCAGAGACCCGATACCCCTGAGAGGCGTGACTTTTAGCGATGGGCGATCTGGCGCCCCTGAGTGGCAGAATCTTAAATAGAATGTCGTGCAGGCGGGAAAGTTCCGTTGGACCCCATATGCTGATTTCCGGTATCTTGTCCGAGCCCTTATTATGTGACACGGCACGAAGCGTGAGGCTTAATACAGTGCAAACTTCAAAGCTTCCATTCAACCCCGGAACCCGGTCACTTGTGCCATCACACAGGATGGATTCTGAGCTTCTTGAAGGAATTATCGAATGCAGGGTCCCGCATGCTCGCTAGACTTCATCGCTAAATATTTCCTAAATCTATTTGAAGATTCATCATACCAGAACCCCGGCGACGATTGCGAAGAATCAGAAGCCAGTTGAAATTTCGAGAGGAAGAATCTATCGAGAGATTTGTTCGAATGCTTGGACGAGAATAGCAAACGCTGAAAAACACATGTGATAGATATTCCATCCACCAGAGGCTCGATACCCACACCAGCATGGATTATCTCATTGAACAGGTTGATGGTTCTTCTCTTCTCCTAGCGAGGGGACGATAGCAAGAAATGAGAATGCAAGCAAATGATCGACTGTAATGAGAAGTTTCGGCTCACTTGAGTGGATGACACAGCGGGAGCCACCGGGAAAGAAGCGAGTGGATAGATTTCAAGCAAATGTGAGAGCGGCACAACATTACATTTATGGTCTCCCGCAATACGTAGCTCAGAAACGCCCATCACTCCGAGTCTAATTATTGTACAAAGACGTGAGATGGGAGGCCGCCGCCCGAATCCCAACCTCTAATATTAGCCCCTGAAAGGTATATACAAGTTGTCCTGCCGACTCCTCCTCGCCTGCCTGCCCTTCACCAAATGCAAAAGCGTGTGGTTTCTCGGACAAGGAACTCCCAATTCCATGGCGCGCTGGACCAGATATCCATTATAGAAATCTATATCTGTCCTCCGACCAGCTCTGATGTCTTGTAGCATTGCAGACGAATTTCTTCCAGATTTTTGGAGACTTCTTAGGACAATGTTCTCGACCAAGTTAGCATTGAACTTCTGCTCAAGTTTATGGAATTTCGCAAGCTCGGGAAGAGACAGAATTATATGGCATATCTCCGCTACCAGATGCCCTATATTCTGCGATGCAGCATAGTCGTAGAGGAGTTCGTCGTTGGAGCAATCGTATGCCACGGAAAGGGGGCCAATAACAGCACCGACTGCTAATTGCCTAAGCTGCCTAACGAAGAAGGTTTTGTGCCCGAGACTTTCTGCGTTCAATCCAGGTGTCCGAATCAGGCTTCCAACCAGATGTCGGGCTTGTGGTGACCAGCTAAAGTCCGTTCGATTGATGACGGGGCAGAAGTATTCTTCTTTGGTCTCCACGACTTGTGGCAATTTTGCACAAAGGAAACTTCCAATCCGATTCTCCACAATGGTGAAATGCTGATCCGTTGACTTCACGTCGTGAGTAATCCTCCCCAAGACATAGGTTGGTCTGTCATGAGGATCAGGGAAGATCCTGCTGTTCATCTTCTCGATAATGCCCAATCCATCTTGCACGAAGCAGATCGTACTTGTCTTTCGAAGCCGGTGTTTGATCGAGGAAATTGCTGAGAGCGTGATACACGGATTGGTAGTGACGACCAAGCTATCAATCACGGTATTGGGCGGTTCAGCAGAATGTTCCAGATTGGGGCCGAATCCCGGAAACCGCTGGAGCGGATCCTGTCTCTGAAAGTCTGCGGAAGACTCTATGTGAAAGCCGGTTTGAACATGATACTCGCCATTGATCAAGATCTTGATGGCGGCTCCTTCGTCGTGCCACTGTTGCATGACAAGGGGGCGATGCATGAGCAGTGTGACAGGTGGGCCATTGGGAAGACCAGCCAAGGAGTGAGCAATGAGTTTGCCTACTGTACCCAAGCCAAGAACATGGATTGTTCGGTTCATTTTCGCCTGCTCCTTTTGCAGCTCAAGTTTCTTGGACAGCTCTTTTTCGGACTCCTTCTTGAGCTCGTCCTGACTTAATCGCGGTGGTGGCCGCCAAGGTCTGTTCCACATTCCCAAATTGAAATGCTGCATTGCACGCTCTAATTCCTCATCATGCTCCAAGTGTGTGGCAGGGTCCATATCGGCTCGGAATGATAGTTGTGCTTCCTCGTGAACATCATTTAAGCTACCCACGATCAAATTGGATTCTGGGTCGGATTCTGACCCAGAAAGAGTAGTCGAGGTGCTTTGTGGTTCTGCTGGCATACCAAATGTATCATTTTCGTTCAGGGTAGTAGAATTCGCATGCTGTGCTGATGACGTGCCATTTCCCCCCTCGATATCATCCCTCTCGAGCTGAGCAAACCCATCTGTATCTTCACCCAGATCTGTTCCTGCACCTTTAAACGGCGGTTGCGGCAGCCCTCTTCTAGCATAATCAAGAGTCTCAGACTCTGCTTTTCCCTCTTTCTCTAGCCTGCGAGCTCCTCCTATCTGTTCAGGCACAACAGGGTGGGGGTTGCCGGGTTTTGAATTCGACTCGGAATTTAATATTACCAGGTCCTCCCCTCCAAAATGCCTCCGGTATCGTTCCAGGTCTTCCATTGTCCAGGGCTCTGCCTTCCTCTTCTTTGGTGGCGGATTCAGTTCCGCCTGCCTTGACTTTCTCACTCTTTCCGCAGTTCTGCGATCCGGGAAAGTTTGCACAAAATCAAAACCCTCGGGGAACTTGTAGACTTTCCGATCTTCACTGTGGCCATTGTATCTTCTCTGACCCAATCTCCCATTCAAGCTCGACAGAGCTAGTTCCACCACCTTCCGACGTGGCCACCAATAACTTCCATTCTGCGTCGAAAAACAGGTCGTGGCCACCCGGCCGGCATAGGTGTTATCGTACAGGCATGTCTTCTTTCGAGGTATTCTTCGGAACGCCCGCGAGAGCGGGCGGCTGTAATTTAGAAGAGACAGGATGAAAGGTTCGAGGATTACTGTTGCAAATTCATAGTACGTGGGAGGTTCTGGAGATATGCGCAGCCACTAAGTTGTCCAGAGGGCTCAAAGAAGGTGTTGTGTAAACATTTGAGAGCCAAAACGGGGGGAGAAGGCACCGGCCAAAAGTAAATAGTAGAAACGCGGTGGCGAAACAAGAGGGGCGGCTGAAAGTCGTATCCGCGATCGCGATGCTGAATCGTTGATGTACAGAGAAATAGTGTACAGAAAGAAAATGCACTAAAAGCAGACGTCAGGAGAAATCATCTACGGCTTGCGAACAAAAATTCTGAGACAGAATCGAGATCCTGGCAGCTTACTAAGCGAGGCGGCCGCATCTGGTGCATCCAAATTCTTGATATCGAAAAACCCTCACTTCGTATCCTGAAAGAGACGAAGTACCTACCTGGCAAAATGGATGACTCATCAAAGGTACTGTCTCTTCTAGAGACTCTAGATGATGAGGTTGATGATCTAGAGGAGGCTCTGTCCCCGCTCTTGAAGGCCGCCTTGTCTGAGACCTCCACGAAGCTCCCCTTGCTCGACAAAGCCAAGCTCTACGTTTTGGTCACATATGCCATTGAGTCTATGCTATTTTGTGAGTCTTCCTCTTCAGAAGCGAGTCGTTATCTAATGAGTTCTCTAGCATATCTGCGACTCAATGGCGTCAAAGCACGCGAACATCCGGTCTTCATTGAACTCACCCGAGTAAAGCAGTACTTCGACAAGATCAAAGTTGCAGAAACTCCAGTAGCGGAGAGGAATATGGCTGTGGACAAGGCAGCTGCAGCAAGGTTTATCAAAGCCGGATTGGTCAGTCAAGATGCCTTTAACCGCTTTTCTCAAAACCGTATCCGCGCAACCACTAACACTTTTCCAGTCTGGCAACGATAAATATGATCTTGAACGAGCAGAGCAACAAGCAAAAGAGCGCGCTAAAGCCCATATTAGATTCGAGCAAAAATCGAAGGAGACGCCGCCCAAACGAAAAGCAGATGAAGTGGAAGAAGCAGACGAAGACTCCGACTCCTCCGATTCGGACTCTGATTCCAGCTCTCAATCCTCCGAAGCTGAGCCAGAAGAATCTCCATCCGCTCCTGCTGTATCCGAAAAGAATAAGCAGAAGAAGGATAACACTGACTCCGGTCAAACCTCTGGCAACTCGACTCCACAAACCATGTCGAAGAAAGCCAGGGCAAAGGCAGCCAAGAAAGCGAAAAAGGAAAAGCTGAAGGCAAAGAGTGAGAGAAAAAAGCAAAAACGAAGCAGTGAGCAATGATACCCTGTGGATATTTAATGTGTTGCATGATATGGCGTTGGAAAGGCTGGGAGCATAGCATTTTCCGGAGTTCTTGGGTAGTAAAAGGCCTGGGAACATGCTACTGGCATAAACGTGGAGAGTTAATCATTGAGATACACATTGCAGCCAAAGGCTCCAACTTCGATTGTTCTAGGCGACTTAAAAATTCAGTCTGGAGAATTTCATTCCGCAGGTGACGTTGAAGCATCAAATCTATGTAGCCTCAGATCCATTGTCCAACTAGGTTCTTATTTCTAGCCCTCGTCAAAGTCCTTACTATGACCCATATTGTCCGTTTTCTTACCCATGTATTCTGCTCAGAATCCCTGGTGTATGATTTTAATATGCAAGTCATGCCTCTTCTGCCAACTCCTTCATTTGCTTAGCTTTCTGGACTACAGAAGTAATATTCTTGAGTCCATGAAAATTTTAAAATCCCTGTATTGCAGTTTTTCAATCTGTCCCTGTTTTTCCAATACTGTCCTAGGCATCGACGTACTTTTGGCCGCATCCTCCAAACAGTGCATCCGGATTTGGGGGCTTCTGCTCTGGACCAATCAAAATCCTACCCCTGCCACCGGTAGAATTTGGCCTAAGCCGAGGACTTCGACTTTCGGTGGTGATCCATCATCTTCACATTTTTCAATCACAACACCCCAAAGTGTGCAGCAGACCCCGACATCTTCAATTCATCCAAACTCCCCAAGCAATAAGCCAAGATGCCTCGTCAAGGAAGATCCGGTGGTGGACGAGCTCCCTCCCGCCCATCCGCTGCTCCTTCAAGACCAGCTCCACAACAGCAAAGTCGACCAGCAACCACCGCTGCCTATCCACCTGCACGAGCGAACCAAGCTGCACCACCAGCTCAGCAAGCCCAACAGCAGCAAGGCTCTTCCGGTCCCGGTCTGTTTGGACAGATGGCTTCTACAGCTGCGTACGTTGTCCCTCTTTCCCTCGGCATTCTCTCCACTGACGATGAGGACACAGAGGTGTAGCAGTCGGCTCCTCCATCGGACACGCAATCGGTGGATTTTTCGGTGGCGGATCTTCTCAACCTGCTGCTGAGCAACAACAGGATAACGGTGTTGCGGCAACCAGCAACCAGCAAAACACTGCCTGGGGACCACGAAGCTGCGAGGTGGACGCGAAGCAGTTCACCAAGTGTCTAGATGAGAATCAAGGAAACATGCAGGTCTGCAGTTGGTATTTGGAGCAATTGGTAGGTTCATGGGCTGCAGACGTTGGTGCACGGCTAATGAAGGTGTGTCGAACAGAAGGCTTGCCAAAGTGCAGCCAGCCAGTATTAGAGAAGGATACCTATCTCCGAGAAATTTATAATACTGGCAACAGAGATTGCATAAGCATTGGGGGTGCATTGTGGCGGCGAGCAAAATGTAAAATAATTCAGCATCATTGAGCCAACACCGCTCTTTTGAGAAAGAAAAAATATGTTTCGGAACCACTGGTCATGGCAACGATCAAGTCTGCACAATTGTACCATACTTGCAATCATATGATATCTTGAGGATCTCTCCTCTTTCTTGCCCTCATAGCATGGTAGTGCAGTACGAGCCGAGTTGGCTTTGAAAGAGATTTGCGTAGTTGCTCCTCCAGACCATTGCAAAAGAACCACACTTCTCAATGGAGCTGAGATAATGTGGAAACTCGTTTCCGCCTCACTTTTCTCCTGAATCCATGTATCATCTCATGTATTCTGTTAGCCTTGCAAAGGACACTTAACTGCTCTCAATTTCACTCAACCTCCTCCCAACTGCGACGTAAAACCTCAACCAACTTCTCACCTGCCCCTCTCCTTCCGCAATCTTTTCAATCTCCTTACAAAATAACTCCTTAGCCTTCTCTACCATTCCCGGCTTCACTAACTCGTCGCCTCGAAACCACTTCTTCTCCCTCACCATCTCATCAAAGGTATTCCTGGCCCCCTCCACACGCAAGATCTCACCAGCCTCATAACTCTCACTCACAAAAAACTCCCTATCATCCAACCCCGCATCTGTCAATAAAGCTCTCACCTTCTCCTCGCTATCGATTCCCTCCCTCGTATACCGCCTCACAATCCCAATCCTCTCCGCAATCCGCTCAAGCACCAGCCCTTTAATCATACTATCCCCAGTTGGGACATCAAAGATTACTTTTCCTCCTATCTTAAGTAACTTCGCCCAGGATTTCACAGCTCCTGGATGGTCTTCAACAAGCACAAAAGCAGATGCACAAGTAATTACATCAAACATCCCTTCTCTGATTCCCTCTTTCTCAGCCCATTCAGAGACCAGGTCCGCAATATCGCCTTCGACAAACTTTACATTCCATACCTTCTCTTTCTCCGCTTTCCTTCTTGCGACTTTAAGTGAGGCTGGAGAGATATCGACGCCGATAACGAATCCGGAGGGACCAGCAAGTCGTGCACAGGCAATTCCGATTGCTCCTGTTCCGCAGGCAAGATCGAGGATCTTACAGCCTTGAACAGGAGATGCCCATTTGACATAGTCTGCTGCTTGCCGCGGGTGGAAGCCATCGGGGCCCGTTTCATGATCGTAGGTTGGCGCGCGAGCATCATAGATTGAGCGAATGTTTTGGAGACGTGGAGTTAGAGGCTTTGCCATTGTTTATATCACGTGCTTGATTGTCTGATAGTTTCTTCTGAGACTGGAGAAAACACTTCGAGGCGAAGATTTTAGAAACTTGAGTCACTCCGAGCTATAGCCTTTGGATCGACCTGCCTAACCGAGCTGCCTAATTTGGGCTTTGCGCCAAGGGCCAATCAACCTTTTCCTACTCTCAAAAACAAAGGTCCTTTGCTTCATGATCTGTCATAACTTCACTTTAGGCCTTTGGAAGATAAGATCTTTCAAAATATTTTTTTACATCGAACTACTGATTTTCAGTTGTTTCCTCTGGCCCCTGGGTCCCAATACCATGCTTCTTTGCAAGCGTCAATATGTGCTAGGATGAATGGAGAGTACACCACCATCTACAAGCACAACACTTCCATTACAATATCCGCCCGCCTTCGATGCCAAGTAAAGGATAGTCCCGGCCATCTCCTCTTCTGCACCAATTCTCTGAGCCGGAACCAAAGCTTTTGGCATTACCCCTCCCGTGGGCTCAAATTCTTTCACCAGCTCTGCTGTAATCCGAGAAGGAAACCCTGTGAGATGATCAATTTCGTTCCTCTTGCACAAGCGCCCCTCTCGCCACAACTAGAAAGAAAGGACTCACATCCTGGTGCAATGACATTGCAGCGAATATCCCATGGTACCAGAGCAGTGGCCATATGCTTCATCATGTGCGTTGTTGCAGCTTTACTCGCATTATACACGAAATCTCCATAGCCACGAAAGAAGCCTCCCGCACTGCTAACAGTCACGACTTGACTCCTCGGCAATGAGGAACCGGCTGCCTCAGCGGCTTTGTTTCCCGCATCCAGGAGTTCCAAGAAGGCAAAAACAGTAAGGAGAACTGCTGTTGTGTTCAAGTTGAATGTTGCGGCGTGTTCTTCTACTTGCAAAGTGTTGAAGTAGTACTCGCGGACTTCTTTGATGCTGGACGTCTCTGAAGGTTGTGTCTCGTACTGTGGTGGAGCCATGCCCGCATTACAGACGAGGAGGTTGATATGGCCGGTTTCTTGGGTGATCTGGTCCACTGCCAATTGCAGTTGTGCCTTTGAGGTCACATCACAGACAATTGGACGGATGTTCGAGTGGGCCTGAATTCTTAGCTCAAAGCGAGAGCAATTTTCAGAAAGGCCCATGTTCTCACAGATTGTTTTGCAACTTCCTCGAGGGGATCATCTGGGAGTCCAAGGATGTAGACAGATGATGCACCATTTGAAGCAAGTGCTCTCGAAATCATAAGCCCAATCCCAGACCCGCCTCCTGTCACTACTGCAACCAAACCATCCAGGGCAAACAAATTCTGGGCAGAGGGAATGGACGGCATTTCAAATTCAACATCAGTCTGCAAGAATGTTTCAGAAGGAGGATAAAACTTTGCACGCTTGAAAGTTAAATACGCTGGTTTTAGGCAGAGCAGAGCTGCGCGTTCCAGACCCCGCATCCGCATCCTGCTGCACGCTGCCGATCCAAATAGTGGGGATACAGGGACTGAGTTCTGGAAACACAGGGCTTCACACCGCCCATTCTGCCACAAAGTCTACGCCACGTATGCCGCCTATCCTACTGGTTCTTCGGGTATATCAAGGAAGAATTTCCTGAGATGAATAGCCACCCTCTCTGGATCCCCTCCATCGGCAGTATTGGACAAGCCCAAATGGTCCATCCCTCCGAACTGCGTATACCTTGCTCTCGCAAGCAGCTTCCTGAAGTCTCTTATATTTTCCTTGAAGTGATTGGGACTCTCACTACCACCCTGAGAAAAATCTCGACGTTCAGCTGATTCAATCTGAACAATGCCTCGAACCTCCTGCTAATCTCTTCCCAGGAACGAATTTCACCCTTCAGCGGCCCTAACAACCTCCCTAGAGAGTATGTTGTACCTTTTCGGCTCTCGTCTTTTTGTAAGGTATCCTCCGCCCATTGTTTAGAGCGCCAATCTGACCATCGTTTAGACAGCCATCTTGGCACAATACTCCTTCGCTCCTGTTGCTTCAGGCTCCCTGTCTGAGTGATATTCATTGCCGTCTCCAAAGCTCTAGGGTCGGTCACATTCGAGCCGTCTACTTGCTGCTCAAGTATATCGCGTTGCTCTCTAAATTCCTCAACACCTCCTGGTATGGTCGCTGGTTCAAAAGCGGCTATTTTCCTGATCAAAAAATTGGTGGTCGCAGCGACTTGAAGAGCAGCGTGTAGTGCAATCACAGCGCCGCTGCCCACACCAAGTATATTTTGTGCTCCCGTTTTGCCAAGAAGTGCTTTGAGGTCGTTGATTTCGGTCTGCAAGTTGGAGTTGGGGCGATAAGGACCGCTGTAGCCTCGTCCACGTCGATCTGGGACGTAGACGTCGAAAGATGTCCATAGTGCTAATGCCATGTCCTTATACGTGCTGCTTGAATCGAAACCATCGTGAAGGATTAAAAGACCTGGCTTTGGGGCTTTGCTAGGGATGGAGCCCCGGGATCTGTATTCCCAGTAATCGATGGAAGTGTTATCTGCGGACTGGACGGATTTCCTGACGGCGGGGGCGGCCATGATGTTCCCTTCTAATGCGCGGAAATCTGAATGCTCCATCGTTACGGATTGATTGGGCGTACGCAAATGGACGAGTCAATCGATGAATGGATGTGTTAAGCGATGAACGGATGCGTTAATCAATGAGTGAATGGATACTTGATGAGCGTGCGGAGAATATGTAAATTGATATGTGATGAACCGGAAGAAGGGCGAATTCCTGAGATAAAAGACAGGTTGTGATGTGACAAGAGGGAGGAGCGAGCGTAGGACCATCGCAACTTCCCTTTTCAGCCCTGAGAGCACCAGTCCATCCTACGCATGAATTGACAGTATACATAAGGACCTTTATCACAGCAGAGATAAGAAGACAACCTGGAATAAGGCCTGGCTGTGAAGCTCGTATATATCGTCATGAATTCGCGTCTCGCTTACGCCCCTTTCCCTCGCAGCCTCTGTTTACACCAGAAATGAGAGGAGATAATTTGAGTAAGGAGATGAAACCATGGCCTCGGGTCTGAGAAATCAACAAGAAATCTCTCAAATATTTGATTCCCTGGAGCAGTGGAGCGATGATAGAAAAGTTTTTTAGTGAGGTTGAGGAAGGACCGCGTGATTATGATGGAAGAAGAGAGAGTCTTCTGTTTCGTAAGTCTGATGCTTAGATCCAAAGCACCCAAAAGAGAGGAAAGTAAAGGTAATCTCTTGGCAGAGCTCCATTATATTTCAGACGCGCCAAGGTTACACTTCAGAGCGCTAGACAGCACTGCGGTACCTTCGATTGGAGAATGAATCCATTGATCTCGGCTGCCATACGGTGTCAGAACGTCATATTTATTCAAGCGTAGGGCCACTCACCTAAAAATTCATCCGCCTTGCCGGACCAGTCTTCCTGGCTCTCTATTATCGAGTCTCAGAGCGGCCAAATGTAATGCACGTCGACGACAACGTACTTAATGAGCTAAGCTATTCAAATGTCAACAAATATGGAGCAGGTCAGACTTCGAGGCCAGATTGGAAAGGCTACCACTTTCCGAGTTTGAAGCCAGCAGTGACTTGGGTTGCGTACTTTGCGGAATGGTCCACAAAGTTGTCATGCATTTTCTTGGAGATAGAGACGTGAAAGATGTCGGTATTGTTGAGATCAGACGTACGCCTCGCTCGAGATATGGTTTACCACGGACTTGAAAAGCCTTAGTCGTATAGATACAAAGTTGTATAGACCGTCTGGTAAGGAATTCTTATATGCTCTCGCTTCGCCATTGCATTTTTCATTCTACGTCGTGAGCAATTGCTAAGGGACATATGATCGTATATAGAGTTAATGGTTGTTCCAACCTTACTTGCACGTCGCACGCACATATTTGAGCAGCTACGATATGTGTGCCCCAGCCCATTATCAGAACGGTGCTGGTTGTGGTACAGTTGAATCAAAGCGTGCCTGGTTGACCCGAAGAGGTACCAACGAAACCTCTTGATGTGGGAGATTTTGGCGAGACTTGAGGTTGGCAAAAGCAACTTGAGAGAACTAAAACAATGCGGGGTAATATCTCATTCGTCTTAAACAAGTTACACAACAGAAATAGAAAATGTCATCCTCGAGTGGAACTTCTTTCCAGGGGACCATTCTTGGTCAATTCAGTCATGCCAGAGGCTCCCGGGATGAATTCTTTTGAAACGGAACGGATTAAAGAGGCATTACAGAACACGCGCAAAATGAATGATAGGAATTGCCAGTCACAATCAAGGCCGAACAAGAAATCTCGGTCGAGATTCGAAAAGGCTGATGTGAGGTATGTAGAATGAACTGAAAGTGGAGATTTTCTAGGCCCCACCAAGAGCCGAGACACGCCCGATTTCGCCAGCCTTGTGACTATTCAAATAAATTTCTCTTCACCACCGCCCTCCACAACTTCACTACCACCACCAGTTCTCTGCCAATTGTCCCTCCAGCTATCACACAATGGCTCCGAACTTTCCTACAAAGAAATGCGGTATGTTACTCGCCCTAAGTTGACTCAAAGTCTTCACTGATTACCCCGCCATCGCCCTTTTTAATACATTCTAACAACCCACAGGAGTCCTGGGCTGCACAGGTTCAGTAGGCCAACGCTTCATCCTCCTTCTCGCCCAGCATCCATACTTCACCCTCCATGCCGTCGGTGCCTCCTCTCGCTCTGCGGGCAAGAAATACAAAGATGCCGTGAAGTGGAAGCAAGCCTCGCCGATGGGGAAGCACGTCGAAGAGCTGATCGTCAAGGAGTGCAAGGCTAGCGAGTTCGCAGATTGCGATATTGTGTTCAGCGGGCTGGATGCAGATGTTGCTGGGCAGATTGGTAAGAGCTTAATTGGCATCCTCTGTGCTGGGAGGGAGGCTAATGTTGGGGTGGACAGAGATGGAGTTCCTCAAGGCGGAATTGGCTGTGTTCTCAAATGCGAAGAACTACAGACGAGATCCTCTCGTTCCTCTTGTCGTACCTACGGTCAACCTACCTCATTTCGACGTTATTCCTCATCAGCGAAAACACTATAATCTCAAAAAGGGCTTCCTGGTCTGCAATTCGAATTGTGCAGTCATTGGTATCGTCATTCCCTTTGCCGCAATACAGAAAGAGTTTGGTGAGGTCGATCAAGTCAGTGTTGTGACTATGCAAGCAGTAAGTGGTGCTGGATATCCGGGTGTGAGCTCAATGGATATTCTGGACAACGTGGTGCCTTTTATATCTGGGGAGGAAGACAAGCTGGAGACAGAAGCACAGAAAATTCTGGGGACGGTCAATTCTGAGGTTACGGGATTCATGGACCAGTCAGACTTGAAGGTTTCGGCAGCTTGCAACAGAGTTGCTGTTCTGGATGGGCATATGGCTTGCGTTTCGCTGAGATTCAAGAACAGGAGTGGGCCTAAACCAACGGCAGAGGCTGTCAAGAAAGCGCTGAGTGGATATATCAGCGAGGCGCAAACCTTGGGATGCCCGTCTGCTCCTGAGCCATCGATTCTGGTGATGGAGGAGCCGGATAGACCGCAGCCTAGACTTGACAGAAATACGCAGAATGGGTATACGGTTAGTGTCGGCAGGGTTAGAGCGGACGAGAGCGGGATTTTTGATCTAAAATTCGTTGCATTAAGTCACAACAGTAAGTCTCCAACATTTTGGGTAGTTCTCCTCTAACTTGCCATAGCTGTTATCGGAGCTGCTGGATCCTCAATATTGAATGCAGAGGCTGCAGTGCTAAAGGGTTACATCTAGATTTTCAGGTTTGCGTTCATACCTTTGCTCAGTGGGGAGTTCAAAAGCAGAAAGGAGAGGGGAAATTCCAAGCACGGCTGGGAGACAAAACTTTCAAACAAGCTGCAAACTGCGGAAGCAGACGTCTTCCGAAATTCTACCTAAGAGATCAGAGACTCGTCTTTGTATGTCACGTGAGAGCGATTCCGAAGCAGGCTAATAATAACTGCTTGTTGACTTTCGCGTAGTGGAAGTGCCAAGAAGGAGTCGCTGCATCAAAACGGTGTGCCCATGATGAGATCACCCTCCCAACGTTTCCGCCCGATCATTCCAAGTATCCTCGACCGCTTTCATTCCATTCAACTCAGACAATTGAAAAGATCGCGCTGTGTCTCCCCGGAAGCTCACCTTTCGGCTATTCCTCTTCTCAAGTGCTTCAACAGGAAGAGCGACGACTGTTCTCCAAACGCCGTTGCTCATAGTGGAAGGTCGCTGTAGACATGACGAAGTTGACTTGGGTCAATTGAACTGAGTTGCGAATTACGTGATTCTTCAAGTCTGAAGAGTGCCAGGGCCAGAATCCCACCCCCCAGTTTCCAGGGTTAGCGAGAAGCCCCTGAAGCTACAGTAGGAGCGTGGCGCCCCCGCCTTCCCCCTTTTTTCGAGCGCCACTGCTTTCTCGGACTCGATCGCATCTTCTTTTCATCATCCTCGCAGTGATTGGAACGCCGCATACACCCATTCTGCTGGGCAGCGTTAAATTTGACTACAGAAAGGGTTAAAAGCTTAGCATCGCAAAGCCAGTGCCCAGTGACGCGAAACATGCCCCTCTAGAGACTGGTGAAGTGAAAGTCTCGATAGGAGAGGAGCGTCGAGAAGGTTTCCCCTCCGAAGGGAAGCGACTCCGATAGCCTGGACTGAGTTTCTCCCCTATTCCTCTTCCCCTTCAAAGCTAATGGCAAGCAGCAGCATAGGCATAGAAACCGGGGTCAGGTTGCAAGCTCGGGAGATGTCTACTTTGTGGAGGCTCTCTTGCGTGTGGAGAGTGGGGGAACTTGATGTTCCTGAACGACAGTAGCAACAGATATCATTCCATTGTTGACGCCTACCCTAGGAGCGCAGATGGGAAGAAATCCGAAGGAAATGCATCTCTCGTCAGCTACTAAGGCTTTTCTTACGGGGCTTTCCTTGGGTAAACCTTCGCTTCGCTATAACCCGACCGGTTGGCAGATATGTCCTCAATGGAGTCGTGGATCCCGAAGATTGGGTTTCAGGAAACTGTGTGACTGAGATCACTCTAACAAATGAAGTATTCTCGACCTTCTTCCTCTATTACAACCTGACAGGATCCGAATGCGCATTCTACAGCGGGACTACCGCACACCACATCTACCTCCGCTTTGGGAAGCCATCGTCAACTCAACGCACAGCTGCATATTTATCAGCAAATCCTTAGTCTTGCAACAAGGAATGAATGAGGGAAAGTTTACATAATAGTCGCAGCAAGCACCTACAAATTCATCGCATTAGCAGACTTTGGGGTACGGCGGGCTAGGATTTGTAGACCACTAAAGTTCAGGGGGCACAATACAATAATCACCATTTGACTAAGGTTATTACTGCTGTTTCGTTTCTTGTAAAAATCTGAGAGAAAAAGCAATTTTGTATGTGGATATTTACAGGCTCTGGATCGAGAAGCAGGAAGGTCATGCGCTAGAAAGCAACTGCGATATTCCCATTTTGCGGAAGGATGAAAGTATACTAAGCCCTGCTAAAACGAGAACCCGAAATAGGGAAGGCAATATCCGATCGAAACAACATAGAACATGCCACAAACAACAGACTAAGATGCCAATAAGATGGAATGCCGATCCGGCCACCGATCTAGATTTGACATGATGTCTTCCGGGCACGCATAGCGGGAGGACAAGTAAGTCTTCATGCCGCCGGGTTTACCATCGGTCCCAGTTCTGCGCGACGTTTCCATTGCCGGATCCTTGTGCATTTCCAGAGCCTTCAACACCGTCCATAGTCTCGTTGTGGAACTCGTATGTGCCTTCCCCAACAGGCGCACTGATCCCCCTTCCCACAGCTGGATCGAAGTTGGGCGCTGCCACGCCGTAAATCGATGGGCGCACATCATAGGAAGACAAGATCCCAGTTGATATTGGATATTGGGAGGCTGATGGGAGCGCCATTGGACTGAAGATAATGTTGCTGTATGGCAAGGTTGGTGACGTGAAGGACGGCGGCGAAGGCGTTGCAGACATTCCACTCTGGGACCTTGAGATCACGGAGTGTCCTTGTTGGCCTTGTGGCAGGTAGGACGGCTGCATTTGTTGATAGGGTAGGTTGCAGGGAGCGTACGTCGTGTTTGGCTGAAGACTTGTGCTATTAGACATCAATGGATGCTGGGGTCCAGTACTGAAGAACTCGGATGGGTATGGTAAGCCAGGCAGAGGTTGTGCCCCAGCAGCTTGACTTTCCAGCCTCTGCCTGTTCGTATGCTGCTCCCAAGAAGAGACTGTTGGTACATTATTAGTACTCTTGGTGGACACGGAGACATGGAACCTACCAAGTTCGTCTGAATGTTCGTCCCAAAAGTGTTCTTTAGTTCTCAAGTGTCTCTGATACGCTTTTTCACATCCAGGGAAGAGACATTTTAGGGCAGATTGATGAGCCTTGGCCTCACTTAGGTGGCGGTTGAGTTCGTGCTGCCTCGAGAAGGACTTGCTGCATTCATCGCAGCGGAACGGCCGTGTTGGGGGAGCCTGAGTGCTCTGGAGAGTGTCCATCGTCAGCAAACTGTCAAATTTCGTTCGAGAGGATGGAAGGGTTCATGTCGGACTCAAGAGATCATACCTTTCATCTCCTTTTAATCCATTCGAGAAGGGCATCGCGCTGGTATTTTGGTGGGCGCTGCAGAGGCAAGAAGCAGTGATGCTACCGCAGTCTACGGGATCCTTGTGCCAACGAGAAACGTGATTTAGATACCCTTCTGACAGACCCCGGTCGGCACACCCTTGTCGCCTTTTGCAAGTATGAGTTCTAATCGCGAGGTTTCCACCAGTTTCGCCTATTTCCCTAAAAATAGGCGAGGTACACCGAAAAGCAAATTTCAGCGAAACGCAAATATTTTTTTATTTCTCTCTAACCACGCCTTCTCCTAAGAAATCCGAAGAAGCAAAAGTGTTATTTAAGTAATAAAAATAAGATTTAGATACTCTTATTAAGTTTCGCTCACCAAAAATAATATTCTACGAGCAAGTTAAGAGTAAGGTGCGATTTTGATTTTCGACGCACGGACCAAAAAGACGATTTTGCCCGCGAGAAAATCAACTTGCGTTTCGCTGAAATTTGCTTTTCGGTGTACCTCGCCTATTTTTAGGGAAATAGGCGAAACTGGTGGAAACCTCGCGATTAACGTTTACTGTTTACTGTTCACCCCACTAAAATTCGCCCGCACCTACACTCCGCCCCTTCCCCCCTACCCATCCCTAAGCCACTACTACTACTTAAAATACTTATTCTCTTCAGTAAACGCTAAATCACGTTTCTCGCTGGCACAAGTGATTCTTACGGCTTTCCGTAGCAGATTGCACGGTCATAACTAGGCGGAATGAGAGAGTTTGGTGTTGGGTTTGTTCTGAAAGAGACGCTCTTCTATCTGACGTTTAAGTTGAGAGATAGGTGGAGAATTCAAGCACACTTTGAGCAAGCCACATCATTTTGAGCGCGAGAGGGAGGGCGGCTGGGGGCTGGCGAGGGCAAAATCGCGCCGGGCTGGATGCTTCTGACCGCTGTTTGGAAGGAACAAGCATCGAGATCAACTGGGACCGCCGAGCACTTCGAATAAACCACCGGACGTATTCAAGGCGAACATACCGCATGATATCTGAACAATAGAACCCGCTGGTCTCACTGAGCACTTGCAGAAGCTGAGCATCTCGGTACCTCCCACATCATGTGAGCTTCAGGGTGGTATCAGATGCCTTGAACTGTGATCAAATTGGAGAGCTAGCTAGAGCAGAGAGTAAAGCTAAATATAAGACAGTAAGGAGAATCACATGAATCATAAGCCCTGAAGCCCATTCCGATTTGAACCTCAGGCTCTGATGAGTGCCGCAGCGCTTGGAGCTGGTTCGACTGGAGTCTGGGACAGTGCAATTGTACGCGGCAACAAGCTGAGGGATTGCTTCCTTTTTGGGCGCTATGGCGGGGTGACGGATGGTTTGGACTGTAGTGTCTGTGTTGATTGAAGAAGCCCAGGGATGACGAGACTGCGGATCGTCGGAAAATCTTCCTCTTCTCCGATGGACACTAAATCGAGCTGCCGGAACCGCTTGTCTTCTATTTGTTTTCCCCAAGGCCTTTGCGTCGCTGGCGTGCAACGCCACTGATGCCACAAAAGCCTCTTTTGCGCCCAGATGGAAGGGTAGCTTTCCCCGAATATTTTGAAATAGAATGGTGGGGCTGTTCCACCCCGTTCACCGATACGAGCGATTTGGCAATCGGGGCTAAGCGAGGGGCCCGATTGCTTGATCGTCTACTTAAGCGAACTCCGGTTCATAAATCCGAGATCGGATACGAGCGAATTTTGAAAATATTATAATATTTTCAAATTAATAAGTTTATAAAATTCTATTAGTAGGATCCATTAAAAATTATTTAGTTAGTAATACTATTTAAGTAATTTAGCTAAAGCCTTTTATTAGAACTATATATCATTTTAATTATAAAAAGATTTTTTAAAATATATAATTATATAAATCTTTTTATCTTTAATAGAATTCAATCTAGGTAACATTCATCTAAGTTTCTTATAAGTATTAATGTTTTTTATTTAATTGAAATCTGGCCTTTGTTTTTTATTAGAAAGTTATTATATTATTTTTAAAATTAGGCCTTTTTATTAGCGAATTCCCCCCCCCCCCCCCCCCCCCCCAGTTGCCGTTGCCGCCCGGAAAGGAAGAGCTCTGAAGTAGACGTTTCAAGTAGCTCGGACCCATAGAGACCGTTGTCGTGACTTGGTTTCCACCTATACGTGATGGAGGAACAGGCGTTTGTAGTCGGAGGTATAAGGGAGGAGAACCGAAGATCAGAACTCGTCATAAGCGGGAACACCAAACCTTATCGAACAGTTGAGGACATTACTTATTATTCATACCGTCCGGCGACGAAACGGTAGAGTAGAGTTGTCTTTGCCGATAGCTCCAGCTCATGACCGCCAAACGTCACTTTCGCAGCAGTGTTTCTAGGTACCCAAATACTGAGCGTCCGCCCAGTATTTTCGGGTTGGACAGTCCCGTCGACCATGACTTGTTAACACCGCGGTGCACAAAGTCGGTGAATACCGGTAGGAGCTGAAGTCTGTCCGGGACAAGGTGGGGCAAGTGAATTGAGAAGAGAGTGCTTGAGGAGCAATGGCTTCAAGCCTAGCAACTCGAGACTACGAATCTGATCTGCAATCACACGCATTTGCGCAGACAAATCAAAAGTTCCACATTTAGAGATAAAGACGAGTGCGCAATCAGTAATTTGGGATGGAACACTCAGTAGACCTCGGAACTGTTACAGCAACGCTCTTTTACTGCTGCCACAGGAAACAAAGCGCTTGAAGTGGTATATGTAAATGGCTTGCATCGCATTTGCGGACCCATCAGCGGCACCCTAGGCCGGGCTCAGCATAATGCATGGAATAACTTCCAGCACTTTCGGTAGCCATATACACATCAGCCTCCTTCGTCCTTCAAGGCCTTCAAGGGCGATCGAAATATCAACCGCCAACAGCCAGATACGAAAGAGCATGTAGGAAGGGAAGTCTGATTAGGCTTTAAAGATGAGCGACCAAAATTCGGAACAAAGAGCTCTGTGTGTTTTGAGCTGAGCCGTCTACAATGCCTTCGATGATTCACTCAAATATACAACACTGGCCATCAGCACCCCAAAACCGCATCATTTGTAATCACTGCTGCTTGGTGAACTATCGGCGTATTGTAGGTACAACTCCTAGTGTCGAGAATCTATTGTGAACCTCAAGACGACGGCTTTCTTGCAAGACGGAGCCGCTTTCCTTGGATCCCTTGATGATACGCCATTGTCAGCGGGAGCTCTTTCTAGGAGACATGAAGGTGGTTGAGAACCAGTGTCCTCATTGCCAAATAGATGGAAGCTTTCTCTGGCCAAGCCAGTAGATATCTGGAATAATTCTGTTTGGCATGTCTGTCTCGTCTCCAGATACACAGCATGAAAACAGATATCCAGTGACCTGGGGTATAGGATATGGCGCAATTATGTTGTTGAAATCCTTTTTAACCGGAATTCGTTCTCTTTTATGTCTAAGTGCAGTGTTTGCTCGTTTTACACCGTTGCGGATGGCTGCATATGATTTTACCCTTTGTTTTCTCTCGGGTTCGCGACTGTGGCACCACTGGTGTAAGATCCAAGGCACCCATTTCACATTGCGCTGTCAATATCCGCAGAAACCCCCCTTCTTTAGAAATACATATCGCTACACATTTTATCTTATAAAAAGCTTCATATTCGAAAGTGGGAAGGAGGCTCTTTCGCGTGCTCTGGTGCAGACCCCACCTGATCGACACCTGTAGCTGCGCAGTCAATCGGAACTGATGCCTTGACCCTACCCAAATTCCTGATTTGCGCATAGTTCCCCATCCCCAGGATGCAGATTCACCAAATGGCTCTTCGATCCTCTACAGCTTGGTGGGGTGCAATGACCTCGCTAAAATACATTTTTGGGGGTACGTCCACTTCTTACTGTTTTCACGGGAATCTCTTCGTGGTCCCTTGAAACGCTTCACGACTTCGAAACTTGAGATTATATGCAAAGAATCATCTACTACGGTTTTGAGCTTCACTAACAAGAAAGACACTGATCGCTAACCCAGCCTGGAACGCCCCAAAATCCTCGCCAATTGACAGCTAATCCTGCGGCATACCGCCGTTGATATACTGCCACAGCCTCGAGACATCTTTGATCATCTTCTTAGGCTCCTGCTGGTTACCATTCGTCATTTCTTTCTTTCCAAACCTATACCAAGTCAGCATTGTACTCCTAGTTTGAGGAATAGCAACTCACCTCCTCCCCTGGTTCCCAACCAACGAGTTCATAAACTCATTCCCACTCTCATCTACTTCCCCATCTACCATTCTGAACATCGTATCCAAATAGTGCATGTTCAAAAGATGGCCTGTTCCCTTCCTTTTGAAGACGTGTCCCGCGAATGCATTTCCATCGGCGTACGGCTGAGCTTGTGGACTCGTGAACTTCAGTACACCGATGTTGGCAACCAGATCCTCGGTGTTAGCGTAATGCTCAATATGCTTGATGACTCGCTCGCCACGGCCGCCTTTGCTTTGATCCGGGTTGGTGGGTGGATGAGCGAGGAGTGGATTGTTGAAATGTCGAGCTGCGTTACCGAAAGTGAAGATTTCTAGCCTGGACATTACATCTGTTGAGATGTCGGCGAGAAGCCAGTCCAGAATGGACGATCCTTCGATCCCACCTTGGGAGTGGAGGATGAGAACCACTTTTTTGGTGGATGCTGCGGACAGGGCTGCCCTGATTTGAAGGCGTCCTTGGCGGATGTCTCGAGTTTTGTAGTCCAGATCTCTTTGGATCAGACATTCGAGTAAGTCAAAGAGCATTCCTTTTCTAATTAGAAGTTAATAAAGTTTTGTCTGAACCTGGAAGGGACTCACGTGGGATTGTGGATGCCGACGATTTCTCGTTGGAATGTCTTAGCTAGTAAATCCAGGTTTCCTTGCAACCAATGTTTCCTACAGCAAAGGTCAGCGATTGTCATCTCAGAAGAACAATCTTCATATACCCTATGGTGATGCCGTTGATGAAAAACCACAGTTCATGCTCATCATTCACGGGCATCTGGCCGTCTGGTGGAATACCGACATAGCATTCTGAAATAGGACCACCATTGAGGAGTCTCATTATTGTCAGCGTTACCACCAGCATTGCTAGAGCAAATGCAAGAGAAACAAGACCAGGCAGGAACCAGAAGAGGACAGTCATAACCGGCAATGCAAGAATCAAGACAAGCTGGATGATAATGAGGATTGTATGAAGACACATATCTCTTATATTCGACAACGTTGGAGAGAGCTCATCAAGAGACCCCGACGCACATGGCGTTAGCGGCGCAACGGTAAGTGGTAAAAGTCTGTAGAGTTCGAAGATGGATAATATGTCGAGCCAGACTAGGCGAAGGGGGTGGATGTCGTAGGGAATCGAGATGAAGCCATTATTCCCAAATGGCTCATTCGCATTGAATTCGCCTTTTCCCGACCTCTTATCTTTGACGCCGTTCATGATGACCTAGTTCTTTGGCCGAAATGAGTGTGGTTCGGGTATGAAAGGGAACTTTGTCCAGAACTGAGGCTCTAATAGGTCAAATGTCGGGCAGAATGAAGAAGACCACGAAGTGAAGCGATAACGGGAGATTTTGAGAGGTAAGGTGAATTGAATCTCAGCTTTATAGAGTCCACCTCCCAGAAAGGAGGTCACAGAGAACAACTGAAGTTCAAAATTTCATGTGAAACGGAAGGAGCGAGATATTATTCTTTCAATTCTCAGCCAGCCTCAAGAGGAACCACCTTGCCAGATTATCAGCCTGCCAATTAGGTCCGCGCGAGGCGACTTCGGAGGCGCCGCAGTATTCTTTGGTAAGGCAGCCAACTGCCTTCAGCATCGCAATGTGGAAATTTTCATGTGATAATGATTGTTTGTACTATGGCCAAGAGGCTGAAGATGCACCACGCATGCAACGTTCGACAAAGCGGTGAGGTGCAGCGTCGCACAAATATCCAAATTGGCTGAGATTCGTCGAGCATAAACCGGGCGCTGCGCCACATATGTATCCCATCCCAACATTGGCTGCCCAAGAGTTGTATAACGTGAGATGTCCACGAAAGCTGAAATATTGACGAGAGTCAAAGTTCCTCTCAAAGATAGTCACCTTCCTTCATAATTCCTGCCCGCCATGAGTTCCCCCAATGCCCCCCCGTCCATGGTAATGCCCCTTTAAGGCAAAGCCAATCCCGCCTTGACGAAGATCCCCAGGCACATCGACGTGCTCAAGAGCCAGATGGTAGATCGAATAACGCTGTACCGATGAGAACTTATTGATATATAGGCGATGGTGTATAGAACACGTGCGAAGAGATAAAGCGTGACAAAGAGGTTGAGAGTGCGAGTATCAAGTTGGGCGAAGTTTCCAGCCAAGATTGCCCCGATGAATATGGGCATGTTCTCGAACCCGTTTTTGTGAGCTGCATCAGCTCTTTCGTAACGCGCATAGATGTCCTTAGGAGTAGACTTTCGCAAGGTTTCATGCCAATTGGATGACCTTGGAGCGCTGTTGTTCCAGTGACCATTGTTGGCGGTTTTCATGATCAAAACACCATAACTGTGTGGCAGGACGCACAAGAGCCAGAAAACGGGAACGGCAAAGAAGGAGAGATTGGTTGTCATATTTGGGGAGTTGTGTGACTGGCACTGACGCTTCTTGGTTGATGGTATGAAACTCAAGATATCGAATGGAAAGAGAAAGAGAAAGATGGAAAGGGAAAGATGTGATGAAGGGGGAGAGCCGAGGTCTAGCGTACAGTAGCCTGATCCAGCAGCCAATGGCAGCCCGAGCGGGTTCCTAGTTCAGCCGTCCCGGCGCCGAGCTTGTTCTGTGGAAATCATAATCCAAATCCAAATCCAACTTCCACTTGCGGCTCATTTCTATTTCTATAAATCAACTGTGGATTGCTACCCATCATTGTGGTCTATGGTCCTTATCACTACTTTTGTTCATCATAATATTTACTGCTCCATCAAGCAGACTCTCCCGCAGGTTTCGGCTTTTGCTTCTTCTTGACTGGCTTCCATTCCACTGCTAACGCTCCCAGCACCGCCATACAGCTCAACGCCACACTCACCACGAAAACATGCCTTACAGCATCGTTATACGCATCTTTGACCTGCGCCAACAGTTCCGGTGGCACGGAAGCGGACAGTTGTGTTGCACCCGCCGCGATGACCGCCTGCACATTTAAACCTCCACCGATAGCCTCGAGATTCGATTGAAGATGCTGCGAGAACACACTCGAACCCACAGACAAGAAAATAGCGCCTCCAAAGAGCTTGCAGCCAGACATAAGCGTGGTACCAACTGGAAGATCCTTATTCTCCAAGAATGTTTGAGCGATCGAAAAGGGCTGTTGCCAACCCAGTCCCTGTCCAAGGCCAAAAAGTGCCTGATATCCAATCCATATACTCTGCGACGAGTCTGGTGTCCATGTATGGAACAGCCCGCACCCAATTGAAGCCAACACAGCGGATATGATCATATATGGCGGGAGATAGTTGACATACTGTTGAGTCTGGCCAGCGATCAGCATCCCGATTGTTAGTCCGAGAATCATGGGAAGAGAGGAAAGGCCGGATGATACGGCGGAGCGTCCCTTAACAGCTTGAAACCATATGGAAACATAGTAAAGGAGTATGAAGAATGCTCCTCCCATGCAGAAGGAGGTCAGCGCTCCGGCGGCGATCGATCTCATCTTCACTATTCGACCGGGAAGTGTTGCGGTCTCTCCTCTTTGATATTGGACGAATATCCAGGCGATACCGCTGAGTGTGAAGAAGAAGAGCAAGACTACGATCTGACCTGAGAACCATCCATACTTCACTCCTCCCCACTGTAGAGCGATGAAGAGACAGCTCACGGATCCAATGAAGAGAACCGTACCCAGTCCATCAAGTTGCTTCAACTTTTGCTCCCGCGGAAGGTTAGAAAGGGCGGGATTAGGTGCTACCGGTTGAAAGAAAAACACAATCCCCACGAGTACCACAGCACCGAGAGGAAGGTTCTATAACAATCAGCACTGTTCATTCCCCTCTCACGTCGGCGAACTTACAATATAGAAACACCACCTCCATGACACATGGTCAGTAAAAGCTCCTCCAATGAGCGGACCAGCAACGGATGCGATTCCGTACATACTGCCCAAAAGAGCTCCATACTTTGCTCTTTTCTCGAGTGGAACGGAGCAGGCGATGATAATGAAGCTTCCTGCAAAGATGCCAGCGGAACCTACACCAGCAATTGCTCGTCCAATGATTAACGCCGTTGAATTCGGTGCGGCTCCACAGATGAGCGAGCCAACTTCAAAGATCACAATGGAAACCAAGTAAGCCCATTTGAGATTGAAGAAGGTGAAGAACCTGCCCCATAGCAACTGACATGAACAAGTTGTCAGAAAGTAGGCCGAACCGTACCAGCCAACTTCTTCGATGGAATGGAATTGCTGTGTTATGCGAGGTATCGCTGTGGCAATGATTGTGGTGTCCTGCAAACAAAATCAGATTCGACCATCTTCAAGTATTTGAATACTTACCAATGCTTGGAGAAATATGGCCATGCAAGTGCAAACAAGAAGGATTGCCAGTCTCGAACCAGTTGGTAAGGTCCCGTCACCACCCGGCTGCCTTTTTCTTCTTCTGGGCCTCTCGTCGAAGTCACACTGGACGTCCTTGTCGTGATATTTGATGATCGAAACCATCGAGAGTTGGGAGGTGATATCGATCGAGTTAGGCAGTGAGCGCTCTGTTCTTACCTGTGTCGCACTCATTGGAGAGACGGGGATTGAGTTGCTTGGTGGCGATGTTGGCTCTGTCCTCGGTGGCCTTTGAGGTCGAAATGTCAATACGAGTCTGAGGGCGGTCGAGGAGGTTCTTCGAGGGCGGAAACCGTTCTCTAAGCCCTCGGATCGCGCTGTGCTTGGCGTGTCCATCTCGATGCTGCCACTATACTGGCTTCCGGTTCCACCTCCTCTAAGTCCCAGCTGTGAATTCTGACCATTTGCAAGCTCCTCCTGCAAGGTGGCGGGTCTGGATATCAGAACAGGCGTCGAAAAATCATGCCTGGTGGGGCCGATATTATCGAAGCTGTCTCTCCTAGAGAGTCGATCATCTTCTTGGCTATTCTCTACCGGTATCGTAGGCAGAGGCTTATCGTCTCCTCTAATCGATGCCTTTGCGGGTTTCCATTGAATAGGTAGATGACTGTTCCGTTCATTCTCTTCTCGTTGTCGTTCGATTTCCCAATTACGCTCGTTCACCTCTCGTCTACTCTCTGCTTCCCATCTACGGTCGTTCTCGGCACGTTGACGCTCAATCTCCCATCTCCGTTCATTCTCATTGCGATCGAGTTCAAGCTCCCAATTGAGTTCGTTTTCATTTTGCCTGCGTTGGCTCTTCGAGTCGCTGTTGCCACCCCTCCGCAGAGACATAGAGGCATCCCGACTCCCCTCCCAGTGGCTTCTCCTTCCGTTCGATTGGTTTCCGCTTTCCCATGAGCCTTCGCTTCGGCCTGCTTTTGAAATTTCTAGTATGTTTGGCTCATATCCACTTTTAGAGCTTGTGATAGTTCCGATTCTTGATCTTGACAAATGACTCCTGTCAGACCGCCAAGTATTGTTCCGTGTGGATGATGGTTGGGTATCATTCCAGTTTTCTTTTGCTCTCGTCGGGGCTGGGTTAGCATCCCAGTCATTCTCTCTTTGAGAAAGCGTTGTATGCTGCTCGCTTCGACCCCAGTTGTTAGCCATATTGGCGAACAAGAATTAAAGTATTATGAAATGTCAGAAATGAGAAGACGTCGCATGGAGTTTCATGAATGTTTGAAAGAGGAAACTTGAGAACGAGAATACGGGTTGTGGTTAAAAGATTGTGCTGAGAAACTACAGCCTACAGCATCGGTTGGCGGTCACTTCAAACCCGGTCACCGTCCTGGTCAGCAGCTTAGCAATCTACCATTTGATAGGCAATACTGGAATATGTCAACTGCAACAATCAAAACTCTTTGGTTTCTTTTCATTCGGTTTCCAAGGGGAACAGCAGTAAGGAATGGGGTGGTTGTGGCGTACTGCCGATTCAGCGCGGTTCGGGAACCGAAAGTCTTCGGGTTTGCGTCCTCACAATGGAGCTGCTGTACGTGAAACTGCACTCGTTCAAATGTTACACACACCACATTCTTCCTAACGCACATTGGTACAAGTTTCGAAGAACTGGGAATCTTGAAGACTCATCGTGTTGAGAAAGCTCCTCCATTCTTCATGACCGATGTGAGGGGGAAAATTCTCTTGAGCCTCAGGCACACATTTCGCTTAATTACTGCGCCAAGGAGTATTTAGCCTCGCTCCCAAGCTTCTACGAGCTTCACGCTTCTCTTCAGGAATTAATTACAATTCTTGAAATCTCTTGTGTTCTTACGTAACGTGAATTTGACCTGGTAATTCGTCAACCTGGTACATGGTTCACTTCTGCCTATTTGTCCTCTGGATCTTCACCGAGTCGAGAAAAGGGTCACGTGGCAGGAAAATAGCGACTAGTTCCATTTGGATGCAAAAGCTCATTTGCATGATCCTTTTAATTGCGTTTTCAATTGATGGCAAATTTTCGAGTACATAAGAAAGAAAAATAAGACAGTTTTCCCTTTTAAGTCCTTAACCGCTCTCCTTTAAACAACCAACTTGTTCTCCATAATATGATGCTCGATCCAGCCCACAGTCATTCTACATTTCTCATTAGCTTTTACCCCATATCCATCGAATCAGAAACATACTTAGACCTCTTCGTATCTGCAAAATTCTCATGATCAGGCGCCACCTTCTCCCTGAAAAACGGATCCGCTTTCATGCGCACAAAATCCTCGATATCGCGGAAAGTAGCTTGCACGATGCAGTCATAATCTGCGATGCCGTTGAACTGAGGACCAGCAATTTTGGACATGAGGAGACGAGTCTCGGATGTGTTGTGGGTCTTTTGAGTTCCTTCGTTAATGTTTTGGATATAGAAGAGGAGGGTGGGGGGAGACGAACCATCTCCCAGCTCACGATCCCATATTTTACCATCAGGTTTCGCACGAGTGGTGCGTGGACTTCGCTCATATATTTGTGGTAGTCTTCCTCGCTCATGTCTGGCTTGCGATATGCGCAGACGGTCCAGCAGAAGAGACATTCGGTGTGTAGTGACATTTTGAGTTTGATATGAAGTTTTTTGTAGATTTGAAAGAATCAGATTGGAAATACAAGTGCTGTCTCAAAGAGTGGGATTCGGTGAAAAGAAGAGAAGAATAAGATGTTTAGAAGATCATCGAGTGATGGGAATCTGTGTTGGCCACGTGCCAGACTTCGATCAGTGTTTCGGGCTCCGATGGAAGCGAGAGTCTGGATTCTCAACGTAAGATTACGATTATCGAAAGTTTGGTTTCACGAGTTCCGTGCTATTGATTCGGCCAACTGGCGGCTGGTACCTTTTGGTTTTATGGTGGCATCCGCAAGAAGCTACTACGGTCAAGCAAATCGCCATCCGAAACATTTAGACTTCGTCTTGGTGGGGTTGGAACACGGCCCGCAGATTTGTTGCCTGATTTCGAGTCTTTTAATTTGTATGATGATCGGTGGTGTTTCTATTATAGACCTTCTTGCTAGCGAATCAGAGTCACAGGTTCTAAGTTCGCAGGTTGCACCTCGCAGAATTGTATCTTACAGTCAGACCTGAATGCGTTATGCATGGATAGTACGAGACTTTTGTAATCATCCACATCAATTTTCTTAGCAAATATCGACAAATGAGATCCGTTACTGCAAAATTCTCGTGGCTATTCCTCCTTCTCCTTCTCCTCCCCGTACATACAACAAGTTTCAAAAGCCATGTACTCCGCACCCAGAAATTCTAAATAAGCCAACTGCTCAAAAGCAAACAAGACAATTCTAATGAACGTCTCCCAGATCTTTCTAGCCTTCCTTAGTAATCTCCGTAACTTCGATATCAATCTTCTTGGAATTTGTGCCGCAGAGGCCCCTGGAGCTCGTCAGCCTCCATGCTCTAAAGCTCGAGGGGCTTGCAATCACCGAGCGGTTGCTGTCCAAACATCTTCTTTCCCCCAAAATAGCTTCTCTCAATGCTCAGCTTGGCATAGACTCTCATCTCAGCTTCGTAGGCACCAATGGACTTAGCATTGATTCCATTTGTGCCAATTTTGCCGGCGAGAACAGCTGCGTCTCGGAGTGCGGTGACGGCGCCAACTCCGCCACAAGGAGACATGGCGTGGACTGCGTCGCCAAGAAGGGTAATGCGTTCATTAGGCGTCCAGAAGGGAATTTCTGGTCTTGCGGAAGAGACGCGGAGGGTTGAGGATTGAGCCACGTCTTGGAGCTCAAAGAGAGCGCGAATCGATGGATCCCATTCTTCGGTCAACTTCAGAGACAAGGCTGCTGAATCCGCGTCATTCAAGCGCAGGAGTTCCTGGTCGGGTTTTCCAAAAAGATCAGCGCGACCGATGAGAACCCAGTAGACATAGTTGTCCGGTAATTTGCTTCTGTGCTTGTTGTTCTGGAAGCGAACGGGCTCGAGGAGGAGAGTGAGAGGCGTCTCATCGATGTCAAGTGTTTGCGTCATGGGTGTCCGGTCAACGCACAATGTCATCCATTTTGTTGCTCTTGCTGGAAATCGCTGTATCATCTCCTCGGTCATGGGAGTCTTGCCGTATATGCATCGGCCGTTTGTGTCAACTATCTTGTGGTCGGGAAGAAATTGCTTGCGAACTCCGGAGCGGACGCCATCAGCACCAACCAGAAGGATACCGGTGTATGTTGTTCCATCCTCGAAACAAGCTTCCACGCCCCCTTCTTGGATCTCATAGTGCGAGAACTTCTTTCCATAAGAGATATTCTCCTCCAATCCAGTTCTCAAGAGATCCCTCAAGACAGTCCGATCAGCCAGATACGGCATCGGTCCACCTCTCAGTCCAGGTCCACTCCTACTTTTTGTAATAGTACCATCGATTGCATTGAAGTTGGTCTCTCCTGGTTTGCTCTCTGCACAAGTCTCCTCGAAATATGTCCAGAGCTCGTCACTTAAGACTTGCTTCAATGCAGCCGCACCCTCACCGTTGATTTTGAGTCGGTAGCCTTGCGGTCTGAAATCGGCTGTGGGGTCGGCTTCAAAGATGTGGAATGGTACGGATGCTTTCTTGAGGCCTTGAGCGAGGGCGAGACCTCCGAGTCCCCCGCCTATGATCAGGACTTGTGAGGGTTGTGACACGCGTGAAGGTGACATGGTTGAGGATGTTGATAGACCTCGAGAGGCGAGGTTGAGGCAGAAAGGCCACTTGTGAGAAACGCCAAAGGAAAGAGTTGGTATGTGTGCTGATGTTTTGTTCGCAGCTTCCAACCCTCTCGATTATAGTGATCCACGATTGTCACATCATATCTGAACTTTGCCCGCGACTAGCAAAATCCCGGAAGCCGAGAAGATACAAATCCGATCGGAACAACAGAGAACTCTCGATGAAATTTTTATCATTCGACGATTTGCTAACAGAATTCATTAATCATTGTTGGGTTTCCATTTGATGACCAGGCGGAGACCGAGGGGCTTCTCTGAATGGCTACAGCAGCCTCGCTTAGCGAAGCTTGCCCCTGAATCCCCTCCCTAATATTCACGTCAGATTATTGAGAAATCCATGGTCAGGGACAACCCCAGTCTCAAGCACCACTTCCGCCATATACCCATCGTGGAGAGAACGTTCAGGCGTTCTCTACATCAAATTTTCTGGCTCATTTATAAGAGCTCAACGTCACGTGCCCCCTATCGCCTAGGTTCAAAACAGATCCCAGCTCCACAACAATTAAAAATGGAGGAACTCGACGCTATATTGATTAAATATACTTCTGAAGTAACCAACCATTTATGGGGTGCAACATTTGTTGCGGTTAATGTTGAAGGTAATTCTTCCAATCTCTTTCCGCCGCGAAAGAACTGATATCGAAACAGGAGAAACACTCTACTCTAAATCTTTCGGCCAGCGTACCTTTGATACCACGGAAGATGATCCTCTCCTAACAAATTCATTGCTGTGGATAGCTTCCCTCACGAAACTTGTTACTAGTGTGGCATGTATGATTGCAGTTGAGAAGGGGCTTGTCACTTTGGATGAAAATGTGCGAGAAATTGTTCCCGAGTTGGAAGATCTGGAATTGCTTGTAGGATTTGAAGAAGGCGGAACACCGAGAAAGCCGATATTGAAGAAAGTTACTGCACCGATTTCTTTGAGGTAGGTGAAACGAGTCAAAAGGAAGGAGGTACTTTAGCCGATGATTTATAGACAGCTATTGAGTCACCAGAGCGGTTTCGCTTATGACCAGCTCAGTCCGGACTTGCAAGAATGGTCAAAATACAACAAGAGGACTGAATGGACGATGAGTGGAACCATGGTTGGTGTCTTCTCGGCATACAAGCTTGGCTAACAAGAGTAGGGTGGCTACACTCATCCCCTAATTTTCGAGCCCGGCGCGGGATGGGTTTACGGATGCGGCATGGACTGGGCTGGGAGAGTAATTGAAATGGTGAGCAAGCAGAGTCTCGAATCTTTCATGCAAATTCACATCTTCAATCCGCTGGGCATGGACTCCACTACCTTCCATCCGGAGAACATGCCAACATACGCTTTGAGGCAACAAACCCTCGCATTCCGAGATCGTGCAACTGGTGAACTTGTACCAGGAAAGAATCCTTGGGCTTCCACAGCGAGAGATTGCTGTGGTGGTGTGGGGTTATATTCCACGGCCGAGGACTATGCCAAGCTCTTGGCTTCTCTCCTCAACCCCGACTCTTCCATTCTGTCTGAAGAATCAATCAAAGAGATGTTCACAGGACAGTTGGAGAATGAGAAGAACTTCAATGAAATTATTCATGGCAAAAGCAGAGCACATTTAGGTCAGACTTGGCCTTTGGGTGCGGAGGGAACGTTCGGGCTTGGCGGGAGTATCACCTTAGAGGACTTTGAAGGGAGGAGGGCGAAAGGGAGTATGAATTGGAGCGGGATGCCGGGATTGCATGCAGTAAGTGCATTTTCAAACATGATGCTTTTGGCCGGAGAAGATTACTGATTGGATGCAGTGGGTTGACCGCGAGACTGGCGTGGCGGGGTTATTGACTACACAAGTGTTGCCTCCTGGAGACTCGATGGTTACGGTGTGTTTGCTGGAATTAGAGAGAGCGTTATATAAGATCTTTTAGGGGGGTGTACCGGCCGTAGTATGAGGCAGTGTTGGGTTGAACCAAGTAGGGCAACGCTAGATGTTACCTACTGTTCTTGCATTTGTTGTTAAGTTCCACCTCAAATGCGAAAATAAAACCAGTTATTAGCCAACGCAGCCCGGAATCCTCGTGCTCAACCCTTTCTTTTTGTCATATTTAGATTGTTGCTCCGAATATAAGAAAGAGAACAAGAACCAAGAAGCATGGGGTGAGGCTGTTGTAAAAAATTAAAAAATTAAGGTCACAGTGGCGTCTATCTCAGGATAAGTGGCATCGAATTCATCAGCTCGTGCAATTATTTAGTGCTGTAAACATGGCATACACGGAGTTCCATCCTGACGCCCGCAAGTCCCAGAATCACAAGCGTCTTTTCTCGAGAGCTCATAGGGATTTAGGAGGGGTTGGTGAGGGGTAACTAGCGCCTCGTTAAGAAAGTATGTCTTAATGCTAGATGCTTTTTGGAAGATGCCAAAGCTAGAGTAGGTATCGATATCTTGCTAGAAACTTTGGCTCTTTTTGGAGTCAGCCCAGATGATGACGGGGTGGGAGGTTGCTAAGCAGCCAGTCAGGAAAGGTCTGCATTGGTAAGAACACTTGATTATAGTTTCTTCTGTAACTGTTACTTTTCACTTATTCTATATTCATGTCCAGACTTTGGCTGTTAAATGTGGCAAATGTCAGAGGCGCAAATGAGGTGCTGTGTCGTGATCGTGTAGAGATTGGATCGTCCCAGTGACGAGGCCTGGCAATTTTCAGGCAGAATGGGCCTACGATAGGGACAAGATCCCTGCAAATATGGGCCGCGTCCGCTAAACGTCCACGGTGTTTTAGCGACTCGGTCCCTAAACGTGTCCCTGATATTCCCCAGAAGTAGATTGTTCAAAAAAGATGACTCTTCACACATATCCTCTACTCTTCACAGGATATCTTTGGACCACACCCAAACAATTCAAACTACTAACACGGCACAAGTTACTCGAAAAGCACTTTAATAGTTGCATTCCTTGGTTACTTGAATAATTTGTAAAGTAGCTCAAGTGTTGGAGATCAGGACTTCCAAATTCTTGACCTCATAGTTGGTATCTGCGAGATATTTGAGTATAAATTCAGCCTGTGCCCAATCTGAGAGAGACTTACCCCCACTCGGTCCCGGAGATCCAGAAGAGCCTTCCATCTGCAAGTCAATGATCCTGAACCAGTCAGTACCACCTCTCACATAGCCTTCCGCCATCAGAACGAACTCACAAATACATTGGTACCCCAAAAAAGTCCTTTCCCACCTGCGTTGTCACCAGCTCCCCATCCAGATAAAACTTAACCTGCACATCCTTCCCATTCAAACCCCTCAACTCAGCCTTAATCGAATGAAAATCCTCTGGCTTCGGATAATTCACATCCTTCGCCGCAACCTCGGAGCTGGTGTTAAACGTGTTAAAAGAAATGTCCCCCGAGCCTTTCCACTCCGCCATATCGATCTCCGGAGGCCAGCCTTTGACGGCCGTCAACCAAAACGCAGGCCACGTTCCTCTGGTTGTTGTGGCGCGGAAATCACCCATGAAATCGTACCCTCCGGTCCGTGAGACATTGAAATGCGCTTTTGCGTACACGGTGCCCGAGAGGTAATGAATATCGATGCTTTTGCCGCCTGAGCTGGCTGGCATTTGGCCAGCAACGGGCGAGGCAGTTAGATTGAGGACACCGCCCGAGATCTTGATGTGGTCTTTGTCCATGCGTGCTGCTCCATTGTGATCACTTCCCCATGGGTAGAGGTAGCCAAAGGAGTTTTCGAAGTCGGCTACGGAGTCGAAACATGTCTTGGGGATCACTGTCCGATTCGCTGTCCCCTGTGCCACCAAGACGGTGGAGGCTGCGCCAAGAATGAGGGACGAGAGCATTAGAGAATGCATCGTGAATATGATGATCTAACAATTGAAACTTGAAACTTTGTGCGCGATGATATGACAATGGAGAAGTTGGATGGTAAGAATTACATGCCCATATTTGCATGTGACGAGGTTTTGACAATAATCTCCAGACCTTCCCGTATGTGGGCGTCCAAATTTTGCAGTCCATTGGTAAAGATGATGTTCCGTCAATTGGAGAAAAGATATCCCCGAAGGCCGTTTTGTTTAAATGAAGACGCCAGGAAGCTTGGCAGGGTAATACGAAGATTTCCTGTTTGTGCGACTTTGTTTTACTCAACTAGCTTTGTTAGCTTACGGTCAATATAATGAGGCACAACCAGGGCTAAAGTCACGCAAGCTGGGGTATGAAACAAATTGACTTAGTGGATTGCTTTGGAGGAAAACAGCCAGGATGAGAGAGAGCAAGGATCGAGGCTTGCGGTCGTGCCTGTACGACGTTCAACTAAGCGGAGCTTACCTCTGACGAGGAAAATTTAAAGTGGCTCATGTATATATGTAACGTCTCTCATTGGGCAATTCTAAAGATACCTCGTCCCATCTATGGGGGAAAAGCTTCTTCCCGTCCGCATATTAACAAGAGATGGAATACTACTAGCTCGTCTCGAATCAATGTACTTCCTTTTCGGCGCCCAAGGCGAGAGATATTCAGCTCAGAAATCACGATCGGCGCGAAGGAGATGTCGATTGCTTTGGCAGCGCCTTTGGTGGGGGCTGCACTGGTATCTCCAGTCTCGAGGTCAGCCATAAAATGTCCAATCGCCATGGGTGGTCGCGTTCCCACGAAGTTCACCCTTCAAATGTTCGACACCACAGCCTCGCCTTTCAGCCCAAAGTACTCGAAGGGCCAAAACTTCACTTGATCACAAGTAATCAAGCTTCCCGACGTCAACGCGTGGAAATTCGATACCCTAGGCGACAAGGCAATCGAGGTGACCATCAGCGACCAGTCCATCTTCGTACCAAGAGGCGGAAAGCAGACGAACTGGGTTGATCGTGGGGAACGGCTCGGATTTGACAAATACTAGAGTCAAGACTTTCCATTGGAGTTTTCAGCAGGATTCGAATATGAAGATGAACTTGACGCATGAATACACGAATGTTTGGCATGAAAGGAAGGACTATAATGGCGGTCAGTTCTCTGTCAATACTGGTATCATTCTCGGTGAGGACAAACCTACGGATAGTAATGTGTCAAAGACTGGATTGGACGAGAATCTTTGGAAGATCCTGAGTAACAAGAATGATGTGATTTGGACGACAAGCATTGCGTGGGATGCCTGGCAGAATTTTGCTGTGACGGTGGATTACGTGAACAAGTAAGTTCTGAGCCAAATCCGCTGACGCCTCCCCGAGAAACATTGAACCATACTTTGCTGAGATATCTGACTCGGGCTGCACTACGCTCCAAGTCTGGTATTCCGCTGGAGGTGACGCGCTCCAGGCCGTCACTCGGCCGCTCGCCAAGGACAACAGCGGCGGTGGGCAATTCCAGCTCGGGATGGCGAAGAAGGCAACGGAGGCTGTGACCGTGGTGTATGGTGGGTATCACGAAAGCAACATCCACGAAGGGCAGATTTATGGCGGCATTTTCATCGAGGATAGCATCGGTGGATGCATCTCGAAGTAGAGTATGGCAAGAAAAGATAAGAAGCGAAGATTCCAAACGTATAACAATCGTGAAGATAAAAGACTAATTGGCAAGATCCGTGCTCGCAGTTGGGAAAGAAGGCTGCGAGGGTGGGCAAAATCGAGTTGGGAATAGCTTCCCCTTTCCTCGCTAAGCGAAAGTTAAATCTCCAGAGCCTCAAAAAGTTGCAAAAAAGCACAAAAAAATGTGAGAACTTTAATATCCTAAAGCATCTATACCTGCGCCCACTAAAGTAGAAAGAAAGAAATAAGTAAGAATAAAAACAGCAAAACTCCAGGACCCTCGGGGGGTCCCTTGAAAAACCCCCCGGGCAGGATTTTTGAAGTCGCTCCACCCTCAGAGTCGTGTACTGAGGTGGGTTTTCGGTCGTCGGAGATCGGCCCATCGATCCCCCTCTTCAGCCGCCAGAAGAGTTTGTTGTCGTTCCTCGTATACGCCCATCGGTCCCCGCTCTCCTTCGCACAGAGAGTTTTGTTGTCGTACCTCGATTCGTGGTAACCGTTCGGGATTGGCGTTAGTTTGTTGACCTTCGATCCCGCCATAAATCGACCCGAACTTTACCGGTTCACCGGAAAGCCGCCATTATGGTGACGGATTTTTCTTAATTAGCTATATAACACCCTTCTTTCAACGAGGCTGCACACACGTGATAAGGCTCGAAAAGGGGGGCCAGGGCTTCCCAGCTCAACGCACGACCTGTGCAGCGCCTTTTGCAGAGCAAAAGGTCTCTCACGATGAATGTTCAGCATTACAAAGCTCCCATGCATTTCAATTATTGAGGAGATGCATGTATCTCCCTCTCAATCTAGAAAGGAGAAGCATCGTTGCAACGATTAACACACAACGAAATTTCGTCACGCAGCAGGACGACAGTGCAGCGCGATATGCTGCGACATGATCTCGCACGGCATACATTCAGCATTACAAAGCATTGATACACATCATTCAAGCGTCAGAAGAACTCAATCTCCCCTTGTCTTTGCAAGAAGGAGCATAGTTAGCATGGATATATGAAGGTATTCGCACTGCATAGCATTCTAGGCTTCCTCGTGCTGGAGAATTCATACCTCCCAACACATTCCATCAGTGTTTTTGGGAACTGGTTGATGTCATTGAAGTAACCAAGATCGCTGGCTCCTTCCTGTTAATGGGGAGGAGGCTTGCAACACGTCGCAGGGTGTGCTCTCACAACATGAGGAAGGAACGAAGGACTGGGGGTCACGCAAGCAACGCACTTCAATTTGTCAAGATGAGCAGGAATGGAAGAAACGCTTAACGGAGCTCGTTGAATCAAATTTGTTTCGCAAGATGGTTCGTTCAAGGAAGATCGAAACTCTTGCATCGCACCACGACGTGGCTTCGCCAGCGGGATGCTTTTCCTATTTCGACAAAACTAAAGAGTTCAAACAGAATGCAGTACATGGCAGCAGAAATCGAGTATGAACAACAAAATCAGATTACATTAAATGGCCAAGAGAAAATTGTATTACGTTCATATGAAATCGATACTCCGGTAATATCCTCCACTGGTGGCTGTACTGCTTTCGATGTCGACTGCTGACAAGAACGCCATGTAGATATTTGACTGCTGTGCGGCCAAGCCCTTTCCGCAGTCCCGATCGTCATGGACGGAGACCTCTCTTCTTCTACGGAAGGCAGCGACTTGGATATATGAATTGACTTGGCATACTTGGGGAGTTTGAGTCGCTTCAAGGAGACAATTGATGAGCAGCACAGAAATATCTTCAACAACGAGCGACTTTGGTCATCATAGAGGGTCGCGATATCAATGGGGGCTGCTGTGAGAAAGATTCTCGACCACGATCCTGCGGGCGATGTCCCAGGTTCAAGTTACGGAGTCTCTTTGCTTCCCCAGCGGAGCCCAATCATAAGGCACATACTCATCATATGAGTGCCGTCGTGTTCTTTGCCTTGGGTTTGCGCGCTGACCACGAAGAAAAGCGCTGAATCACCGAGGGCTTGGGCTTCTCAAGAGCTTCTTGAACATCTAGCATGCGCAGTATATCCTCAGTAGCAGGATGCGGATATTTGGGTAGTCCCTCTCGAATAATCGTATCTGCCGTAAGCTCCCTCCCATCTTTGAGAATGCAGATAGCTTGCGGATCCGCTCCGTATTGCAAGAATAGCCTGATCACATCAAACTGACGGACAAAGAATTCTTGCTCCAAGTACCGTTCCTCGAGAGGCTGGAGCACCTGTTGCCAGATACTTGACGTCTTAAATATGTTGGAGTTCGTTCCGTTCTTTGTTGCATGCTTCAGGAGAAGGCCAACCATCTCCTTGTTGTGTGCGACATCATAGTTATGAAAGCTTCGTGCTCCAAGAGCGTACGCCAGGAGAGTTCGGACAGTCACCCCTTGTTTAAGGAGTTCTTGGGAACTGAGTTGCTTTTCAACGTAGGACCACAGATTGTATTGAACAGCAACTGCCAGGAATGACTCCGACCACTTTTCCGGATAGAAGCTGGTGGAAGTTCTCCTGTGCGCCTTTATTGTCTTTCCTAATTCATGGACCAATGCCATGTGGGATTCAGTGCTCAAATCCGCGGCCGAAGCGTATTGCATAGCCTCTCTGGCCAGATCCCAAAATCTGGACTGTGTATTGTGTTTGGGAATGATCTTCAGCTGAAGCAGCGACGATTGGAGCAGACTGATATTTGCATCGAATTGGAGCTTCTTGATGTGAGAAGTTATCAAATTGTGGATTTCAGGCTTTTCCAGATAATCCCTGACTGTCCGGTGGAGATATTGCACTTTGCCATTTGCCTTCGACGCCGGCTCGTACAGCGCTTCTGTGACTGTACCGGAGATTTCGATCAAGCCAGCACAACGAGCTTTCATTCGATCTTCCATTTTCTGGCAAGCGGACGTTATTTCCCCTTCATTCCACGGACGAAGTGGGCTGGTGATTGCCTTCTCAAAGTAACTCTCGTCAGTAAGAGCAAATGCAAGGACACTAAGTTCCGAATCTTTAGTCTCCCGTATGATCTTGAACATTTTCGTAGCGTCATCCATGTAAACGGGGTCAATCTTGTTCATTAACAGATGATGATAGAGCTGCTTGAGATCTGTGGGAAGAACTCGAAGTCTGCTTTGCAAATCGTGGACACCGTTGTCATTTCCGAAACCGCTCAACAGACACTCGACAACAAGTCGAACCCAAAGAAACACCCCATCCGCAGAGGTAACAATTTCTTGCTCCAGCTCGGCGGCGGGGATGGGTTCTTTCGCTGCAAGTTGCTGATATCTCTCACTTGTTGTCAGCTCTTCCTTGACATATTTCTCGACATCGTTGAGTGTCAGATCCTGCAACTTGAGACCAGGAAAGGCGGAAAATGTGTCCTCAAACACGATCAATGGCTGGCTTGAGACACAAAGTTTGACATTTTGGGAGCGAGAGAGCCCCTCGAATACACCCACAATCTTGCTAAAGTCTCCTTCGTACTCGTCCAGACCATCAATGAACAAACAAAGTTTCAGCGGGACTTTCGTCTGCTGCACAAGGATGGTAAAAGCTTGTGTTAAACTGGACAATGACAGCTTCTTCTCTGGCGAGTGAGGCGTCAGTGGATCGAGCGCCTGCGAATAGGATCTAGCCCAGAGCCAGGGCAGGACTACAGGTATCAAATCTCGAGATCCGTCGAGGATTTCGAAAAGGAGAGCTCGTAGAAGACCAAGTTGAGATCTTTGCTCTTTTGTACCTGTATTCCAGAAGAAGAAACCCGCTCTGATGAGCGTTGTGGGGCCTGCCCATTCGGATAGCTCCTGCTGTGTTTTGGGGTGGTGATAGATATATCGCATCAAGCCAGATTTTCCAGATCCTGCTTTTCCATTGATCCAATAAACACCATCTCCAGATTTCAACCAAGATGAGAAGCAGCTCCATGCGTTGTCTTTCTGTGGCTCGAAAATCCGTTTGAAGGTGCTTTGATGTGCTTCGGATACCTCTTCGAGCCGGTCGGTCGTAGTCGAGAACCGTAAATTTTCGAGAATCGATGCCTCAACTTCTTGCTTGAGCTTCAACTCGTCTGCTAAAGCTTGAATTGGAGTGGTCCTCTCAGAGATAGTATTCTTAGAATTTTCAGCTCGTGGAGAAAACTCGCCAGTGAAAATTTCCCCTGGAGCTGATCTGGTTAAGCTGCCGACAGCCAAGTCCAGCCGATCAAGCATTTGTGCAACGGCTGTTCTCTGATCCAATACGTAGCTTGGAAGAGAGCTATGTGAGTCAAGCAGAGCGGTTATGATCATTTGGGACTTGTCATCGAGACGGGCAAATCGCTCTCCCTGCTGTAATGATACAGAATCGATGCTGACACAGGAATTATAAACATCCGATATTAACACGAAAACGGTCGTTATTCTTACCTGATATCAAGCAGCCAGCTATCAAGAGATTTCCTAACTCCTTGCAGCTTCTGGATCAAGGCTTCTAAGTCCTTCTGAGCCCAGGTCGCCTTCAGCGCTGGTCGAAAACCCTTCAGAGATCCTTTCTTTCCTTGCACTTTGAGCGTCCTGAGGTGGTCCATCAAATCCTGAATAGCAGTCTCACATTTTTTGCAGTGATCTTCAAGAACAGCTCCATCCTGCAAGGCCTCCGAAACACCATCATGTCGCGGTGCGTGGCTCAACCTCTTGGCGAGCCCTGATAAGTCCCTTGCCACACATTTCAGCTCTTCATATGCCGAGAGTGATGCGAGTGATCCAGAGTATAACTGGTGACCTGTTGTCAAGATCTTGAGTGCAAAATCGACAAATTGGCTCAGGGTTCCTGCCGTCGAAAGGGCGGTCAATGGGTCCATTGCGTGAAAATTAACGGCAAGCTCTCAATGCAGTTTCATTGTATTTCAGCAGCATGTCGGAAATCCAGCCATATTTCTCGCAAGCGTGATCCGATGGCTCGGAAATTCAAGAGGTTGGGTGAAAGTGACGGTGGAAATGCCCGGCAGAACTGTTGAGGTCCTCTGGACGCCACGGGAAAGTCCGATTCGTGGTGGAAGCGAAGGCGCTTCAGTTGTGCGGCAAATTTGGTAGCCATGCGAAACAATGTGCTTTTTTGCATTCTGGATGGAAAAAGCATGATGACGCCCTGAGAGAAGGCTCGATTAATTCGGATATTTTGATGTCACTGGAAGAAGAAAGTTAAGCGTGTGGAAATTAGAAAGAGGTTGCGACTTAAACTAATCCCAAAATGGACGAACTACACCTCATGCGCTTACTCGGTCCGCTAGGGCCCGCTTCTCTCCTCTCGAGCCCGAGGTTCGAGCTGGAGATCTCTGTTTCTTTCATCCTCCATTGCAAGTGTAGTAGTGTACAAACCATCACAGTACGTACAAGTGTCCGCTAGGTTGTCTGGGTAGACGCAACGTTTGAGGTTGGTAGGTCGATTGCAAACTCCCCATTGAGACTGACCAGCTTCGAAGACCAAAGATTTGTGGAGCAAGAGGTTGAGTTTACCAGAAGGAGATCTGGAAACCCTTCTGATTCAGGCTCTTCAGGGAAACGACAAGGCTTGGGGAATCGCCGTGAAATCATATTTACTCTGAAATTCAAGAGTTTTGGAGACTGACTTGATGGGGTAGTCTTTCATCCAAGCTACTTGCTGGATACGGAGCGATATTACTCTGCATGGTCCAACATTGCCCCTTGGCATCGCAGTAGAGGAAGTGCAAGATGCAAGAGATTATATTCTCTCCGCTTCAAGAGTGTGAACAATCGTCAGGGGCAGATCCAATGCGGGGCTGCCCCCCTCCAAAATCAAGCTTTTCCGGCGCCACTGCCATTGCCTCCATCTGCATTCCTGCATCGTCATCGCATAACGACGCACTGCAACTGGATCACCTACCCACGAGCTAGCTTCCTGGTTTACGACTCGGTAAGATCGGACGCATGAGTTTGTGATATTTCTCTTCCTTTTCTCTCTTCATTCTCCCTTGCTTTCGTCTCGAAACAATTCCAATATTTCAGTTCGTGGTCAATCATTTGCTTGAGATTAGACTTTGACCTCAGCCACTTTCTTCTCTTCTCTCAAGGCCAATTGATACTCACTGGAAGTTCTCGCCATGTGTCGTTGGTTTGCTTACATCTCCGCAACGGAGCCATGTCTTCTAGAAGACGCCCTCGTCAGTATGCGCCTCCCTTCCTCCCTCTCAATCCCATCTAACTCTTTCAGCACCTGTCCACGCCCTTTCCAAACAAGTCCACGAACACTACCTCCCTAAGCTCCTCTCCCACGACCCCTCAGCCCACACCCAATACACAACTGAAGCCGAAGTAACTACCCGCAACCGCCTCTTCAATGTCGATGGCTTCGGTATGGCCTGGTATAGCCCCGACCTCTCAACCTTCTCTCCATCTTCCTCAACCAAGCCCACATTGCACCCCGCACTTTACAAATCTATCCAACCTCCCCTCCACGATTCCAACTTCCGCAGCCTCTGCGCCAACACGTCCTCCCCTGTCCTCCTGGCACACATTCGAGCGGCGACAGCGACAGCCATCACACCAACCAATAACCACCCCTTTACCTTCGGCATCCACACCATAATGCACAACGGCTACATCTCCTCCTTTGCCCTCATCAAGCGCGCCCTCTGCGCCGCCATGTCCCAAGAAACATACGCGCACATCCAAGGCGGCACCGACACGGAACACTTCGCCGCCCTCCTCATGACGAACCTGTGTCCCCCCTCTACTTCTCACAACCCAAACCCTTACTCCGGAGAAGAAAGCGAGGCGTCATTCCCAGCGGCGTGGGAGCATTACCACAGCGTCGAAGAAATGCACGCCGCTCTAGTGCAAACGATCTCCACGATCATTGAAATCCAGAAGTCTGAGCTGGGTGCGAAAGCAGAGCCTAATGATCTGAATATCTGCGTTACGGATGGACGGTCGCTTGTTGCGTGTAGGTACCGGAATCATGCTACTGAGCAGCCTCCTTCCCTTTACTATTCTACGGCTGCAGGCGTGACGTTGAATAGACAGTTCCCTGATCATCCTGACGGAGCAAAGGGTCCGCATGGGAAGGGGAATGGGAAGGCTGTGAGTGGGAAGAAGGCGGCTGAGGGTGCTGAGGGACACAACCCTCATGCGAGGCGGGATGCGGGAGATCATGGGAAGCATGCTATTGTTGCGAGTGAGCCGACGACGTATAAAGAAAAGGAGTGGACGTTAATTGAGAAGAATCGGGTTGTCTTGGTTGGTCCTGATGGCACTGTGACGGTTGAGGAGATTGGTGTTTGAGTGAGGGATCGCAAACTGGAGTTGAAATTTTGACTATTGGATCAGAGGAAAAGAATTTCCGATAGAAAAGTGCGCGGAATATGGAGAATGGATGGCGAATATGACGACCACCAAGAGACCAGCACTCAAAACTTGTAAAAGGTATCATGGGAGACCCATAAAAATATAAAGCATGAAAACATATCATCATAGAGAAGGATGAGGTTGCGCAATAATTGCTCCATTTGTTGTGGCGTCTATCTGAAAAACAGCTTGCTGCTGATCACCAATCAAAACCAACGCCATACGATATGCCGCTGTTCTTGCCAGATGTGATCTAACCATTGCAATGCAACGCCGTGTCCTTCGCTGATGCTCACATCCATAAAATCCCATGCAATAAACCCGATACTCACTGCAGCTGAGGCAGCATGAAGTGAAACAACCGAAAAAGAAGGAAACCCCTTGTCTGCAACCCACCACGAGATCACAATGCAAACTTCATCAACCCAGAAGTGCCCACTACAAAGGACGGGAAAGAACCACCAGCTCACTCCTCACGGAGACCAGAGATCAGGAGAAACTTAAGAGTCCATCATGCGAGCCAACTTGTCCAAAACAGAGCCCTTGATCTCAACTGGCATGACCTCTTCCTCCACGACACCGTCCTCCTCCGAACGAGTTGCTTCAGATGCTAATCCGCCAACAAATTTTGACAACTTCTCCAAAGGCGACTCCTTGATCTTGAGCTCAACAATCTCTTCTTCAACTTCCTCGGGAGGCTCTGGATCGGCGGTATTGGCAGCGATGTCGACGACGGGAGATGAAGTAGGCGTCGCAACAGACGCATGGTCTGAAGTCGCAGGTGAGCTTCCCTCAGCATTATTAGTGTTGGGTGATGAGCTTCGTCGCCAACTCTTGAAATACGACGGTCTCGAGCCGGTAGAGTCATAGGATTGCACCTCTCGCGGGTCATCAAATCCGTCCAAGATGGTTCTCGGAACAACGTCTTCAACTCCAGTACCACTGCGCAAGTGCTCAAGGATTGGTGAGTCTATGTGGAACTCAGTTGCCAGAACAAGCTCTCCGGAGCCGCCCATTGTGAAGTCATGCGAGTCTCTGATATCGAGATTGCCATCATCAGAGAGATCGTCGGAGTCACCGTCATGGCGGAACAAGTCAAGTTCTTCGCCACGATGAACAATGATACCGTCTTCTTGCTGAATGTAATCGTCGACATCAACAAGTCCGCCACCTTGTCGCTTTCGCGTATGGCCAGCCTCGCCAAGAGTCAGAGGAGCCAGGCCCAGATCCTCAAGATCGTCGGAGACATCAATGCCAGTAGCGATGCGGCCAAGTTCCTTCTCAAATAGCCATGGAAATGACATCAAGGGCATGGATTTCGGCTCCATTTTGCGTCTCGGTACCTCTCTGCCGCCGACAATCTTCATTGAGCGGCACTCCGCCAGCATGATGTCCATTTCCTCCTTAGTAACCTTGTACATGGCGGCCACGAAAGGTCCAAGAACGGCGAAATCTTTACTGCCAGCGTGCTTAATGCATTCAGTGCGATACTTGTCCTTCAGACCGTCAGAAATTCTGCCAATCTCTTCCTGAAGCTTGTAGTCGCTGCCGACGCGGGGCTTGGAGAGCACAAAGGTTGACCAAATTTCGAATTCCGTCTTGACTTCGTGGTGAGCCAAAATCTGACGCATTTCCCTGTCGTACTTGCCCTTGAGTTGACGAGCAGTCTTCAATATATCGTCATCCAACGAGTATGCTCGCAATATTCGCTTGTCGAATGGTTCTTCGTACTGGGGCTTGAAATTGACAGTCTCAACCTTATCATAAAGTTGGCCAAGGATCCTGTTCGAGTGATACTGAGCGTCTTTCGGCTTGTGCCGCTTCTCCATGAAGTGTGGCCATTTGCCAGGACGCAGACGCTTCGGCATCTGAGCTGGCTCGCCCGTCTTCACATAGTCGACTGCCTTAGAGTGCAAGGCTGCGAGTTCAAGGCCTTCTATATGTCAGTTGATTCACAACTGAACAAGGGGGGTCCACGTACATTTTGGGTCCTTAACACTGCCTTCGAGGAAGTCTGATTGAGCGAGGTGAGCATGTGCAATTGTCGGTAGGGAATCATTCTTCATGAAGCGGACGAAGAACTTCATCAAATCAGTGACTTCGACTGGTCGATTGTGCTCCTTTGGTGGAGGAGCAGAATAGTTCATCGGTTCACAGTTCCACTCCGGTGGTCTCAAGTCCTTATCCCAAATGACGAAAAAGTCATCACCATCAAGATCACCTCCGGAACACATGCTCGGGACGTCGCGCTCGCCTTTCAATGGAAAGACCACAACATCTCTGAGATGATGCAAGGCTTCAACGTCGACTGCCTCCACGACTCTGAGATCGCCAGGGTGCAGAGACGGGTTCCGCCCAACAAGACAGATGCCTTGAATGACATTATACCGATTTGGATCGGTCTTGTCTGGAATCTGCAGGAAAATTTGTGGCAACTCATCCTTCGTGAGCTGCTCGCCGGGAGCCACTGTGGGCTTCGCGTATCCTCGCAACGTTCCGGTCTCGTCTACGCAACCAAGAACAAATGCCCCGTTCTCAACAATGATCTTAGCCTTTTCCTTGAGGAGCTTGATGGACCAGGCGCGCCAAAGGTGAAGCAGGGACATCACAAATGGATCTCTCTCGGCCATGAAGCCGTTTCGGATCATGGTGGCAATATTGATTGTCATCTGGTTGTCATCGATGTATCTCAATAGGAGACTAACAGCTAGGTCGTCGTTACTCATAGCACTCTGATAGTTCTCAAGCTGTTCAGTAAGCATCTTCAAGAATACGTCGTCTTCGACACCGAGGGATGACAGGATCGTAATTGTCTGCCGATTGAGAGTGGCGCAGGACAAGTGAGAGCATCTGATGATTTCAAGGCCGTTGTAAGTAGCAGTGAATTTCTGCTGGCTCTTTCGAATGTGTACTTCCTTGTCCTTAGCTTCAGGCCAAACAACGAGTATGCCTTTACATCCGCCAAGTCGGAATTGGAAGGCAGATGGTGCTGTGTTTGAACGAATACCTAGCTCTGCCGCAATCATCTGTGCAAGGAAGGGAGAAATCTTGCCGACTCCATCCGTTGAGCAGTATTCCTTATTTTGCCCCAGGAACACGTCAGGAATCTTTACGATATCAGGCTTCGAAAGTCCGTTGATAGCTCTCGTTGTGGAGAAGCATTGACCCAATCGAGCTGCATATTTCGCAACGACCTTGATATCAGAGAAATTCCCCATCCAGTAGCGGATATCGTCACAGGATAGATGGTCTGTCGGGCAGAAGAAGTAGGCACCATTCTCACGGAATTGAGAGTTGCCGAATGCCAAGAACTCGTAATGGCGATCCCCGATCTGGATACCATTGAAAAGAGTTCGGTAAACACGGGTGAAGAGTTCATCGTTTCTCTGCTTCTCGGCACAAGCATTGATACGACCCTGATAAGTTTAGCTTAGACTAGTAAACGGCGCTGAGTTTACAAACCTCAAACAGCTCATCTGTAAATTGGACGCGGAGAAAGCGGCAATCTTGGTTCTCCCGGGCGTAGTGTCGAAGTACTCGATTGGTGGTCTCAACCGTCGGTGTGCTGAAGTAGATTGTACTTGGCGTAATTGTCGCCTTGCGAGAATAAGCACAGTAGTGAGGAATTTCTGCCTTCGAGGAGAATCCAAGAGCCTCCACGTCTTTAAAAATCGACATGGGATCGAAAACACGCTTTTCTTGTCCTGCGACGTATTCAAGGATATCTCGTGCCTTTGTGGAATCCTTAGCCGCGATTTCTGCGAGCTTCTTGACGAATGGTTTGGTGATGTTGTGTTCGTTGATAATTTCACGAGAGATGCAGACTTCCAGTTGATATCGAACCTCAAAAGGCAGGGACATAGCGGGGTCATTGCCTTCTAGATGCAGTAGGTTACCAGAACCTGAGGTAGACACTGCCGGGTCGATCAGAGACCAGAGGGCGGCGGCCTGAGGTGGGACCTTGGTGAGAGTTGGAACGGTGAGAATCTCGATGTTAAAGTCCTGCAAAGCCTGCTTCATTGTATCAAAGAGGCCATCCGAGTTTCGGTAGCGGGGGAACTCAAAGAGATATGTCGTCCATCGGCCTGGCTAATCAGCAAGTCATTTTTATAAATTCAGGGACGCATACCAATGTCAATAACTGGTCTCTCTTTATGAAGAGTGACCTTGGCTGTTTGCAAGCGGTAAGGATCATACACAATATCCGTCTGCCGGTACCAGGTATCAAAGTCAGACCAGATTAGACTTCCGTCTGCATGTCCGGCTTTCTCGTCCTCTCGCTTTCGGTAGAACTGAGGAGGGGAATCTAGGGTGATGACCAGGGCAAAGACTTGAGGGTTAAGGTCCATTCGTTGGATCTTCTCCACTTGACCAAACGGTACCTGAAACATGTACCGATTGACTCGATTGTATTCTGCCACTTTCGAATTGCTGAGATAGTCTGTGGCTCCATTAGTACGCGGATCCTGAAAGTGCACATTGAAGGATGCGACGATTCGGTTGCGCAGGAGATCAACAACGAACGTCAAGTCTTCCTGGATGGGGGTAACAGAGTGCATTGGCATTATGGACTGCGGATTGATCATGAGGCCGAAATGGAGGGCAGTAGCGGACATCTTCATTTTGGGGTCGTAAAAGATGTGTCTTCGGATGGGACTCTGAATTTGCAGACCCTGTCTCCTGTCATCATTCATGGAAACGTTGACCACGTACCAGTAGTTGGCATCCCTCATGGTGTATTTACCAGGATTTGGCTTAGACATTAACCAAAAGGGATCCTTAGGCGGTGGAGAGAATTTGACCTTTGCTTGTATCTCTCGTGGTCCACTTCTGGTCTCAAAAAGCTCGATGAAGGTGATATTTCCCTGGGATCTGAAGTTCTTCCACACAGAATATGTTGTTTCTGTATCTACGAGGCCCCGAACTCTGATAACAAGCTCGTCCCATTTTTGCCACTCGAAGGATGGTTTGAGGATTATGGGTGTTTGGATAGTTGTTCGTGGGGCAGAGCGGTGGTTCCGGATAATAGAATGATCCATTCCCGGTCCATAATAACGAGACGTAGAAGCCTGGTGTTTAGTCATGGTGAAGGTGATGCAGGATACTTCGATGCCGGTGTGTGAAGGGGGTGGAAATTGACGGCGTCCACGTCAGCTTCAACGGTAACAGTGCATCAGGAAGCGGCCGTGTCGTCCGAGCAGTGCAAGACAACGGTGTATGGTTTATGGTGGTGGTATTGAAGCTGATGCACTTCAGAGGATTTGTGCTATGTCGCAATGTCGTGATAAGGTTTTGACAGAAGACGCGATTCGCCTGCGTGATGTGGAGTGGAGGGGAGGTCGATAAGGTAACGTCTTGTGTCGCAGGATAACAGGTGGCCTGCAAACTGCTATGTAGGATGTTAGCCTTGAGAGTGGAAATGAAATGAGCGAGGAAACAAGGTTGAAGAGGGAAGGCATGTGCAGAGATAGATTTGAGAAAATGGATGGGGCGCCCGTTCAAACAGTCGAAGTCGTAATGAGGCAAGTGAATGCTATTAGTGGCATGACAGCGGCGGAGAGCAGCAAGAAGCTAGAATGGGAAGGTGATGTACTTTGGCAGACCGGAAGGAAAGGTGAGGATATGCCAGCGCGCATAGCACGGTCGGCCTTGACTCTTGGTTTGATATCCAACTGATATCGAAAGTGGAGCGGGGTGACAAAAACGAGAATCGCTAATCGATTTACCTTCAAGACCTGCCAATGCTCGACTTGACAAGCATGTGCTTCGTTGAGATCATGGAAGTAATAATGGAGTCAATTGGGGTCGTTGCTTGAGACTGCCCCTCTCGCGGTGTTTCGGGATGAAGCACTGGTGAAGTGCAGAGCTTAAGTCGGAGACGCGAAGAAGCGCGTCAGCTACAAAATCTTTTGCGGCATCACGTGACACAATACTGAGAACACGACGGGGATCCTTGCATTTTCTTCAACAGCATTCGCCTCTAATCCCCATCTCAAGACATGTTCATGGCTGGCTGCTTATTCTGGGTTTGCATTCTTCCAGTTGTCCATCTGGCGCAGGGAGTGTCGTCCGCTCGATGGGCAACGAGCTCTCGATATGAGCTAGAATTTCTGACCAGTCCCGCAATTTCTCCACGTTCTAAGTCCCTCCCGCATGTTATCACTGATCTTCGCGCCCAGGTACCGAAAGAGCCTCATTGCCCCAACCACCCGGATCTCTCAACTGCAAGCCTCTATCAACAGCAACTCCCAGATCAAAACTTCTCCGCGGGCAAGCAAAGTCCCGTCTTCGTTTCCACATTTTGGACGCACAAGAAAGATCCGAAAATAGCCTCACTTCCGGATTTGGTACCCCTGAAATTCGACAATTCGATGTTACAGTTTCCCGCACTTCCTGCACGTCAGGCTCAAAGGACCAATGCTAACCATACGTCACCTCTCGCCTGCATTATCAGCGTGGAGGTCGCTCACGATGTGTGGGGTCTCCGTGTGAAAGACAGAGATGTCATACTGTACTGGTCCGATTCGACAGCGGGGTCGAGCGGGGGGGGCACTGTGGGGGTTGCCATCTTTAGTTGCACTCAATACTTTTCCTCCTCGAATAGAACGGAGCAACATCATGCACAACCAGAAACGAAAACAAACACACCCTAGCTCCGAATTCCTCACCGTTAGATCTTCAACGCCACCAACTGCGCCTTGGAACCCCCAATACCACGTCACAACTTCCCCGGTTTCCATACCGACTTTTCATGTTTGCCGGCTGCAAGCGAAAAAGCAACGCCAAAACCGGGCTTTGGATGAAAACATTCGGGAGAGGAAGCCGAGCATACAGCGCTAAGCCTTGTCGAAATCGCCATGCAGATGAGCTCTCCCATTCAAGAGGTGTACTTCATACCGACCTTTTGCCTCATGTTTGCTTTTGATTGCCAAACTTGGCCCTGATCGACAACGTGCCTCACCTCCCCACGAGGATTGATTTTTTTCGTTTCCACCTTCCCGTTCGGGGACGAAGGGTTGTATTGCAGCTCCCCTTTGCCTCGATCTGGGCTTTGACGGCGAGACCGAGCAAAAGGCCAACAGGAAGAGACGAGTTAACAAGCAAGAAAATTATCGTGTCTTCGTTAATGCTAACCCCTGGATGCTTCCTACCAAAATGCTATCAACCGCGAGGAGGATGAATCTATGCGATCCCCGAAACGAAAATCGAATGGGCCTCCCAAATGTGCAGCCTCCCCATCCTCCGTTTATACCCGAAAAGAAGATGCAGAACCAAATCGCCAGGCAGTTAAGAAATATTACTTCCTCTCGAATCCCGCCTTTCCATCAGGATATTGATCTCCAAAAAGAAAGTCAGATTCGCGAGGGAACATCCATAATCTTCCCAGGGTTCATAATCCAAAGTGGATCGAGGGCCTGCTTGATGGACTTCATGACACCAAGAGTATCAGGTCCTACTTCAATCAACAATGCCTCCTTCTTCCCAATGCCAATACCATGCTCGCCCTGCTCACGTCATCAGCAAAATACCACAGCAGTGGTTGTTCAAAACCCACCGTGCAAGTCCCCTCCATCTCTAACGCTCTTGTCACCATATTCTTCACACATGCCTCCACCTTCTCCCTTTCTCCCACCACGTTCCTGTCATAAAGAATACTCTCATGGAAGTTGCCATCTCCAATATGACCCAATATACTTGCAAACAGTCCCAGGTCGTCCATCTCCTTTTTACTTATTTCAATGATATCTGCCAAACGACTGAAAGGAACCGCAACATCCGTGCTCCAAACCTCGTTGCCTTCCTTGCGCATACTCATCATGCTCCACAAACTCTCTTTTCTCGCACTCCACAATAACTTTTGTTCTTTTTCATCCTTCGCGAACTCGAAATTGCCTCCTCGATGAGCCTTCGCAATAGCAGACACCATCGCAATGTTTTCCTTAACCGATGCTTTGGTGCCGCTGAATTTGAAGAAGAGTGTAGGTGATTCTTTCCACTTGCGGAACGGAGTGGCGCCAGAGAGGTTCACAACTCGCATTTGGATCTCGTCCATGATTTCCATCGCTGCGACTTGGACCCCCGCGCGCATGACACCCGCTGCTGCTGACGCGGCATCACGAATCGATGGGAAGGTGACGACTGCCACAGAATATTCTTGCGGGACCACGGCAAGCTTTAGTGTGATTTCTGTGACCAGGCCAAGGGTGCCTTCCGAGCCGACGAAAAGAGAGTTGAGGTTGTATCCCGCAGAGGTTTTTCTTGGCCTACGCTTGGTTTTGATGACCGTTCCGTCGGCAAGTACCACGGTGAGGTTGATGACCCAATCTTTCATCGTTCCATAGCGAACCGCGTTCGTCCCAGAGCAATTCGTGCCCACCATTCCACCAATCTTGGCACTTGGTCCGGGGTCGACAGGGAAGAACAAGCCGCTCTGTCGTCTTGCCAGCTCTTCGTTCAGTTCCATCCAACTAACACTAGGTTGAACGACAATATCCATATCGTCTTGGTGGAGTTGAACGATTTGGTCCATGTAAGCGAAATCAACGCTGACGCCTCCATATGGAGCAGAGAAATTGCCCTCCAGAGAAGAGCCGCCAGAAAACGGAATAATGGGGACCTTGTACTTGTAACAGATCTTTGCGATTTGGGAAACTTCCGTGGTAGACTTTGGGTAGGCCACTGCTACTGGCAGACCGTCAATATTGGTTGAGGACCACTCAGAATAGCCATGAGCTTTGAGATCTTCCGGGTCAAGAGAAATGGTATCTTCATCTCCCGTTGCAGCACGAATTTCTCTGATCGCCTAGAATTCTTATTAGTACTTGTTCCAAACACGCAGCAAGCTGAAGGATTCATCAATCACTGGAATTTCGTAGCGATTGGAGCGGGATGGAAAAAAGGAAACTCCAATGGACCTAGCCATCCCACCCCCGAGCCAACAGGCTGACGACTGTGTTGGCGGTACAAGTGTCCCCAATCGCGGAAGAACCCCACGGATTGAAGAAAAGGCTCGCCCGACTTCTTAATCAACTTCTTGGTAGACTCACATCTTCCATGTCCTTCCTGCTGGCATATATCGGCTCCACCCATTTGTCTGGGCTGGAATAATCCCTCATCCTCAGTTCCCGCCCCTCGGCTTGGTACTTCGCAAAACCATGGGTGCCAAATGCCGTGGCAGCCATCAAGCCCAGCACACCGAAAGTCGTCCATCCCTTCGATACGCGCTTCCCAACACCGCCCTCAAATTTTCCGCCTGCGTTTCCAGCTCGAGAGCTATTCCATCGCCCTTTTGAAGTTGTGTTCTTCATCCATAGTGGGGTCGTTGACGTTCTTCTGGAAGCGAGAAACCTTGCCTGAGCATTCGGCAATGATTTTGCCGATGAGCTCATGCAGAGAGACATGATGTGACAAGGATGGCGTGCGATCAATCAGATCAGATCAGATCTCCTTTCCATGCAAGTAACTTAGGAAGCTTCCACGGTGAAAACCTGGACACTGCTCGTGACAAGTCGCATTGCCTGCAGCTTGTAGGCTATACACAGACTTTTGAGAGTATGGAGGGGTCGAAGAGAGTGAGGGCCATATATGGAGTAATATAAGAAGAGTGGTACTAGTTTGACGGCTTGGGTGGAGAAAGAATGGCCTTAGCTGGCGTAGGGTCTCCGGTCCGGCACATCCAAGCATTATCTTCCTCGCTGGCGATGAGGTATCGGCAGTGTAGCGTGGACGGTGCTCGAGCCTTTAAGTAGTGATCGTAGGTAGGGGTCACCCAGGAGGAGGATCTCAACATGTTTTTATACCCCTCCAACCTCTCCCTCGTGCCAGCTCGATTGGGCACGCCGCATAAGGCCATCCAGATCCAAATGGCGGTAGGCTTTCTGTTCCGATTCAACCATTATTTGTATGCAGTGTGGCACTATCCTCATCTCCTTGTTGTCCCCTCCCGTCACGTTTGGCATCCATACAAAAGGTATCCCACTCTTTTCTTTATCTCTCATTTACAACCATTATCCCGCAACTCAAGGGCCTTTGGTAATCGCATGTGAGATATCACCATCTTCCCGTAGTTGAAGGTTCAGAAGCCGACCGAATTCGGCCGTGGGCATAGATTAATAAAGCATTCAACATGGTCAACGTCTTCATGGCTCAACTCACCACCAGCCAAGTATCCAATGTGCAACCATCGACGTTGCCCCCACGTCACCTCGGGCTCTATCACTCTGCAGTAATACGTGATACAGATACCACCTACGACCATGCCCAAGTAATCCTGTAAGCCTCATCAAGCCTTTCATTCCCAGCAGAATGATCCAATGCCCAGACCCAAGACATCACACGACAATTTTCCGAACCCGTCAGCACGCAGCCAACTCTGGCAATTCTTTTACTCATCCTGACACCTGAAGATGAGCAAGAAGAGACCTCGTGCTCAGCTTCCCCTCACGGTCATGTTCGCAGCCGTAAGTAGCAAAAAATGGCCTGCACCCCTCATTTCGGCTCGAGTCTCTTACCTCATGAAAACTACCCGAGAGCACTTCACCGTTCCGAGGACCCGCAAGAATATGATCTGACCCGATCAACACCGCCTCCAGCTTCCACCACCTCGTTTCAAAGAGCCTAGCCATGCACCCCTTTACCGATTAACGAACCCGGAAAACCCTCACCTCCACACAAGACGGCCTCGTGACGATCAAAGGCCCCGCGGTATGCATCCTGACACTTCATGGCGTTGAGCGACTGCAGGGGCATTACGAGCTGTGACCGGGATACTGATGGGGGTCATCGATCGCATCTGGGGATCCTGGGGCGTGGGCTCCTCCTCTATTCGTGGTTTTCGACTTTTGGTGGGCTTTGGGGAGGGCTTCCTTTCTAGAACATAGGGGTTGCAGATCTTCACCGAGGATGCAGAGGATTAGGGCGCCTCCGATCGGAAAGGAGACTTGGGTTCTGGGACACGCTAGGCTTTTTACACTTGGTCGTATTGGTTCTTCACTACTATAATGCTCTGCTACTTATTGCACCCTTTTTGCGGGAATCTTCCAAGCACAGTAAAGCCCAAATACCCCATCCCATGAAGACCATCCTCAAACCCAGAGCTGGAAGAATACGCTCAGTGGCCTGCAATGGCATGCGCACGTCTGCGATCTCTCTCCTCTGCAATTGTGAGCTTGACACCCTTGCCCTTTGGCAGAGAGATCCACGGCTTCTCTGAACCGATCACAAAGACGTTGTTCTCACGCGTAGCGAAAGAGTTGTCTATGGCATCCTTGATGTGCACAATGTTGAAGCCTCCATCGTGACGCTCTCGGTGGGTAATGACACCAACACGTCCCATGTTACGGCCACCAGTAACCATGGCGATGACACCAGTGTCGAACTTGATGAAGTCGGTGATCTTGCCAGTTGCGAGGTCGATCTTGACGGTGTCATTGACCTTGATGGCTGGGTCAGGGTAACGGATACTACACAAGCAAAATTTCGTCAGCATTTCTGGGGACTTGGGTATAGCAACCGTTGATCTAGCATTTCGTTCGGGGTGGTTCGACCAAAGCTTGGACCAACGGCTGAATGATGTCTGACAGAACTTACGTTCTCGCATCGTGCGTGACCAAGAATGGGATTCCGCCTTTGCCCAACTGAACTCTCTTGACTTTGCCAAGTTTGTATTCCGCCTCCTCGGACTGGATTCGGTGAACGGTGAAGCGGCCCTTGGTGTCGTAGACAAGACGGAAGTGCTCGCCGGTCTTCTCGATGCTGATGACGTCCATGAAGCCGGCGGGGTATGTGGCATCGGTGCGGACCTTGCCATCAACCTTGATCAAGCGTTGCATGACAATTGCCTTGGTCTCGCGAGCGTTGAGAGCATACTTTAGTCGATTTCGGATGAAGACGATGAGCGGCATGCAGTCGCGGAGCTTGTGGGGACCGGCAGAGGGACGAGGAGCGTATGCACCAGAGAGTTTGTCGAGAAGCCAATGTGATGGCGCGCTCAAGCGCTTTTGATGCTTCTTTCTGTTCGAGAAGCATAATTAGCATACTGGTCCAACAGAAGCCTGGAGATGGGATTGCAAGGAAACGGCTCGAGATGCCCCTCATGAGATTGAAGCAATGCCATGAAAGGCGCAAGCTCCTCGTTGAGCGTGCGAACTTAAATCTCGAATTGACCACATCGGAATTTGCAGCTTCGACCTTTGCGATATCTCGAGCTCGTTTCTGCGGCTGCAATGACAATTGGAAGTAAAGACAGGTACACTTACGGTCCTCTACCCATGATGGCGGTTGAGTTCGATGTTGTCGAGTGTCGTCGTAGGAGGGGGATGGAGGATTTTTTGAAAAGTTTAGGTATGTGCGAGACTCGCTAAGCGGGCAAGTGACTAATCCACTTCAGCACTAGCTCCTAAAAGACGGGAGGGCTGCCAGTGGCTGCTTATTCCACGTGACCTTTGCGGTACATTGAAATCGTTTCGTTTCCTGAGAGATCATCTCAGTGTCATCTCATCGTTAGAAAGTCTAGATTAACTCAAGTGAGTAACTTGCTTCTAGTTTCCACATGGAGGTGAGTTTTCTGCTGGAGGTAAGCTCTAGGTAGAGCATGAGCTAAGTCTGCACGTGATACCAGACATATCTTTCCCCATTTTCCAAGTACAATGCAAATGATTTCAGTAGACTTGTTATCAAATTCATCATTGCGAAATGCCCACAAGACTCAATCATGGCAGTCTTTTGCTCTACATGTCTTCTCGACTTATTCTTGAATTTCGTTGTGCGACAGGATTTTCGGATTTTTTCCAGACTCCGGAAATTTCAGAGAAGCTGCAAGTGCAACCTCGGCACGGATACGGACAGACTCCTCTCCATAGAAAGCAACAAGGTCCCCCCTGGGCCACTACTCTCGGTGACTTTTCACTTTTGAACCTTTTTACCTTTCAAATGGCTCGGCTCATATCATCTCCGATCGGTCAAGTTGGTTTCATTTTCACCGTGCATGGCCGAATCCGGTCTCGACACCTGTGGCAAAGTCACGCCAACCTCGTCTCAGTATCTCGGAGTGGGCTGTTAGGAAATTCGCTGCTTTGTAATACTTCTAAAGACTAAGATAGTACATTCCCTGACCTCGGGGCGAATCTCATGAAGATAACCTCCCATTATATATTTTCTCTCCCCACCATCGCAGCGATATTTAACACAGCAGAGTAATCGTGTTTCACTTACCTTAGGATGTTGATCTCACAAGAAATCGTTCTCCCTTGCGACCTCCGTCTGCCGAATCGGCTTGTCAAGGTATGTTATCGCTCTCGTGACAACAGGTGTTGATACTTCAAACATCGTAGCTCTTGATTGACAAACTCTAGGCTGCGATGGCCGAGTCAATGGCCCCGGCCCCAGCACATGACCCAAATGACAAGATGCTGGTTGCGTACAAGGAATGGGCTAAAGGCGGTTGGGGTATGTTGTTGACAGGTATACAATTCATTCCATATCCAAGGAAATCATCCCGATTGACAATCTATTCAGGAAATGTCCAGGTTTCTGAACAGTACCTAGGAGGGCCTATGGACGTTCTGTCATCTTCGTCCTCAGGCGACGTTGAAAAAATCTGGAAGGGGTGGGCATCTACCTGCCAAGAAAATGGAACCCCAACAGTCGTCCAACTCAATCACCCTGGAAGACAATCGCCACTTGGAGCAGGTCAACGTGGATTCTTTACAAAGAATCTTGCTCCATCAGCGGTGAAGTTGAACTTTGGCAGCAGTTTACTTGCCGGAGTGGCTTCTTCCCTGTTATTCGGAACTCCAAAAGCAATGACTGAAGATGACATCAGTCTTGTCATCGATCAGTTTGTTGCTGGCGCAAAGCTGAGTTTCCAGGCTGGGTTTAAAGGAGTGGAGCTTCATGGAGCTCATGGATATCTGCTCGCACAGTTCTTATCACCCAAGACGAATCAGAGAACAGATGGTTTCGGAGGCTCTCCAGCCAAAAGAGCCGAGATTGTGCTTCGGATCATTCGTCGTGTCAGACAGGCAACCAGCAAAGAGTTCTGCATCGGCATCAAGCTCAACAGTGTTGACGCATCATCCAGCGACTCCCTTGCCGACACGATAGAACAGATCAGCTTGATCGTCGAAGCAGGAATAGATTTCCTTGAAATCTCAGGTGGAACATACGAAGACCCAAAGATGGCGCAACAAAACGAAACGTCTTCAATCACAGCCCCTACTAAGGAGAAACAAAGTACACTACAACGAGAATCGTTCTTCCTCTCTTTCGCTCAAATGATTCGGGTCCACTTTCCCAAAGTTGTACTCATTGTCTCCGGTGGATTCAGGACTCGAATCGGCATGGAAGCAGCACTTCAGTCTGGTGGCTGCGATATGATTGGACTTGCACGACCTGCTGCTGTGCTACCTAGATTGCCCAGGGAGATCATCCTGAATGAGAGTATCAAGGATGTAGATGCGACAGTGAGCTTGAAGCCGGTCATTCTACCCAAGTTTTACAGCTATTTGCACTGGCTCTTGCCCGTGAAAATCATGGGAGGCGGCTATGGTTCTATGTATTATGCAGGGCAGATTCAACGGATGGGCGATGGTCTGAAACCTGTGGATGCCAGGCTTTAGAGGTACCTTTCGAAGTGAACAGTACTATTATCATGATAGAAAGCCGTGCGTTAAGTATTTTAGAAAGAACACCTCAATGGCTTATAGAATACACAATGTCCCATTCGTTCACTTATTTACTTTGTACTGCAAGGGCAGAAGTTTAGCACTGGGTTTTCTTGATATGCTTATCGTATTTTTATGGAAGGGATCTTTATCCCATTTGCTAGATTGCATTCTGCAATGGATGATGACAAGACTGGTAGGTATAGAATCCTCTACCGAGAACGTACCTGGGGGTATGTCAAATTGATACTTTATTCCTGCGGCTTGTTCGGCTTTCTTGCACGGACGAGCTCCTGTTCCCGCACCTTCTCGGCAGGGCCAGGAGTCCCCAACCACGGCATGGCCATCGGATTGGCGTCTAGTTCATCAACCGGCTCCTCAGGAGGTGGGGCTCGGGCTCTTCTCTCGCCCCGAGACGAAGATGCGACAGTAGCAGGTGGTGCCTCAAGATTACCTCTCACACGAGCCAAAGCTTCTCGCCTTTCGTTCTCAAGGTCAGACTTCTGTTTCTCTTCCTCTTGGACTCGCCAAACTTCCCGATCTCTCTCCTTCTGGCGCTCTCTCTCCTTTTGACGCTCTCTCTCCTTCTGACGCCCTCTCTCCTTCTGGCGCTCTCTCTCGTTCTCTCGTTCTCTGTCCCCTCAGCGACAAGCTTCAGCTTCTCGCTCCTTCTGATTTTCTTTCTAGCGCTTGATATCGGCAGCTCGCTACTTATCCTAATCATCCATGATCTTTTGTCGACGCTTGCTCTCACTTTCGTACCACTCTTCGCCAGCTTTAGTAAGTCTGTGTTGGCCTCCTTCGCACGTATACCCAGTACTGTCGGGGATGTAGCGGAAGTCACATGGACAGTAGCCACCGTGCTTTCCAGGCATGGCTGTGATGTTGAGTAGAGTCTTTGGTTGAAAAGGTTGAATTAGTGGAGTCGAGAGATACCAAAATTGGGGAAATGTTGATGGTTGTGGGGAAGAAGACAGAACGGAGTCGTGTGGTGTCTTTAAATAAACGGATGTCTGTGAATAAATGTTCTTGTCCGAGAACAATAAGGGAACAAAATTTATTCGTAAATTTTGCGGCCGACTAGATTTTTCAAAACGCACGAAAGAAAGTCTTTGTTCCATTGTTTGAAACAGGTGAACTCCAGATCTCTCCTTGTCCTTCACGCTCTTGAGTCCCGCTGTGGGCCAGTGCGCCAGGGGATACTACGAGGAAGCTGTTCAACATCAATCCAACCCCACGGTTTCTCAATGAACTTCCTATGATTTTCCACTCTTGCCCAGTGACGAAGTATGCTCTCTCTGCTCTGCTCATCTCCCATGAAGGTCAGGGCGCTCGCAGCACCAAGGATGGAATCCCTCTCAAGTCCGCAGGATCTTCATCTTGCAATTTCTTGATAATTGGCCTAGCCATCGGGCATATCCTTTCGGCCACGTACTTTGTAGCAGGTAATTATTTGTCTCGTTTCGCAAGTTTCCTTGCCTCTCTTCGAAGTTTCCGGAGTTCATGGATAGGGCCGTGTTTTTTCTCGAACTTTCCAGGACACGCATCATTCTGCTGACGGAGCTTGTACTAAATGACATGCGCGAGATCACGATTCAGAGTCTCTGAATCGACCAGCACTCGTCCATTGATATCAGCATGCCCTTCGACCGCGGATGCTAGCCCCCAGTCTCCCAAGCGAGTAGAGGGCAGTAAATCATCATCGTCTTCCCGGCGAAGGAAGATGTTCCCTTCGTGCACAGCATGATGAATGATTGGATTCCAATTCATTTCAACCGTAACGACACCATCTTCGCATCTCTAGCCATGTTGCATGAACGCCAGAATCTCGTACATCTTCTCGATGACTGTCTACTACATTACCTCAGGAAACTTCCATCCAGCATTGGTAACTTTGCTTTCGAAGTGCAGCAAATCGTCTCCATTGCCGCACTGAAAGATCGTTGCATTGCCTTTAGGTTGAGTGTATACTTTTCTGGCGATTGGCTCCGGGGCCATGGAAGTGGGGATGCGGTTGTAGAAGGGAAGTTCCCGGGAGAAGTCGCCGCGCCATAGCTTTTTGCGGACGTAGGATTTACCGTCTCTGAGAGAGATGGCAAGGGAGACTTCTCCTTGGGATCCATGCCTCAGTGGTCTGTTGAGGATGTAGCCCGGGCCTTCTTCGAAGAGGGTTGCGTACCTGCCGCTGGAGGTAGGCATTTTGGTTAGGATGAAATACATTTGCAGATCTAAATATTTCAATCTTTTATATATGGTTGGGTAAACAGAGTTTGGAGAAGGCGGGATTCACAAAGGTGACTGGAAAGTCACTGTTTTTGCAGCCGATACAAATAATCCTCATTATTATTCGACGAATATCTTGTGAGAGGACAAAGAAAAAGGGCAATGACTCCAAAGTATGAGATCAATTCAACAAGCCAAATCGACGTTTTTGGGGATATGCCATGTCGAGGATGAGTATGCAAGCAGGTGAGGAGTGGGAGGTGAAAAGAGTTGAATTGTTCTTCAGCTTTTTGCTCCTAGACTTGAGGTTCAAGCGAGATTCGAATAAAACTTGGTTGGGCAACTCAGTGAGATTGCTGGTTCGAGACCAGCCAACCCCCCGAAAAAAAATAAACATAATCACTATTTCTTTGTTATCTTTTTGGTCACTTTTGGTCACTCGGGTGAGGAGGTGACAATCGACGCTGGGGAGAGGAGAGTTGACTTTTTAAGCGACGACCCCTATTTTGCTTCGGCGATAAAGCCTTTGGGCCGAAAAGATCCGTTGTCGAGAATGATGTCCCTAACCTGCACAAAAACGTCTATACAGAAGCAGTCTCTTGAATTCCAGACATCACGAAGAACCCTCAACCATCAGACTGAATCCCCTTGAACAAATTCGCAACCCACTCAATAGCCATCGGCATCGCATACGGCTCACCCATATGCTTAATCCCCTCAAAGAAACGTGCTTCCTTGATACTTCCATGTTGCATCATCAGCATCGAATCTTCGATCGGGAAAAGCTCGTCAAGCATGCCCTGTTCCATTTAGCGAGATCAAAAGGGGTTAAAGGAGGTTGGCTCACGTTGATGAGCAGAAGGCGACATGAGGGTTCGTCTATGATTCCGTTTTCTAGGAGGGAGAACCGGGACTTTGAGTCAATTTTCATCTTCTCTACGTCGTCGTAGCCGAATTTGAGGGCGAGGACTTGTGTAAGACTGCATTGTGGGTTTGATCAGTCAACGAGAGCTAACGAGGTGAAAAGGCTGAAGAAGTGATACGTACTCAAATGGATATTCCATATGACTAGCAACCTCCAGCCACTCGGGATCAAACATGTGATGGCAACCTCCACCTTGAGCTACCACGCCAGCCAACATATCTTTGTGGGTGTGAGCAATGCGCATGGCATAATATCCGCCACAGCTCACACCCCACGCAACGACTTTCTTAGTATCAACCCATGGTTGCTGATGAATCCACTGCAAAACACTGCTCCATAGGCGATCCGGAGAAGTGGGATCATTTGGGTCTGCTGGGCAATCCCCTGTTCCTGGAATTTCGACCCCGATGGAGGCAAATCCATTCGTGGTGTGGTAGGTTGAGGAGCGAGTATGCTCTGTGCGGTAGCCATCAAGACCATAGATAGTCATTACAACGGGGAATTTTTGTCCAGGTTTGGCACCGAGTGGAAGGCGGACACTGACTGGGACTGAAGTGTACATTTCCTTGGTGCCGGGCTTGGCGTGATAATGTGGGATGAGGTATTCTCTTAATGGAGCATCATGAAGTCTAGTCATGTCCCGTCAGAAAGTATTCGCCATTAAGATTGTTATTACTACTGACCTGGATCCATTGTAGAACGCAACCTTCTGGCGGGACCATGCGATGTGTTGATTCGGTGCCATCGGACAAGGCTGTCTGGCAGTCCGCCAGACACACGCAGCACGAAGCCACAACTCACGAGCTTTCTCGATGTTGCCTTCTTCTTCTTCCTCTTTAGCTTGATTTTCTAATTTTTCTGCAACTGGGAAGAATGGCTTGCTATATTCTTCGAAGTTGTACGGAGGTTTGAGATCGTTCTATTTTCGCGTTGGCTAACTGACATTCAACGACAAAATGATGCTGAGGATGATTTTAAATACCTCTTCAAAATGAGCAAAGACTTCTTCCAAGTCTTCTAGTTTTCCTTCTGTGAAGGGATATATTCCTAGTCCAGCCTGAAGATACCGGCTGTCAGCTACAGCTCGGCGTCCATGTTGCATGTCAATTCACTGGGGAAAACCTTACCCGCTTCTTCCACTTCAAATTCCACAATGCATTGATTGATGTGTGGTGTTCACCTTGCTTAGGTGTAGGCTCACCAACGATGTATGGTGGAGGCATTTTTGAACGAATCAGGGGGTATCAAGTGATAAAACAGGAGCACAATTGTCTCTTGAGCTCTTACCCTCAGGTCTCTCTTAAGAATAATATATTTATTCTCTATTTTCAGGGGTATTTGCACCGGTGAAACCGAAACATTCGGGTTCCAGTCCTACATACAACCGGCTTACTGAGTGATCGAACAGCGAAGGGAAGCCTCCTCTCGGCAACCGAACGATATCCGGCCTCAAAAACTCTTTTTTCTCGGACCAAAGTGACAAGGTAGTTCAAGGGAATTTAATACGCTTCTCCTTTGATTTATTTAGTATGCAGACTACAATGGAAGAAAGTTCAAGCTGAGCGACAGGCAAGCAGATTTCACCGACTGCAGAAAGTTGCTGACCCCCGACGTGCTCGCTAAAATCCGCCCTGGAAAAGGGGTCGCTCGCCAAAATTAAAAGGGCCGCCCGCATTTCAGTCGGTGTATACTGTGGCATCCGTCACCCGAATATTCTTGAATGCCGGGAAAGGTAGACTGCCGACCAGGAAGTTAGCGCTAGCTGAGATATTTCAATAATGAGATATTAGTCAGATGCCGGAAGTGCTCTTCCTCATTGTGCGAAGATGGCGATGTAAACTTTCGGAAACAGGGGATGAGTAGGGACATCGCCATCTTCGCACAATGAGGAAGAGCACTTCCGGCATCTGACTAATATCTATGGCCCTTAAGACGTTAGTTCTCACGATCTGCCCGAAATGTATCGCCAACTTCATTTTTTGCTCGCTCTCAGCCTCAAGCTTATCGGGAATTGGCAGCATCCCTAATTGGCCACATCGCACACAGCCTCCAATCGCTAGAGCTAATAAAGCCCTAATCAGCATGCATCCAAGTAATAGCTTATTTCGATCGTTTTCCCGCTTCTCTCCCTCATTCCGAACTGTTTCCGCCTCCATCCTTAGGTCAAGGCATTCTCCATCCTACTTCCTATCTGAATTTCCAAAACTGGTTGTAATTCGCGGTTACAAAATCACTTGAAACGAGGGGGGCTTTTTGTTCTTTTGGTGGGGGCTGAGGGATCCCGCTCACATGGCAAAGCCCGTATTTGCCGTGTGACCTATTTTGGGCGCGCTGAACGGGTGCTGGACACGTGGTTTTTCACTTGACCTTGAACAGCGGAAGACCGTGTGGGAATACAAAGGCGTCCAATGAGGTATGTGGGGGTGATGTGGATCGCCGTTGTGACTCAACAATAACTGGGTGGGTGTCGGAGAAGACAGGGCTCAGAGGCTCGGGTTGTCACACCTTAAAACGGACCGTCAAATCTTGTGACCAAAAGTCTGCAAGCTTGGAAAACATGTCAAACCTCAGGGAATTTATGTAACCGGACTGACTCGAGAGCTTCTGAAGACTCTTCGGCTGCGGAGTGACTTTCAATAATTCATAAACTACCTAGAGAGAGAAAGAGCAAACATACATCCTGCCAAGATGCAGGTACAATGTATCCAAAGAAACCAGGGTATATGAACACGAAAGGAGAAGGGGATGAACAAAAGAAAGAAGTTTATCCCTCGAGCTTCCCCAGAAGCTCCTGCAGTGTTGTCGTCAATCTTGACCTCAAAAACGCCTCCAACGCCGAGTATATCCCCTCCCCTGCCTCGACAGCTTGCCCCTTCTTGCAATACTTATTAGCGTATTTATCCACAAGACCCTTTACTTTCCTCAACTCGTTGACGACGATCTGTATCCGCATTCTCTCTTCATCTTCTGCATCCATCTTGTAGGCTCCAACAGTGATGCCAACACCTGGCCCTGAACGTCGACGTCCGCTGGCTGGTGAGATGCAGGCAGTTGCTGCAGCCTTAATCACGTCTTCGTACATGCCTAGGATCTTGTTGCAGATAAGAGCGAGGGTGATGGCGAAGTGGGAATTGTCCGAGCAGGAACATGCCAGAAGGGCATCTGCGTTCTCAATGGCTGCTTTGTTGTTGATGAGGACCTGATCGATGGTCGTATTCGTACGGGAGAATGGACTTGGAATGGAGTTGCGAACGAGGTCCAAGTCATGTGTGCACAACTTCAGCGAAGCTTTGTCAGAAAATGATAAGTTCTTGGCTGGCGAAGGCAGTTGTTTCGGTACTTGCTGAACTTCGAATATTGGTTCGTGGCTCTGAGATCGGCTTGTATCAACGCTGGTATCGTCGCTGAAGACGAATTGAGAATTGTTTGGCAGTTGAGCAGTCGAATCGCCCATGAAATCAAACGATAGGTCAAATAGATTATCTGCTGAAAGTTGCAAGTCTGCAGCGGTTGGGATGCCGAATGCGGAAGTCTCGAAAATGTCGTCTTGCCAGTTGATTGACATGAAGTTGTCCGTATCCATTACCGTAGTATCGAATTGACACTGAGATGGATCTGGTGTTGGCTCCATCTGACTCTTCTTGGCGAACGAAGGAGGAGAGAGCTGTCTTTTCTTTGTCGGATGAGACTCGACCTGCTGCTCAGTTTCCGAAGATGAGTTGGAAGAAGGTTTGAGCTTGCGAGCAGACGCTGGTGGCTTGCCCATTCTCCTTGATGGGCTGTAGTTGCAATGAACACCGAGATTAATGCAACGCAAACACTGAGGCTGCTGTTGGTCGCATTTGACCTTGGATGCTGAACAAGCATCGCATGATGATCTGAACTTGCGAGGCTTGAGAGGCTTTGTGGTGGTTATAGGCGATTGCCGTTGGGGCATGTTGGTTTCCATCTCGATGGTATTCTTCAGTTGCTTCCTGGAGTCTTTCCTGTACCTGTCCTGGGTAAGATGTTGCTTTTCATCAAGCGGGAAAGTGCCATGCGATGATATATGTATTTCGAGGGCTGGGAGGACACAAACCACCTGAGCACTGAAATAATCCCGATCTTACCATTCACGTTGCTCTTGCATACAGGTGCATCCTTTGAGGAAGCCTTCTTGTGCACAGCCAGAACCAAATTGAGATAGAACGGATCTATGCTGGTCATGACTATGTCTGATTTGGTAGTTATGCTTTCCGGGTCGATTCTTGGCATCCCTAACACGAGAAAGCTGCGCCTTCGGCAAATTCCTCGAAGGTAGTCTTGCCGACACTAAATGGAATTCTGCATGGAGTATCAAATAACCCACATAAGCCACTCAAGCCTAGGGGCTGATAAGGCAATTCCATGTCGATTAGTTACTGTTTAGAATCAGAGACAGTTCTGAGATGTTCGGTTTCACACGGCATCATGCCAGCTGGGACAGGAATCTGATCCTCCTGTACGACCGTCAATCCTGCTTACATTGGCGGATTCTTGCGTCTATATTTCTGCTCTTGGGTCTGCTCGGAGGGGCGTCCAGTTACAAAGCGGAAATATCGATTATGCCAGCAACATTGCGTGAAGAGTCGCCCGTCTTGTTGCAGCACGGGAAATCTCCACTCGTGGACCCTGCTCACCAACCAGAATGTCATCAGAAGCTGGCGAGGCTGAATACTCAAAAGTCATGAGATTTGATCCCCAATTACGGGGTCTGCTCTATTCCAAGTCAGCTGGCCAATACATCAAGGCGGCTGCTCCGCATGGGTACAGCAGGTAAATTAGTTGGAATGGAAACTGAGACGATTGGTCAAGATCAACTGTTTCCTTTGGTGGGAGCAGGGGTCCCACGAGGAAGCATGCTGGGCTTTAAATTATCGGGAACCGACTCAAACCTCTTGATTTTCAGGAGAAACGCACAGAGAAACTGAGGCAACTCCTTCGGCACACTGGAGCCTGGAGGGGAATCGTGGAGGCAGAGCTCCTCATGCACCTCTAACGGGCACGGGCACGGGCAGTGAACGCGCCACTTAGCCACGGGACAGAACCAGAAGCATTCCTTTATATAGACCCCGTCTCTGGTACTTCGGGGGGATCTGACATGCAGTAGATCTTTGATTCATGTCAAAAGCTTGTCGGAGCTTGTGTCGACTTAGCTTCAACTGGAGCGCTGACCGGCAGAAGGTTAGCACTTCTAGACAATACTGTAGGCCCAGCCGCGAGGGACGTACCGCCACGATGCCGTGTAACTGTGGAGTACAAAGTGCTTCGCAAGGCATCGTCGACTCCCCAGCCAGCCCTCGAGCCACTGAGCCAGCAAAATGCGGCATCTTGCTGTTGTGCCTGATCGGCGGTCTACATGGACTGACTACCTGCAGGGCTGAAATGGAAACGGAGAAGCAGCCACCGGCGCCGTCGTGTGTTCCCACTTGGTCGGCGAAGCCTATCTGATATCGAGAGGGAGCACAAGAGGCATCGGACGAGCCGATGTCATTGGCCAGCAGCACAGCGTCCAGCGTCAACGAAACGCTGCGAATGAAATGGAGACATCCGAGTGGGAGAGCAAGGCTGGACAGTGAAATTAAGGTTGAAGCCATGAAGGTCGTGCCGCTGCCATCAGCTTGCTTCGCCAGGCGGATTTTGGGGCGAGGTGGCTTGGCTCCTCGGTAGTCCCGTTTAGGCTAGCTTCGGTCCTTAAGTTTAAATTTATTCCTGGGAGCGGCTTGCGCGACGCTAGTTGGCCCGAGCTACCCCTGGGCCGATCCTCTCTCTCTCTTCGCGGGGCATCTGACAACAGACATCTCTGCTCATGGAAGAGCCTGGCAAGCAAACAGCAATGTGGCTCTCGATCCCATCATCTGGCAAGCGCCATTCGGGGCCATGGGGGGACTGTGCACTGACTGTTGAGAAAGCTGCAGCTTCGCAAGTCATTTCTGAGGCATGGTTATTTCAATGGCGTACTCGTTCATGTGTCCCACATGCAGTGAAGCGTGCAGCGCAACGTCAAAAACGGAAGCCCAAGAATAAGAGCCTCTCCTTTCCAGCATCCCCGTGCAGAAAGTTCCTGCAGGATCTCCTATTTTAGTCTCTAGGCTCCTCAAGACCCGCGAAGATGGGGACACTTCATGATGAAACAAGCGTCCCACATGCATGGCTTAAAGTTGTCTCTGAATCCTTCTCGCCAATATGGAGCCATGCCAGCGTGTCCATGTCTTGGATCCGCGCCTATCCCGTTCAGCTTTTCGCTAAAGCATCAGCCCCATTTACGAACGTATCACTTGCGGCTCGAGCTGAAGACAAGCGCAGCTTCATGATTTCAGCAGTAAGAGTCCGCTGTAATGGTAAGTTTCGATCAATGATCCAGCGTGGCCCGGCTGCTACCAACTCCTTTCAGAAGCCTTATGCAAATTTTAAGGATCAAATTGCTGCGTTCTGGATGACAATTGAATCAAGCTACCACTTGCGAGCCATGAAATTTTTTAAAAATTAGAACATATGATCATGGATATTCTACTAGATCACTGTGTATGATTTAGTATCGATGCACCAGGGAGCCTTCACCGGCAATGCTGTTTTGGCGAATGCTTCCAGCCACAAAGCCCACCTGGGTGATCGCACTTTTTGGCTCCATCTTCATGTGCATTGTGGCTATCTCCTGACTCTAGGTCGTCGAACCCCAACATCAGTGGGGTCACTGCTCGCTACTTTGTCAAAATTCGATAAACCTATTCAGATATCCAGCCGCCTGTATCAATTCCCACTAAATACATAGCTCAGCTGTAAGAGCTCGTTCCATCTAGTGTCTTCCTGTATCCTAATATTGCCCTCTGGAGTCGCAACTTTGAACTCATTAATATCTGTCGTCCCATACTCACGGCTGCGATCGTCGTTCACGAATGCAACAAAATCCTTGATCCACGTTTCCATCATAACCAGTTCGTCCGGAGTTGGTCTATGAAGTATCGCAAAGCTGTGAAAATTAGTCAGCATTTGATTTCACAAACGTGGAGATCCACATACTTCCAAAAAGGTTTGTCCATGCCATGTGCAACACCATATGATCTTGGAGCGACTTTGTCGTCAATAAATGATAGTCGGTATGCAACCCTGTATCTCCAAACGTCACGAATACTCACTCCATGAGTGAGCAGACTATTCACAAGGAACCTCGAAGGAGCTCGGACTTGCCCATCTGAAATAATGATCCCGGAAAGGCTCGTCCAGTCCTTCCTCTCAGTGGAGGTGGGCAAAGGGTAGTGTTGCAAGATCCGCTCGGTTGTTGATGGAGCATAATAGTTCGATATCTGCAGACGAAGAGATTCGATATTTGGCTCTGGTCCGTTATACGCTGCATATAAAGTCTCTTCGTTCAGAACCTCTCCGATTAACAACCTCAGCTTCCGTTTCTTGAACTCCGCTGCGAAGGAACCATCGGTGTGATAATGGTGCATATCAGGGTGAATGAAGATTCCGTCCGTCACAGGACGGAAAGTGTGATTCTTGAGGTCCTTGATGGAGCTGACGAGATCATGAGCCTCGATCTTCCGCAGCTCGGCAAGTTTGGCCGGTCCAGAAAGAGAGAGATCGATCTTGAAGTATTGGCAAAGCTCATCGAATTGCGGTTGGGCCTCCTTCGCTGTCTTTCGTTGTGCAGGGATAGCGTTCGAGTACATATAGAGGCGATGGAAGAGTTGACCCGACGAGTCGAACGGCTTCACACGGAAGTCAAAGATGGTTTGGGCCTGCACGCCATAGGCGCCGGCCGAACGTCCTCCAAGGGTGATATTGTTTTCATCTCCATTGAATGCTCCTACGTTCTCTTTCACCCATTGCATGGCAAGTCGTTGATCCCAAAGCCCATAGTTCCCAACTGTTTCTCCTCCGCTCTCCTCTTCCAGAGCCTCGCCAGCCAGGAACCCGAAGAGGTTCAATCGGTATCCAATTCCGATGACAATGGCGTTCAACTTGCCTGTCGAAATGAGCTCTGTTGGGTTCAAGGTAATCTCTTGAGCAGGGTCTCCCACTGGCGGAAGATTTCCGAGTTAGCATTACTTCTTTGAAATAGATTTGAGAGGATTGAGTTTTATCCAAGAGCAGCTGACATCGTTTGGGAGGAGGAACATGCCTTACAGCTCCCAAAACGATCTGGAAGGAGAAGAAATAACCCAGACTACCTACTCTGGAACCAGCCTCCGTGCAGCCAGAGTACAACCGGCCACTTCTTCTTTCCCGAGTTAGGCTCTGGCACTGGTGTCCAAATATTCAAACGAAGACAGTCTTCCGAGTAGGTATCCCTGTCAATATCCTGCTCTCGTCCAGCAGAAAATTTTGGCTGAGGACAAACGGGATAAAACTCCGAGCCATCTAACGAGCTGCCATCGGCTTGGTTGTAGCTGAAGTGAGGTGGAAGTGGGCGAGGGGTGCGCCACCTGAAATCGCCTGTCGGTGGGAGAGCGTACGGCACCCCAGCATATCGACGAGCTTTGTTGTCGTATTGTACTCCTTTTATACTCCCGAGATGACCAAGGTCTATGATATGATCCTTCTCCTCGTATGCTGAGAGGGTATTCCCCATGTTGACTCTCTGCCTCTCAGTCAACTCTTGCAGTGGCACTCGAGCGTGGTTGGTCGCTTACTTCAATGATTGAGACAGGAGTCGGGAATCTCAACCCTTTTTATTACCCACGAAGTTTTTCCGTTGAAATTTTGAATTGTTGAACGCAAAGGTGTCACCTATTTCGATCATGCAAGAATCGAGAGGGATGTACGCACCCCACTTTTGGGTCAACGTTGGTGCCCTCAAGTCTGCATCAAGTTCCGTTCCGTTACATGGAATAATATCAAAGATCTTGTTTGAGTTGAAGTGTCTTTGGAATGCAGAAGGCTACATGGAGCTATCCCCAATTATCCAAAAATGCCCGACAAATCCGCTAAAGCTCCGGCCGATGTGGGGAAGTCCTTCTCAACCTCGAATCTCCCCACTCTTCGATGGGAAGAAGCTAAGTGGAACAACATATGCTAGGCTTTTTATAAAGAAGGCGAAATGGGTCTTGGCAAAATAAGTGTTGAACAGTTCATATGTATGAGTTGAGCATACTGGAGCTACGAAGCAGCGAACCTCACACAATCTCGAACTTCATCAAGAGGGCCTCTGAAAAGCCCCAGTATAGCGTCCCAATCGAAGCTGAGGAGATTCTTGGGAAAGCAAACGCCGAAGAAAAAGTGACCATTGCTCCATCCATCAATGTTGGAGCGGTTGACGACTTGAATCTTGATACCGTGCACGCAGAGCCGGAGTACAGTACACAGATGCCGAGTACAAGAAATTGCTGCGTAAGATTGACTTGAGACTTCTAGCTCTCATGCGGATAAGCTTCCATTCATCCCATCCTGGATTTGTGCAGTGTTGATCGAGTGAGAAAAAGGTATGCTATCACACTCAACAAACAGACAAAACAGCCGTTAGCACTCAATCAGTTTTCGGGGTTCAAGCGGATACCGGAATGCATGGCCAGCAATTCTCTTGTAGGTCTTTTACTAAGAGGCTCTGACTTGTACTGATTGAAAACAGGGCTGACAACAATTTTCTATATCTCGTATCTGGTTGCTGAAGCTGCTGCAAATTGGCTGCTCCAGAAATTGCACCTGTCGTGTTCTTGGAGTCGTCATTTTCTTCTGGGGTACCTCCGATCTCTTCTTCATCCCGTCTCTAATTTCTGAGCGTCGGTCTAATATATCTTTTCTGGTCTCATTGTGCTCTGCATTGGTTTTGCAAAGAATTGGGTCGGCCTCATGGTTCTCCGTTCTCTGCAAGGGTTGCTAGAATGTACTGTGTCGCCGACTCTCATGCCCATCACCGGGGCTTCGTACACTTCAGACGAGCACATACATCGATCCATCATTCAGGGCACCGGGAATGCAGGAATGAGTGTCATCACCAATCTCATCTGCTACGGCACTGCACTCCGTGCTCAAAAGAGCCCATCAAGACCCGCACCTGGAGAAACATCTCCTTCTTTCCCGGAGGGGTGAGCATGTCCCTTGCAGTTCTGATGTTCTTCGCTCTCGGTACACCGCATATGTTGAGCTGGCTTTCGGGGAGTATGAAGAGGGTGGCTGCTGCGAGAGTAGTCTGGAACAAGACGGGCTCTGATCGCCAGAAAAGATCCGAGTGGAAGCGGGGTCAACTTCGAACGACCTTTCGGAACCCTGAGACATATCTTCTGTTTTTTGCGAATGTGGAAAATACGATATGATCAGTGGTACGACCATATTCGGGAATCTGGTCTACAAATCCTTTGGCTTCGCTTCTCTTGACACTTTGCTAGAGGGAAAGGCACCTCAGCAAGCCGTGTCCGTTGTCTGCTTCTTATTCGTCGGCTATTGCACACTCACAAGGCTCAATCTGAGATGTAAGTGTCCCACTACCCCCTCATCTTGAAGTGCTGGAACTTGACAATCAATCATTCATTTTCATGATAATCTGCCTCATCCCCGCATTTATAGGCACGATTGTGCGGCCTTCCTCCCCAAAAACGGCCACCTGTGGCTTCGCTGGCGCAGGTTCGTCATGACCGCAACTGGAAACTTACCAGGACTGCTCATTTGGACAATTCTCCCTTCCAACATTGCTGGTAGGACGGAATGATCAGTCACATCGGCGGTACTCTTCATTGCCTACTGTACAAGCAATGCAATCGGTGGTCAGGTATTTCAAACCAAGGATGCACCGAGATACATCACTGGACTCACGCTCTGCGATATCTTCTATGGTGTCGAGACTGTATTGATGTTCACTTGGCGGTACTATTGTGAGTATTCCATGACCAGAAAAGAGTTTGGGGATCCGGTACTGACCAGGTTTTGTCCAGACATTTGGCAGAACACAGTCCGCGCGAAGAAGGTGGCCGCTCTTGGCTTGACTCATGAAGAGTGCAAAGAGACCAGTCGTCTGAGCGGAGAAGCAGACATGACGGATTTTGAAAACTTCCATTTTGTTTACCCTTTCTAGAAGTATTTCATTCTTAGCTCCTGTTGTCCTAGGACTTCGTGGAGGGGGCTGGGGTATTGAAGTTCACAATTGCATGATATTGGAAGAAGATCCAGGCATTGGCAGATCATATGCAACAACAAAACCTATGGTTTTCGTACGTGATAACCTCCTGGGTTTCGTACAGCACAAATGAACTGCTTCTTGTTAGCGGAGCTTGATTCCAGTCCTGATAATTCAGAGCTTACCGGGAAAATCTTGATCTGAAGAGCAACGAATTAGAATTTGGATCTTGCAAATCTCGAAGTAAGGATTAAATACTTACCGTGCTAGGATCCCATATCCCATGAGTGTAGTAAGGATCTAACTTGACCTCCTCCAATGCCTCCTCAGCGCTGTTGGCTTTGATGACTGATGCCACGTCTCTGATCTTCATCGCCTCCCCTTCCTTCGGAGCCTCATGTAGAAATATCCCTTTAAAAATCAGTCTTCAAATTCGAATTTCCTTAGAGACCTTTTTCATACCTCCCATTTTATAAACTCCAGTTTCAGGGTCAAGTCTTGGCTCTACGTGCTCCACGTGTTTGCTGCAGAATATCATCAGCACCTTCGACGTCACAAAAAGGAATGTATTCATGGAACTTGGCACTCACTGTCGTACATCCAAACGCTCAAGCTCTTTTCCTGGAAAGTCTTCTACGAGAACAATCCACTCAAGCTGCATCTTGCTACTCTCGAATTTTCTCAGAGGGGAGGCATCTTGCTCAGCCATTTTCTCAATAGGGAACTATCAATGGATCTCAAATTTCGCAAATATTTCAAAGTAGATTGAACCGACAAACTTCATAGACAATCCTCATCCAGCATCTTGTTATTCCAGAAGTCATCGACTCGGGACGGATGAGATCCGCTACACAAGAGTGGGTTACGGCAGAATCTCGGGCCGGCGGGGTAGCTCCGGTCTCCTTATCGAGTCATGGAGTGACTCTTGGCTAGCTCCACTCAAAAAAAAAGGGAACGCGAAAGGGGCCGGGCCGAGACCGACGGACAACACCAAGGGCCAGAACTTGGAAGAAATAGCCAAGAAGAAAGCTGTGATATACATACGTAACTTCAGCTACCAAGGTTGTCAGGATGCCTTCGACAACAACCCAAGAACTATCATCCCCTGTAGCAGCGAAAACTGCTTATTCGAAAATCCCCGAGTCGAAGGAAGAGCGTATGTTGTACCAACATCTAACTATTTGTTGAGCATGAGCTAATATCAACCAGTTGACTGGGTGGATCTTGCCATTGTAGATCTTTCCCTATTCGATACCCCTGGAGGGAAACAGAAGCTCGCCGCTCAACTTTATGATGCCCTGAAAAATATCGGTGAGTAACAAATATCCCCCCCCAAAAACTCCAAGTCCCGAGCTGACCAAGTCAGGCTTCATCTACGTAATCAACTTCGGCCTTAGCCAAGAAGAAATAGACACCCACTACGACATTGCTCGAGAACTTTTCGACTCGCCCCTCTCAGAAAAAAAAAAGTTCCGTGCAGACCTTGAAAAGGGGGAGTATTTCGGGTACAAACCATTCGGGCTCCGAGAAGTGAAGCCTGGGGTTCCTGAGAATACAGAAGTTTACAATATCCCGTCTGTCGGACAGCAAATTGAGCGCCCTCACCCTGCAGTGCTCACCAAAAACTGGGCTGCAATCGAGAAATTCAGCTCTCATATCCGGGATGAGATCGTAGCGAAGCTATTCCAGCTTTTTGCTATCGTATTGGAGTTACCCGAGGATTATTTCCTCGATTTTCATAGGAATGATGAAGTTAATTCGAGCTATTTGCGGTATATGAAATACCATGCCCGGACGCCAGAGCAGAATGCAGCGTTGGATAATATTTGGTTGAAAGGACATACTGATTTTGGGTCTTTGACGCTGTTGTTTCGGCAGCCGATTGCGGCACTGCAGGTGAGGACGCCGAGTAGGGAGTGGAGGTATGTCAAGCCTTATCCGGAGTCGTTGACTGTGAATGTTGCGGATACGTTGCAGTTTCTTTCGAATGGGTTCTTGAAATCAAGCATCCATCGCGTTGTGGCTCCTCCTTCCGACCAGGCTCATTTGGATCGGCTGGGAGTTTTGTATTTTGTGAGGCCGGGGGATTATGTGAAGCTTAGAGGAGCGAAGAGCGCGGTGCTGAAACGTGAAGGGATGCTTGCTAATGAAGATGGTGCTGGGGAATTGACGGCCAAGGAATGGATTTCGAGAAGAGTTATTGCAAATATTAGTAGCAAGGAGATTGAGGTGGAGAAGGAGGATTTGAATAAGGTCGGGGATGGCTTGACACCAGTATATAACTGAATTTGCAATGACATCCACTGGTATGAGAGCATATATCGTGATTTCATGGATCGAGCTGGGGTGAAATAGATCTCGGGTGTTCAGAACGGCGAAGATGAGAAAGAGTCACTCGACTGTTGTTGTGGGAACGAGGCGATGGATATATGGAGGCAACAAGAAACGTCGTTTTATCTGTGACATTAAATGACAGAAGGACAAATCCAACAAAATGCTCTAGCCATATCAAATGATCTCATCCCTGCTTACGAATTCGAGGAGGTTACACTCCCTTCTTAAAACTGTTGCCACCCGCCCGTTCGTCAATAACCATCAAATCCTGCAGCCCACAGACATTGAAGATAGTCTTAGGTGAAACGGCGCTTCCTGTTACGCCAAAGTCCTTCAACCACTCAAATGTATTCTTGATTGCCGTATAAGCAGGCGCCAGGGATGCAAAGGAGAAAATGATGACACGGAAACCCATATCCTGGGCCTCGTCAACCGAGATGAGAGGCGAGACACCGTTTTCAACGCTGTTGAGACACAAAGGCCAAGGAGCAAGATCTTTAACTGCTTGCCTAGCTTGTGCTTTGCTACTGAAGCCTTCGAGAATACCCATGTCAGCGCCCTCATCACGAGCCCGCCGAAGTCGAGTGATACACTCGTCGTATCCGCGCGATTGAAGGGCGTCGGTGCGGGCTATGATGACAATGTCGGACCGAAGTCTTTTGGCAGCTGCTACACAAGCTCTGATCCGGGAAATGTAAGTATCGATATCGACGACCTCCTTCCCCTGAAGATGTCCGCAGCGCTTCTGCATAACTTGGTCTTCGATATGGAACCCGGCAACTCCTGCGAGATGGTATTGCTGGAGAGATCGATCAATGACCATTGGCCCACCATAGCCAGTATCCATGTCTGCAATCACAGGAGGACCGTCAGGTTTGAGGTTTGCAATCATTTCAGCGTTTGTCTTCATATCGTGGAGATGAGCGATGCCCAGATCTGCCATGCCCAGGCGCTTGAGAAGGGTAAGTAATGCGAGATGTCTTCAAGGAGCGATCAAACTTACGGATGCATTTGTCCCAGCGCCTGTCATATACATCCCCTCGAAACCGACAGAAAGTGCGATGCGTGCCGATAACCCTGATTTTCTAAATTTAGCGTTGTATAAAAATGAAAAGATGAGAGTCAAGGTTACCATCGTAAACACCCGGGCAAACAAGAATATGGTCCAAATTCTTGATCATATGCCGCAATCTTGTCGATGCTGGAGCACTTGCGTCGTATGCAAGAGGAGCACGAATTTGAACAGTGGTAGTTGGATTCGTCTCTATAGTCGGAGTCTCTGTCTCACGAACTCGATTTTGAGGCGCAGCAGTATCTTTCAGAGGTTTGCGTGGCACATCTACCAGCTCCTCCAACGGCTTGATTAACGGTTTGAATGGCGGTTCAACATTGCTGAGAAACCGTGGGCTTTCGGTTCCCAGCACAGATCCACTTTTATCGCTTCTTGCGATGTTGACAACACCTTCGATGCCATTGGGTGGAGTGATAGCTTCTGATGGTGTCGTTTGCCCAGATGGAGTGCAACCCATCGTGAAGTCTGTCTCAGGGAAAGGAATGTCATCTTCAGAGTCGGTGTCGGGGGTTTGATCTCTCGATATTCTTGTAGTCTGTGACGGTACGGGACTGGACGGCAGTTTCTGCCACTTGCCAAGATCGTACATTGCCTGGTCTACTTGGCAATCCGTAGCTGTCATGAGGGTCATCGTGAAACCGAACAGAGCGGCCAAGAAAATGTGAAAGGGAAAGACTCTTGAGATTGTGGGAGGACGAAAAATCAAGAAACGATAGAAATAAGTCGACGTGATGAGCCAACCGTATTTAGCAGGCCAGAAGTCTCTACAGACTGGAAGTCATATTTGGAACCTCAAACTCGGATTCCGACTTCTGATAGACGACCCTTGAAGCAAGCAATATTGATGTCTTTGAGGAGAGTGTGCCGGGGAGGAGTGACATCGGATCTCTTGGCCAAGCCTTGCTTGGCGATAAGCACATAAGAGGGAGATGAAAGATATGCGGTCGGTACGAGGCTCAGGTAGCACGGCTCTGCTTGAACGAATTGATCGATCTTCGAATCTAGACGGGGAGCGAAGAATCGGAGTCCTCGAAGAACGTGTTCAGAATTACCATGTCAAGCAAGTCCATTACGCGTGTTGATCCGAGGTCCCCAAGCAGAGTCGGTCTCCGAAGGAGACGAATTGGCGTAGTCGCAAAGCTTTGGAGCGAAGCAGAAAGAAGGCCTATGAGTGTGAAACTACTGGCATACAAACCATTAGGAGGTACGGCGAGTGCTTGTGGATCTCAATGCGGATTGTGAAGAAAAATGATATTGTTGGCTGCATTGTTGCTGTCTGGAGGACTTGACGGTTCGAAACCCAACGCTCATTCGCTGGTAATCAGGTTTGCGTGGGACAGACAAGATAATCGGAATGAGGTCGAGTGCACGCATGACACGTCTTTGGCCCGGCAATGCAGTTCCGAGGATACTGGTTGATGAGTGAGACGGATTGTATGGTGAAGAAAGAGAAAATGGGCGAAGCCTGGAAATTGAGATGGAACCGGGAAATGAGTCCTAAAACGCTTTGGCTGGGAAGAGTTTAGCGGGCAATCCAAATTTCAGGCTTCACTTTAACGGGCTTTCATTGTCAGCAACCCATTGACAACATCAAATGGTGCCGCTCAACACTAACGCGTCGAATCATATGCAGTGTACAGTGATTAGTTGAACTTTTTATGTTCATCAAGAGCTGTGTCATTCAATTCGGTAGGATCACCAATTTTCTAGAAGTTGTGCTTCAAGACTGCCAACGCCTGCCTGCTGCTTCTCGGCCTCAGATTATTGACAGCTCCATTGTGTTCTCATGGAACTGCAAGGCGACCGTTCTCCCGTGTGCGGATTGCTTAGCTTGTTGCTTAGGCGACTATTTCCAATACAAGAGACTTGAAACAAGAGTCATAATCCATCTTGGAAAGCGCTCGGAACTCTGCAAGTTATCCTCTTCTCCTGGAGCTGCAGAGATCAATTCGTTGGCCTTCTGGTCTCTTCCTGAAATCTCGTTCATCGCTTTAGCCACCAATCGACGCTGGACTTTCCCTGTCGCTGTCTTGGGCATGTTTTCCGTGAAATATACCTTCACACCCCGTCAGCATTTACGATCAATCGATCGATTTTGACTCGTACCTTCTTTGGGATCTTGAATTTTGCAGCCCTCTGTCCAAACCAGCTCAACAATTCTCCCTCGGAGAGCTCTTCACCTTCTCGAACCGTGATTGCAGCCGCAACATTTTGGCCATACAAATCGTCGTCAATTGCGAAGCTTACAGCTTCCAGAATTTTGGGATGCTGAGCCAACAGATTGTCTATTTCGATGGGACTTATCTTCTCTCCACCTTTGTTTATCAGCTCCTTTAAACGACCAGTGAGGAACAGATATCCTTCTTCATCGAGATATCCTTGGTCGCCGGTACGGAGATACCCAGATCTTGTGAATGGGGAAGCGACGACCTTTGGATCTCCCAAATATCCAGAAGTAACATTGGCACCCAGAATGCAGACTTCCCCAATTTTCCCTTGTGGTAAGTGTTTCCCTTCATCATCCATGATCTGGAGCTCAAGGCCCTGCGCAACGCCGACTGATCCCGGTTTGTGCTTCGCCGGTGGGAGAGGGTTGGATGTCATTTGATGTGCAGCTTCGGTCATGGCATATGCTTCCAACACTAGGGCGTTGAGGACAGTTTCTAGCTGTCTGTGGACAGTCGGTGAGAGCGGTGATGAGCAGGAGCGCACGAATCGAATGGTCGGCATTGGGGAAGGGAACTCGCCTCTTAAGAGGATTTGATGCATTGTAGGGACGGCAGTGTACCAATTCGCCTCGTGAGTCACGAAGTCTCCCCAGAATTCCGAAGCAGAGAATCTCGGGGGCATAATTAGAGATCCTCCGCTCGCCAGAGAGGACAAAAACCCCGCGAGAAGGCCATGGACATGGAAAAGTGGCATGACCAGGAGCGTGCGATCCGCTGGCGTCAAGTTGTATGTCACTGTGATGTTCTTGGTTGTTCGGCAAAGGTTCTTATGGCTCAAGGGTACCTGCTTGATATCAGCTTCCTCAACTCAAGCATGGAGTTAGTAGACTCACTGCTTTGGGCCTCCCGGTTGTGCCACTAGTGTGAAGAATGAGTGCTACATCGTCCTCACTTGGCTCTTCAACTTTCACTTCATTCCTGTGTCTCAAACTCCCTGAATCTATAACATCAAGAGTGATCTCTCCCCCATCCCAAAAGATTTCCGCAATTGCAGTCCCGCATTTTCGTGCTGCTCTCACAGCTTCACCATTCTCGGCGACTGCTCCCTTTGGAAGCAGAATCACTGTCGTTTTCAAATCTTCAAGATAGAATTCGAATTCTTCTTGTTTGTATGCTGGATTGAGGGGGGCAGAAATTGCTCGTTGAAAAGTAGTCGCTAGAAAAGCGACAGCAAATTCGATGGTGTTGGGGAAAGCAATTGCAACGGCTTCTCTTGGTGAGATTCCTATAGAGGCTAATTTCTTCTGAAAGTTCATTACTTGCTCAACGACCTGATCATGAGATAGAATTATTGGCGTCTTTTGAGATGGTACAATGATTGCAGTCGAGTCTGATGGCCTGGACAAGGAGCTGAGGAGAGTTGCCATGATGAAGAAATGATGGGTTAGAGAGTTATTGAGTTCGGTGTAAAAATTTGAACATACAGTGGTGTCAGAAAGTTTTTTGATTTCTCGGACATTATATAATCTCTGCCAGATATCATGGCAGGCTGTCTAGGGACTTCTCCTCAGCCTAGGTTTTCGGTCGCCGAACAAAGTTCGTTAAGCGAGAATTGTCCTCACCAAGAATAAGGGGTTCAGCTCGCTAGATCGGTTTCTTGGGAACGCTCCATCAAACTCACCGAAGGATGTTTCGGATTATGCCAGCACCCGTCTTAAAAAACATTTAGTGGTCGTGCTGAATACCGGCTGAAAGGTAAGATCAAAATGCCATCTTTGAAAGGTATTATTCTAAAATCAATCAAGAAAATCGTCACGCGTACGGAAACTACTAGTACCTCTCATCCCTCTGATGCTCAGGCTCTTTGGTCAGAATACGTCTTTTACTCACCGCTTGAATCTACTACCTGGACGGGTGATCCAAAGTGAGCCACTACCGGGATGACTTCTTCCTTTGCTCCAGCACCGTCGGCGGCGAGCGCAAAAATTACTGGAGCGGCACTCATCGCACGAGCACTTCACCAACTCGGCGTTAAAGTCATATTCGGTCTGGTCGGAATCCCCGTTGTTCAAATTGCAGAAGAAGCTATCGCTCTAGGTATCAGATTCATTGCTTTTAGAAACGAACAGGCTGCAAGTTATGCTGCAACAGCATATGGCTACCTCACCGGGAGACCTGGCGTCTGTCTCGTGGTTGGTGGGCCGGGTGTTCTCCACGCAATGGCAGGAGTAGGGAATTCCTCAGCCAATGTTTTCCCTCTGCTGTTGATTGCTGGGTCGAGTGAGACTCATCTGGTCACGAGGGGAGCTTTCCAGGAACTCGACGCGATATCTCTGCTCACTCCACATACCAAGACTGCTGTTCGTCCGGGACTTGATGCAATCCCTCGCTCGATTTCTGACGCTTTTCGGACGGCATATTATGGGAGACCTGGGACCAGTTTCGTTGATCTTCCGGCAGATGTCATTCAAGGGCTCAAGGAAGAAACACAACCTTTGAAGGTACTTCCAGCTGCACCTCGTGCAGGAGCCGACCCAGAAAGAATTGTAGAGGCTGCTGAGCTATTGCGGGCAGCTAAGGCGCCACTCGTCGTTGTTGGCAAAGGAGCAGCATATGCCAGAGTAGAACAAACGATACGCCAGCTTATCGACCAAACGAAGATGCCTTTCCTCCCAACACCAATGGGTAAAGGAGTTCTGCCCGATTCCCACTCCTCCAACGCAGCTTCAGCACGATCAACTGCTCTCAAAAACGCAGATGTAGTTCTCGTTCTTGGAGCCAGATTAAACTGGGTCCTTCACTTTGGAGATGACCCAAAATGGAACAAGGATGCTAAATTCATTCAAGTCGATATCTCGCCCGAGGAAATTGGCAAGAACGGGGGAAATGCAGACCTGGGCATCATCGGGGATCTTAACATCGTCGTGTCCCAGCTTTGTATCACACTTCAAGGATGGACTTACGACACTGACTCCTCGCCGTATATCCAGACGCTCCTCGCCAGCAAGCAGAAGAATGAAGGCAACGCTGCAAGACTGGCCAAAATCAACAAGACGCCAATGAGATATCACCGCACGTTCGACATTATCAAGAAAACTCTCCACCGTCTTTCTCCCCCAGAAGACGGCAATATTGTATACATCTCGGAAGGCGCGAATACAATGGACATCTCACGCAGCGTCTTCCCCGTCGAGGAACCCCGACTAAGACTCGACGCCGGCACGAACGCCACAATGGGCGTCGGCCTAGCCTATGCCATCGCCGCGCACTCTGCCTACAACCTCCCTAACCCCGAAGGGCTTTCGCGCTCCTCGGCCCGCAAGAAGATCGTGTGTCTTGAAGGCGACTCCGCGTTCGGCTTCTCGATGCCGGAAGTTGAGACGATGGCGAGATATAGCATGGATGTCTTGATCTTCGTGATAAACAATGGAGGGATATATCATGGGGATTGTGATGATGCTGATGAGTGGTTGAAGCTACAGGAGAAGAGTAGGGAGGGACATGCAGGGTTGCGGAGTACGAGTTTGGGGTATCAGGTTGGGTATGAGAAGATGGCTGAGATGTGTGGGGGGAAGGGGTTCTTGGTGCATACGCCGGAGGAGTTAGAGAGGGCTACAGAGGAGGGCTTCAAGGCGAATGTCCCGGTTGTAGTTAATGTTATTATTGAGTCAGGGGCGGGGAGTAAACTTGTAAGTTCGCTTTTTGCATATATATTTGGTTTGAGACTAACGATTGGTAGGAGTTTGCTTGGCAGAAGAGTGCGAAGAAAGAGGGTGAGTAGGTGCGGGGGGTCTAGGCCGGATGGTAAGATCTTACGTTTAAAGTGCGGACCTTTTTTTATTAAAAAAAAAGGACAGGGGGGCTATCTGGGAAAATCTGAAAGCGCAAGTATATCATCTTCAAGAAATAACAGAATGTGAATCGATGTGTGATATAACTCGGGGGCTGGTGCTTGTTGGATAGATAGGCAAATGACAATCTCTATGCCTCTCGTGCTAAATCTCTTGAGAAACATCAAATCTAATTCAACGGGCCTCATTTCAAACAATGCCAACGGAATGATGCAAATCAATATAAGCAGAGGAGGTGTTCGTTTAGTGCACTCAAAAGACAACCATAGACAGCGCCCTCCTCTCAGATAGAATCAGCTTTCCGAAAATTTCTTCCTCTTTCCCCTTGATCTTCAGATACCGATCAATGATTTCCGGTCCCAAAGCCTCTTTCAACTCCTCATTCGCCTTCAGGTTCCCAAGCGCCTCCTTCAAACTCGTTGGCATCTTGTCCTTTATGCCAAACTCCTCGACCTCTTTGTCGTCGAATCCCAAAATAGCAATCTTTTTGTGATCCTTCTGCATCAATTTCTTGTCCTTCGAGATGCCGAGTAGTCCAGCAGTGAGGATTCCCGTCATGGTGAGATACGGATTTGCCGTGCCGTCGATACTTCTTAATTCCCAATGGCCAGGTCTGACTTTCCTGATGGTAGCACTCTTATTCTGCTCACTCCATGTAATCCATTCACCAGGGTAAATCCTGGCATTGCTATCGTAGTTTGGCATGAAAAATGCAGCCAGTGATTTCCAGCTCTCTAACAAGCCCGCTAAGAAAGCATCTTCCTTGTCTTTCTGGGAAATGGACAAATGGTGATGAAGTCCAATACCCGATAACTTCTCAAATGGCTTGGGGAACAAAGTGGCACGCAGCCCATGTTGTCGAGCGATGTTCTTGATGGACTCCTCGCAGTAGATCAACGAATCTTCTGCTTGCAGCGGAGCAAGAGGCTCGAGAGAGATCTCGAATATACCGGGACCGCCTTCGCTATGGAACTGCCCCGCAAATTAGCAAGGTAAAATCCCAAGGGTACATGAGGGAGCTGAGAGCTCCAGAGCCGCCTTGCTCTCAAGACACAATGCCCAAGGAATCATGCCGGCTCCCGAAACAACTCCTGTGCTCCTAGCTCTCATAGAAGGACACAGCAAATTAGTATGAGAATAAGCCTTACCTGCCTCACGTCGATTCCGGCTTTCGTGATCGAGTGCACAATCTCCTCGATTATTGGCGTGTACTTGTTGTTCAAACTAGCTGCGGACCAAGCATTTGGAGCGATGGGAAGATGTTCAGGTGTCCCTTTGGAATCATCGAAGATGCAGAACTCGATTTCAATGCCCACAAGTAAATCAATGTCGTGCTCTTTCTTGGCGGTGTTGGTGATCTCTTGAAGGCGACTGCGAGGACAACGCCGAAAGCCTTTGCCGTCTTTCTCCCCGCCTTCGTAAACAAAGCACATGACTTGTGCATGGCTAGGATGATAATGGCACACTTTGAGGGAGGACCAGTCTGGCCAAACTTCAGCGTCGCCAATGTCATAGTCCTCGAATTGAAATTCGCCATTGACAGTCAGAGCGGTAAGGACAGGAGCAGGTGTTGTGATTGGCTCGTGCTTTGTAGCAAGAGACCGGGCGAACTTTTTCGTGGCAACACGCGCAAACAAAACACTGGAGAAGTCAACCCATTGAAAACGGATGAATTCGATTGACGGATTGATAGCAAGGAAGGTCTCGAGTGCAGTAGGATCTGCAACGCCATCGCGGAGCGATAGGGAAGACTGGTTTTCAGATAAGTCGCCCATAGTTGAGAAGTGAGAATGGAGAAAGTGACTTCTTTATCTGTTGAGAGGGAGAACGTCGGATGCTTTCATGTACGTGAACTAGTAGGCCGGTTATCAGAATGGCAAATCAACCTCACGTCAGCCCGAGACAGCTTCGAGGAGATTCCGCGTCGCCTCAGCCAATTGCTTACATGGATTGCTATACGATTGCTGTTTCATTCGAGCATACAACGTATTGTTGATTATCATTCGGCTGGCTTAGCGTGTGGTTACTAAGCCTGCCAAGGGGACGTGGACATGATCGCCACTGGGAGCTGCAGTAGTCCGCGGGAGCTGCACCACTCCTTCTTTTTACTTCGTAAGTCGGTTAACGGCCTACTCCGTAGAACAGGGCCCAAGTCTCATTCGTTTGTTTCGCGAAGCTGAACCGGACGTCTTACTCTCCCCCCCCCCTAAATAAATGTAACAGTGGGTCCAAGTGCAGGGGTTTTTTGGTATGGCAACTGGACCGTGCCAGGCTGGTTTTGCGGGGACCCACTGTTACATTTAATTAGGGGGGGGGAGAGTAACAGGAAGGTCTATTGAACTCTAGATTCCTTGAGCCCCACACGTCATAATATCGTATTGGCCCTTACAGCGTTTCGAGCAGTCGGGAATGTCAGAAAATCATCAATACAAGGAAGCCGATGAAAAATGGGAACATACATAGAATCTGTAGCAGTATTAGGAGCATGGAGATAAGCACAGAAAGTCACTAGAACTTTCTAACGCGATAATACTATATGCGCCTGTTTCAGTGGACAGCACCCTCATGCCTCCCTGCTTGTCACCTGCGGTGGGTCCGCTGACGGCCATGCATCAAATGGAAGCCGACGACACTCGCTCAGAAAAGAAAATCTGGTCTGCGAGTTTGTAAAAATGCTACAAGTCCAGAGACTGCTATTGGCCGAGGGAGCAGTGTGCTAAATTTCTCCTTCAGATGTCCTATAGAGTGCTGGGAATTGATGCAATGTTCAAGAATATGGTTGATGCAGACAGCTCTCCAGGACTGCTTGCGCCCCTGCCCTGGCTCGGAACGTAGCACAGACTCCTTGTTGGCGCAAATCCAACCCTGAATTGTCTGGGGAGGCATCTTAAAAAGAGTATTGATGCCTTTCGTATGCTGCCAAAACTTCGGCGAGCATGCGAAGGGAAGTGCTAGAAGAGAAAATGCAAAATAAGCGTTGGAACATGTATGAATCTCTCCCCGCAGGCGGACGTAAGGATTTAAGTCCGGATAACATCGATGGTGCAGGGATGGAGCGGAAATCAAGTGGGGTCCCGATAGAAGTCTCATCATCGTTTATCGACAACTTCAACACTTACCAATCTCACCATCAACCTATCTCCTCGACCCAAGCCGGGTGTGCGCAGTGTGGGTGTCGAGTGTCGAGTGTCGAGACAGAACAGTTACAACAGCTCCAAAGTATTGCATCCACAAGCATGGCTTCAAGTTCGAACCCGCCTGACGCTCGCATGAGCAGCGATTCCGACCCTGATTACGAGCCGGGCGGGGAAGAGGACGAAGAGGAGCAGTCGGAAGGAGAGAACCTTGCACAGGCATATCTCGAACGCTTACTCGCTGGCGAACTGGGTGTCGAAGATGAAGCCGAGGAAGAAGATGGACAGGAAGGTTCGAGATATACCCGTCTGGACGACATCCCAAGCTAATTACCCTCAGAGGACGAGATGGAATTTGGCGACATCCGGGTCGAAATCGAGGAAGAACCCAGTAACATAGACGAGACCCAAGCGGAAAACGACGAAAGGAGTGAGCACATGCCGTACATTACTATTCTTCAGATCCTCCTGCTTATCAGTCAATTTGCAGTCGCCCGGACGAGACGACGGGTCTTGCGTTTACTACAGAATTCCGAAATTGGACGGATTTTCCGCTTTGCCCCAGACGACGACGAGGATGAAGATTTAGATTGGAATCCCAGATGGGCTCGGAGACGACAAAAGCCAGACCCAAATCGATTTCCCAAAGTCCCGAGTGATGCCGGCACAGAACTCATGAACTCCGGCTTATTTGGTGCGAATCCAGCACAAGTCGTCACCTCTAGGGACAAGATGTCGTTGGGAAAGAAGAAGAAACTGGCATGGAGAATCATGGAAAGAGAACTGGCAGTGGGAAATTCTGCGACGGAGAAGCTGAACAATAGGGTTTTAGCTCAGGTCAGAGCAGCTGTCCACTCCCTATAATTTGAGCTAACAAAAGCTCAAGGGAATGATACCTTCCACCCAAGCCGATATGATCATCCACTATGACGAGCCGGTGTACTCAGGTACGCAGCATATCGCCAGCATGCCGCTGATGCTAACAACACCCTAGGCCAATTTTCTGATGACGGAAACTTCTTCTTTTCTGCTAACAAGGACTACCATGTCCGGATGTACGATACTTCGAACCCCTACAAGTGGCGATATTACAAAACTGTCGAATATCCTTTCGGTCAATGGACCCTCACGGATGCTACCCTGAGCCCGGACAATAAATATCTAGCATACACTTCCATCACAAGCCAAGTATGCCTGGCACCAACCGATCCAAACGATATGGGAGATCCATATACTCTGGAGTTAGCAGATATGGGTAATGGTCGGCCCACTCTTACTCAGCGAATGCGGTTCAGAGGACCTTTTAATATCTGGTCAATCCGGTACTCCGGAGATGGCCAGAGATTGGTTGCTGGCACTTCGGGCGGATCCATCGTTGTCTATGACATTGAATCCCGGCGTTCCCTGCATCGAATACTCGGCCATGACGAGGACGTTAATGCAGTTTGCTTCGCTGACTCTTCTTCGCCGCACATCCTATATTCTGGTTCTGATGACACGACCTTAAAAGTTTGGGATACTAGGAGTCTTGGAGACAGTCGTGCGGCAGGAGCCTTTGTTGGTCATATTGAAGGACTCACCTATATTGACAGCAAGGGTGATGGCCGTAAGTAACAACCTTCCCTTACTGCAAAGTATCTTCTGACTCGATACTTAGGATATATCCTGAGTAATGGGAAAGACCAAAGCATGAAGCTTTGGGATCTCCGAATGGTCATGCAGTCCGGTGACTTTGAGAGAATCAAGCCTCAGAGAAGAGCAACAAGGGAACATCACTTCGACTATCGCTGGGGCACGTACGATGAGGACGATTGGTATCAAGATCCTCATGATAATTCTCTGGTTACTTTCCGAGGCCACAAGGTGCTACGAACCCTAATCAGATGCCATTTCTCCCCTCCAGGAAGCACGAACTCAAGATACGTATACTCAGGAAGTGAGGACGGGAAGGTATTCATCTGGAACATGGATGCCACACCCGCTGGAGTCATCGACGTCTTCGAAGCAACGAAAAACTCCCGACCATTTCCTGCCTCGAACATGGATATGGGCTGGGACAACACTACTCCCACACAATGGAGAACGTGCGTCAGAGACGCAAGCTGGCATCCCAGCGCACCTATGATCGTAGCATCCGCATGGAGCGGCTACGGCATGTCAACAGGAACATGCACAACTCATTCTTGGAATGACGGAGCGAAGGATGATGATGCGGAGCCGAAGATGGGAGCGAGGGTTAACGAGAAGCTGGAGCATGATCCCGAGTTCTACGCCCGGTCGTCCAATCGATACATGAGATCAAGGATGAGATACAGATAGGTCCGATGTACCGAGTACAAGTGCAATTCGGCATAGATTCGGGGCACAAATTTGTAGATATGGGTGCATAGGTGCTGGGCGGTTGGGAAACATTGGTGCATATTGGCGGAGGTGTTCGGCAAGTGCTTTTTGGTAGCCCTTCAAATTGTGACATATTGACAGAAGTACATAGTTATAGATACATGAATATTTGAGGCAATGGGCAGGTTTCTTCGGCTTGCGGACGAGTGACGACTCTCTCGTCAGCTGTGCAATCATGGCAAGGGAGACCCCAAATTCATTGACGCTCCCAAGTGGCCTGCTGAGATTTTCTCACGTTCTCTCGTAAGAATGACCGTATAGCCTGAATCTGCATATGAAGCAATCCAACACAGCCACGTGATCTCCTTGCTTCGGCGTGACTCACTTACATGCATGAAAGCCCGCGGGGTACAAGGAGTTTCAAAAGGGGGAGTTCCGCATAAGTTGTATGTCCTCCCCACCTTTGGACAAGTTACTTCACCATCCACGTCTTTCTCTTTTCAACAGGAACAATGGCACAACCCGCTTCCGCTGAACCAACCCCCTCTCCCCACCCCTCCAAGAAAATCGTCGAGCAAAGCTACGACAAGATCGCTCCCGCATACCTAGAATGGACATCCTCCTTCCCTTCTCCCCGCCTCACTTACCTCCATAAACTGCTTCCCTTGCTGCCCCCTCCCGCTTCAGCATCAATCCTAGAGCTCGGCTGCGGCGCTGGCGTCCCTTGTACCCAGATCTTGGCTCGGCACGCGAGCTCGCTCATTGCGGTTGACATTTCTGCTACGCAGCTGGAACTTGCTAGAGGGAATGTTAAAGGGGAAGGAGGGGAGGGGAGAGCGGAGGTTGAGTTTGTGAAGAGCGATATGCACGCTCTTTCCTTCCCTGATGAGGCGTTCGATGCAGTGGTGGGGTTTTATTCCATTATTCATCTTCCGAGGGAAGAGCAGGTTGCGCTGATGAAGAGAATTGAGAGCTGGTTGAAGCCGGGAGGATATTTTCTGGCGAACTTTTCGGCGAGTGCGTGTGAGGAGGCCTGGCAGGAGAGCTGGTTGGCAGAGGGGAGTGGGATGTTTTGGAGTAGTTGGGATGAGGGGAAGACCATGGAGATGGTGAAAGAGGCGGGGCTGGAGGTGTTGGAGGGGAGTGTAGTGTGGGAGGATGAGGGGCTGGTTGGGGGACGGAATGTGGGATTTCTTTGGGTGCTTGGGAGGAAGGGGGGCGAGGGAGGCGTGACTAAGGGCGAAGCGAAGCAGGAATAAGCGACAGTAGGTGATGGTCTTTCGGAGGATCAACGAATAACCGAATCGAGATAAGGGGGAAGCACAATGGGAAAAGGAGACGTCAGATGGTGTGAGTACGGGGTGGTTAGATAAAATCGTCCATGGAACACTCTTTTGAAGCCAGAGAGTAGATTCTTGGCTGAGGGCCAAGATATACAGAGTCATCATAGCGAGAACTGCAAGTAAGAAGTAAGCTTTGGTACAAAAGTCAGAGAGTGCGTTCACGGCCATGTGTTCGGATGTTCAAAGCGCTGTCAGTGGTCCAAGGTATGCTGCAGGTTGCCTCACTCATGACAAGGATTGACTCGAGTCATTGAACAGTAATTGGAGGCAATAATTGGAGGCCTTTCAAGCAGCCACTTTCCTATCTGGCAGGTGAAAATATTCAACATGAACGGTGAACAATAAAACGGCTTTCTTGAAAAAAAGACAGACCTTTAGGAGCAATATAAACATATACGCCCTTTTCGAACTTCTTCGCATCGCAATGTTTTCTAGTTCGTTCATGACCTCGATCACACCACAAGGGTATCGGAGATACACTTCCATTTCTTCGCTTCAAAGGCGGCAGAGTCGCGGATCGCCACGGAGACTTTCCACGTGGGGTCGAGGGGGCTTTTCAGGGGGGTTTCCAACTTTCCGCCCAGCGGCCGCGAGCCCCTTTTCCTGCACACCGCGACTTTGAAGGCGGTTGGCGAATCGGAGACCCGGACGCCGAAACGTCGCACCTCCCCGGATGTGGGAAGACAACGCTGGTGGTGGTGGTTAGTAGTTACCAAGAACCAGGAAACTTTCCATGTACAACACAATTCTCAGCGTGAGGCTAAAACCTGCAATCTGCAAAGGCAGCAGCAGGGAATGAGATGAATCTCCCACGTGGAGCTAATCTTAGACCACGCCGCACTCGCAAGAGATGGCTGCTGTTCCAGAAGAATCGAACGACCCAGAGACGTTTCCTGTGAAACATGCCGTTGAGAGAGAGAGAGGAGGCCACGGTCCAACTCTCTTGGAGGCGGGCGAAGAAGGCGGTCCTGAATCCTGATGGGCCATCCGCGCCAACTTCCACTTGGTCCCGCACCACTGCAGCGCAGACTTCGGACAATTGCATGTGAAGGTCGGGCCAGCAATTGTTTCGAAACGCTGGGGACGTCCCGAGAGTTTGATCTCCTGGACCGTGACCGTGGCCGTGGCCGTGACCGGACGCTGTCGTGAACAGGTTCTAGGTTCTGAGGGTTCACAGCTTCCATCACAACTTCACACTCACAAGGCAGCTCGTGCCTTTAACCTTTCCTTATCGCGGTTTATCTGAGACGGTGTTACCTAAGGCGGGTCGTGCTGCAGGGATGCAGGGCCAGCATAAAAATAATAAAACCAAAACCAGCCTCCAGTGCAAAGCTCGAATCACTGTACCTTTTTGCCGACCAAGAATTACAACTATTACAAGCCCCTACTGCACCGAAATAAACATTCCCGCATTCTCGTGCGGCCCATTCCTTGTATGATTTGCATTTCGGGTCGATACGAGGGCCGCACAGAAGGATCGCGGTGCTGGACTGACTGATGAGGTGAGGTGTTGAATGGCCCGAGATCATCGCAGCAAACACCAGACAGACATCAATCACATCACATCACTGAGGCAAGAAACGAAACTGCCCTCCTCCTCCTCCTCCTCCTGCTGCTGCTGCTCCTCCCCTCCTCCTCCTCCTGCTGCTGCTCCTCCTGCTTTGCCCTCGCCCTCGCCCTCTCCTCTACTCGCTGTGCAGCCGCTCTCCTCGATCCCCCACCAACCACAACACTCACTCGCCTCCCCTTTGACGCCCCTGTCAACCCATCAAATCCGCGCCCGGTCTCGCCCTCCATCACCTATTTTCTTACTGCTCTCCATCACCACCCATCTGCTGCCCACGCGTCTTGGTAGCGAAACGGTTGGACATCAGCGACCCCATCACCTCCATCTCCTTGCACGCGCATCTGGCCTGCCTCCTGCTCCTGCATTTGCATTTGCAGCCCTGGTGCCGTCCGTCAGTGCAGCTGCTTGCTTGGCGAGCCGCCGCCAAACGCCCGCTCCTCACATCGAGTCAAATCTCCAAGCCCAAACCCAATCCCAACCCCAATCCCCAATCCCCAATCCCCCCAATCCCACCTCCACGGACAAGAACCGAATCACGTTACGTCCTGAAAAGTCGAGGCAAACTCCAACAACCGCCCCCCCCCTCCTCCCCCTCCCCGCCGTTGTCACTTGTGTTTGGCAGAAACAGCAGCGCCTATTCGGAGCCCGTTTTTCGCCCCGGCGCGCGTTCCGCCCAAGCTTCCTCGGGTGTTCCATACCAGCGTGCTGTTACAGATCTGCATCAAGTGCCGCCTCGAACCTCACCTTTGCTCTGTGCTCAGGCTCTCTCGCACACGCTTAACCTCCTCCACGGGTTCTCCTTTTTGCTGCGCACTTGCTCTCTGCCACTCCCTCAAGCCCCCAACGTCGGCGTAAAGATCGCTCTCTGTCATCGAGTTCGCCTGCAGGCAGTACCCATTTTCGATTTGCATAAACGCCCGAAGCTCGTTGCAGCTCTCTGCTCATCATTCCCTTGTTCCCTCCACAAGCTTGAGTAAGGTACCTACATCTAACAGCCTCGCCTCATCTATCCACTCAGGGAGGCGGGAAAGTGTGCTTCCGATGTGTCAAAAAGGTCTAACCTTCATGCAGAAGTAGCCTCTTCCCTCGACAAACATCCTCGAGAAACCCGACTTCAGAAATCTTCTCAGTACTTTCACCAAATCTCTACCTCATTTAAACATGGCGGCTCCAGGAACACAATCGCTCAAGGTTAGTCTCCCCGCGCCACAATCTTACGTACAGGTAGAGGCTGACAGGTTTCTTCTGCACAGTGCGTCGTCACCGGTGATGGTGCTGTTGGCAAGGTATACAATATTCCGCGAACCCTGCCAAGTACCGCAGATAGCTGATAGCTTCTGCAGACATGTCTTCTCATATCCTACACCACCAATGCCTTCCCCGGCGAGTACATCCCCACGGTGTAAGTGCGAGTGATAAAAAGGACGCGAAGGAAAGACGCGCTGACTGTAACAGCTTCGACAACTACTCGGCTAGTGTTATGGTGGATGGCAAGCCGATCAGCTTGGGTTTGTGGGATACCGCTGGACAGGAGGATTATGATCGATTGCGCCCTCTCTCCTACCCCCAAACCGATGTCTTCTTGATCTGCTTCTCCATCGTCTCTCCCCCGTCCTTTGACAACGTGCGCGCAAAGGTTTGCAGATACCTAGATCTTGCAATTGGGCGGGTGCTAACTTCACCATAGTGGTTCCCCGAGATCGATCACCATGCTCCATCCGTTCCCATCATCCTCGTTGGCACGAAGCTCGACTTGAGAGAGGATCCCGCTACACTTGATAGCTTGAGACAGAAGCGCATGGAGCCAGTTTCGTATGACCAGGCCTTGATCGTTGCGAAAGAGATCCGGGCACACAAGTACTTGGAGTGCTCTGCTCTTACTCAACGAAACCTCAAGAGCGTGTTCGATGAGGCTATTAGGTACGTTGGTTGGCCCTCGCTTGGCCCCCGCGACTCACCAGCCGCATGGTCGAGCACTGGCCGCTTGATCAAGCCGCAGTGGTTCGAGATGCTTGATTACTGCGGCTTGGAGTCACTAATCAGAGCGGCTGGTGTCTGCGGCTTGAGTACGAAGCTAACTTCGAAATACAGAGCTGTCTTGAGCCCACGGCCCCAAATACAAAAGAAGAAGGGTGGCAAATGTACGATTCTGTAAAGAGATACCATTCCGGACAGTTCTGATACATTGGGGCGGGAGGACGCATTAAATCATACCATGTTCCTTTTCGAGATGAGATTGAGATTGAGGCTGGCATTTCTCTTCAACTGTCTAGAGATGGAAGCACAAGCTCCTACACGAAGCACAACATCTGAGCAGGAGAAGAACGCTTGGTGGCTGTCTCTTCGGGGTATTTTCTCTTCTACTCGAAAATCTTCCTACTTATTTGTTCTCTTCTCAGCAGCAGTCGGCAAAGGGGGTTTAAGCGAGGGAGTTGTTGACTGCAGCATGGGAAAGGATGACTTCTGCATTCCCTGTAGATAATGCACTGTGGGGAATGAGTAATAATGATGAACGACCTTCGATAGTTTGCATAGCATGCATTTCCTTGTTTTATGGCATACCCTTTATTTGTTTTGAAAAGAGAGATAAATCAAAGGAAATACGATTCTGAACGAATTACACTGTACTATCCCCTCCCATGAATAATTATGGGTGGGTCCAATATTCGCCACACTATCATGCCACAATTCACACCACTAAAGGCACGCAATCGAGGGTCTATAGCGAATAGCGGCTCTCGAAAGCACCTGATATTTCCTAATTCGGGGATACTGACGAAGTTTCAGTGTGGCGTTACCAAAGGACCCACTCGTAATTATTCAAGGGGGGGGATAGTATTGGTATCTCTGAATGCGTGAATCTAACATAAAAAGGTATCCTAAGACACAAGGCTTATGCAACTGGCACTCTGCCTCTCCTGCTGGGATGGATTGCGCTCTCATCAATAGTCTTCCCGCCTTCAGCAGCCTTTTCTAACTTGGCCTTTTCCTCCTCGTGTATCCTTCGGAACCGCTCTTCATTCAGCTTCTCATTCTTTCCTTGAATCTTTGCTTTTCGGTCTTTAGTATTACCACCTCCTCCAGCCCTATAGTCTCCTTGTCAGTCCATGTCCTTATGCCAGCTATTAAGGGAGGTATGCATAAGTGGTACATACGTGAGCTCCACATTGATCTTCCTAGGTGCCGACAGCCCATCATCAAACATGGAATGGTGAAAGAGCTTCAGACATGTCTTCATGTGATCATAACCCTCAAACTCCACAAACGCAAAGCCTTTTGATTTTGAGGGGTTGTCTTTTTGTGTTAAGTGGCGGACGGATTTGGGTTTCACGGAGGCGAAGTGGGCGGTTATGGACTCAGTTGTTGCAGTAAATGGGAGGTTGCCTACAGCAATTGGTTAGAAATCGGAATCGTTGGTGAGAAGTTAAAGGATTGTTACCTATAAAGACAATAAACCTCGCAGCTTTTGAAACTTTTCCTTCCTCGGACTGTGAAGTCTCCCCATTCGCAGAAGTACCTTTCCGCTTCTTCTCCCGGTTTCGATTGTTCTTCTTGGATTTCTTTTCTGCTGTTTCCTCTGCAGTCTCTCCATTGGTCTTCATGGATGCCTCTGGGGCTTCTGTAGGTATAGGACCCTTTGCAGAAGCTTCAGCAGCCTCTCGTGCTTTGCGCTCAGCTTTGCGCTCTTTCTTGCTCTTCTTCGGCGCTTCTGGCTCTTCTGCCATAACTGCATCCACATCCACCTCTTCAGGCGCCTCTTCCTCCTTTGCAGACCCCAATTTCTTATCCTTTTTGCTCTTCTTATCTTTCTTGGGCGCCTTCACCTCACCCTGGACCTCCTCCACAGCCTCAGCTTCCTCAGTCTTCCTCCGCTTCTTCTTATCCTTCTTATCCTTTTTGGACTCCTTGCTCTCCTCAATCACCTCGTCGTCTGCCTCCCCATCCCGCTTCCTCTTCTTGGATTTCTTCTCCACCTTCTCTACCTCGGCGGTCCCGGCTTCGTTATCGCCTGGTAAGTCGGGAATTGCGTCTTCGAGGGCGCGCTTTTTGGCTTTTCGCTCGGCACGAGACATGTCTGTTGATTTCCCCATACTGGTGACTGGATTTGGTCTGTGGTTGGAAGGTTGTCGAGTTGGTGATCTGGTGTGGTTTTCTGAGACTTTTTTCCCTCAAGGTTTTGGCTGGCAGAATTTTTAGCGGGCTAGGCGGGGATGAAAAGTGCCCCACTTCAGCTGATTTGGTACTGTGACTCTCTCTCTGTGAACGCACCGAAGTAGGTACTTCATAAAGTCAGTAGGCTTTAGAATCCATAATCGTGGACACTTCACAGCTTGATCTGTTCGTATAGTTGAGATCTTTTTAATTTAAATATGTTGTCCTTTCAATGGAAGTTCCTTCGCAGCAATCTCCTCTTTCCAGCCTCCCTTCATGGGCTGGATCATAGATACGTGAAAGTTGTGCAACCTCTTATCTCTGAACCCATTTCTTCCCTCCTTCCCCATATTCTATAATCATCAGATATGGCAGACGTCGCCAACGGTGGATCGTCGAAATCATCCCCCTCACTGGCTCGGGCCAAGAACGAGACCAACACCAGCGAGAAGCTTTGCTACCAGACGACGCTCAAGCGGGGACGAACGAGGGTGTTGAGATTAAGAACACTAGGCCAAAGATTCTTACACTCGAAGATGGCGCCTACATTTTAGAATCCCAGCCAGAAAAGTCAAATAGAGCTCCCGCCATCTCGGATCAAGCTGCTTTAAATGGCGGCGTCTAGTCGCCCACTGCCCCTTGAATCGGATTATGTTTCTCCAAGGACCAAGAGAGAGCTCGAAATCGCAGGGTGGGACAGAAATATTACTTCCTTGACACCAAGTAACGAGATCATCGACAGGTTGGTGGCCTCCTTGTTCGATCTACAGAGGAGGCATGTTGTATCGCAAGCTCTAAACCGCAGCCAAGAATGGGAGCCAATACTCGTGCTCGATGGACTACATTTGAGGAACATCCGACGTCTTTAGTTGCGACTTCTTGATATCTCAAGAGGTTGTGCTAATCCACGCGTTGTTAGTGAAGACGAGGTTCATTTATTGCTCCACCAGTACCGTAGTTCTTGGTTTTAATTAGACAATCATTAATCAAAAGCGAACTAACTATCCACCTGAAGGAGAAGCTCTTGATTATTATGAAACTATCAAGAATGACCAGCGGCGTTCAGCTTCTGTGCTGTCCAAACTCGGCGGCTTGGCCACCCACCTCAAAGAACACGATGTCTCCATCTGGTGCATGGTCAACGCTAACCAAACGGGAAATTGCGTAGCTACCGATCTCATCTCGACCTGTTCTTCTATTTCATTGCCCAATTCTCATTTTCTGTTAGCGGTGGCCTGTTATTGATCATACCGCTTCTGATCATGGTCTCCATACTGGTAAAACTGCAAGTGCCGTCACGACTTACGTTTCTGCTATTATATTTGCGATAGAATTGGCAAATTGGTCCGCTCTGGCTCGTCTCGAGGGGTCATCTGACTTTTGGTTCTTTAGGTTGCGGAGGCTTTTGGGTGTTCATATTGGAGCTTCTTTTGAGTCGAAGGATATCATTGCTGTTACTTGGCTTATGTTGCTGTGCTGATTGTGTTTGTCGGAACTAATATTTGATGACGGGATTCGTAGCTGAACAGGATAGAATAAACACATAAGACACAACTGATTCTCTCATTTGCGAAAACTTAAGCCCCCTTCGAGCAGTGCAAGACTAGAAAATCTTGAATGTTGAATACAAGTTAAAACAATACCCCTCCTTTCCTCTCCTATCATGGGTGGAATACAGCTTCCGACGAGAAAACGAAGCAGCTTGACTACATATAAAGCATAAGGGCAGCGCTAAGTTTCCTGGCCCACAGTCCTTTGCTCTCCTCACTGCCCCTTTTTGTCGGCTGGCAAAGGCTTTCTATCCGGACCAAAAAGACCCAAGAGGTACGCCGTACGAGTTGCACATAGAAAGGCCTTGAGAAATCAGCAATTTTGTTCCAGACATCAAGATAGGGTCCTTACCGTAAGTCCAACGTTTCCCCACGTTGTTGGGTTATAATTTGCCAAGTCAATAAACTTATCATAGCCCATCACATATCCAGTAGTAGCAATGTGACCAATATCCGCTAGCCAAAGAGCAATCACATAATTTCTGACTACCTTTGGTTCCGTGGTGCTGTATAGGACCGCAACTGCGACCATAGCAAGAAGGAGATAGATATTGCCCAGTCTAAACAATGTCAGACTCCAGCCGAAAATAGGTGTTCTCAAAAATGGTATGGGCCCTCTGACTCCACATTCCGAGCCTTCAAAAGGGGCTTAAAACAATGAACGCGGAAAAGGCGCTTACTGCAACGCCAGCATGCGGGTATTGTCCGAGATGGCTTCCACGGGTGATCCGGGAATTTGCTCAGCGGCGAATAACTCTGTAGCTAGAAACGGAAGAGTAAATCCAGCAGCCCTGTTAACAGTCAGATACGACGAATGGGATGGGGGCTTTAAGACTTGCGTTGCAATGGGTTCAAAGATACACATGACGAATCTGGGGAAAGGGGGGAGAATTGAAGTCATGTTTGCTGGTTTGCGTTGGATGATGAGGGTCAATTGAGAGGAAAGAGTCGAATATTGAGCAGGCAAATGTTTCTTGAGCTTGCGGTAGAGGCTTTAGTAGAGTTCTAACTGTTGTATGGGATCTAGAGGTGAGATGTGAGACGTCAGCCCTCAACATGCGCAAGAAAATGGGAGTAAGCGCTGCAGGGCTACTGTACAGGGGTTGGCAGCTGGGGCGCCTTCAGCCTTGTCGGTCATTCAACCTCCGGCGGGAGCCACACTTCACTTCAAAATGTACACCAGCATTCGCAAATCGTCATCAGCAATTGCTACCTCTCGAGAAGCCCTACGACAACACGTCGGTCATCTCACCATGTTTCCAAACATTACATAACATGAACAATACGATAGAGCCACGCCTGATAGCTCTCCTCAACGATGCGCCCTCCGAATTGTACAGCATTTCTCCGTCCTTGGAGCTGCCTCCACTGCACGATCCCAATATCCTGAAAGCTTCTGGGCGTCCTCTGCTACTAGAGCCAGATGCCAGTAAGCGGAATGGCAAACCAAGCACTAATCTGCAGCTTGCTTCCAAGCACAAGCCTCTGATCCCGCCGCTCGACGATGATGAAACGACCCAGAAAGGCAGCGAGGCAAAGCAGAAACATGGGAAGAGCGCCGCAGATCGAACATTGGGAAATTCTTCACCTCAGTCTCTGCGGAAGATACTGGATAATGATACAAACACCACCGTTGCAATTACATCGAAAAAGCGGAATATTGTCGAGATTAGTAAAGACGACTTTGTTCAGCTCCCACAACCGCCGAAGAAACAGAAAGCTGCCAAACAAGTTGTTCCGCCTATCATCATTGGTCTCTTTGAACCTCCTCCCCAGGCTGCTCTATTTCCGCCTATAGCCTCAAGCTCGTTCCACGATAGCCACGGGAGAAACAGTTTAAATACCGTGCTGCCGAAAGTTACGGAGCTGAAGGACGACTCGAGAAAGGATTCCTCCAACGACAAAAAAGCGGAGTCATCACAGACGAAGGCTCAGAAGAAGGATGTTCGACCTAGGAAGAAATGGACGGAAGAGGAGACAGCGCATCTACTCCTGGGAGTTCATACACATGGGGTCGGCAACTGGACAGATATACTGGAGGACTCAAGTTACTCCTTTAATGGAAGATCAGCTATTGATCTGAAAGATCGCTTCAGAACCTGCTGTCCCGCTGAGTTGCGAGGAAAGGCCGTGGACACCAAGTCAAGCCAAGGTCCTGACGGTTCCAAACTGAAGACTAAATCCAAGTCAAGTCTAATGTCAGAAAACATATTAATTGAAGATGACGAAATAGGGCCAATCAATGCAAGCGGGGATGCAAATGTGGCCAAGCAACGCAAAAGCCGTGCGCACAGGAAAAAGCTGGAAGACTTGGCCCAGCTAGGAATTGAGGGACCTTTCCAGAAGTCTAGACGCCGCGAGAGGAGGCCATTTTCGGAGGAGGAGGACCGGGCTATACTTGAAGGCTACGAAATATACGGGCCTGCTTGGACCCGAATACAGAGGGATCCGAGATTGAACTTACAAAGCAGACAGCCCACAGATCTCAGAGACAGGTTCAGGAACAAACATCCTGAGAAATTCCGAAGCGAGGACAAAGCAGATTCTGGGAAGCCAAGTCTGAATCGATCTTCTCCAAGCTTCCCTTCCACAGATAGTCGTAGTAAAGAGGGTATGATGCCAACCCTCAATCAATATACCTCACCCTTCATACCGCAAGGTTCTGATATGAACGGGCACATGAACGAGAGCTTTTGGAAAGAAAGCACATCCGGCTCGGCATCCCACGGCTCATCCCTCCATAACCTATCGAGTCGAGAAGGTCTACGCATCCAAGAGATCATATCGTCAGAGCAGGAGATCTCAAAAGCCTTACCGCTGCAGAACCACACTTCCATGTTCAATTTCAAAGACACGGATGTTACCTTCGGCGACCAAACTGGAATGGATTCATCCGACAGTCTGCCATACACCCAATCCTTCGATTGGAATCCTGGGATATCAGCCCCCTTCTCTAACAACATTGGAGAAATGGACATCTCGCGCTTGTTGCTGGATGAATCGTGGCCTGATATTCCAAGTTCGAGCAGCAAGGAGAAACAGACCTATAACGACATCAACAGCATTATCACTTCGAGTGCAGAGCCTCTTCACAACGGGCCTTCATTCTTCAACATGCTGAATGATCCGGATCAAATTGATGATCCATTCGCCTGAAAGTTCTGTCTGCAAACGGGATAAGTAAGCCACCGTTAGACATTTTCATGTCAATGGATGGATAGAGACGAAGACCTAAATCCTGGCCTATGTTTGGCCCTATTTTGATCAGGAGGCAATCGGTCGTTCAACTCGCTATATTAGACAACATCCGTTGTCCTGAGGCTTGGTATTGTGAGATGCCCGCATCAAGCGTGCGAACTTCTTGTCAGAAACTATGTTAGATGAGGAAACGCCTTTGGAAGACCTTTAAAAGAATTGCTCTTCGTGCAAAAGTTTTTCCGTTTGCCTCACTTTCTGAGAATCTCAGTGTGAAGGCCAACTACTACTACAAGGCCATGTCAATATCAATCGAAAACCTTCCTAACTTTGCCTCCCCTTTGTCAATGCCCAGTTTCCCAAACGCCAATGATCAATTGTACAACGAGCCCTATCAATCTTCTTTCTTGTCATCTTCATCTTTTCTCGGCTCGAAGTTAAGCTAAATAATCAGCCAAGTTCCTAGAGAATAGTTGGCTTTACTCACTGCGTTCCCATTATAGAATTGCTGATCATCCCTTGAAGACTGTTGATCTCTCAATGTCCTAACATTAATTGACGGGTTCGGGTTAGGCGTCGAGGTTGGAGTCTGACGATGCTCCTCAGCAGAGGGAGGAGTAGCACCAGCTCCTCCTAAAATGCCACCCAAAAGACCTGTGACCATTCCCAACCCAGAAGATACTAATCCATACCCAACCGAAACACCGCGAGATATGAGTCCCGTGCCGCCTTCATAGGCCGAACTATATGCAGCAATAGGTACGAGGATAAGGGTGGCACTAGGCGTAAGACCGAGTGACTGGAGGGTTCCTTCTTCCTCAGAGGTCTCGATATTCTTATTTGGTAGTGGTGTTAGGACTTGCTTGAAATTATACGGCTGGTCACCCGCCTGCTTCTCATCGATCCAGGGCCTAACATCCCTTCTCAGACTCGCCGAAGAAGGAAATCGACTTCGAATAGTTGACCCATCAAAGAGTCGAATCTGCAGAGCGCATTCGACCGAGTTCGTCGACTTTGCCTGCTGAAGACTGCTGCTCGACCCAGTCGGAAGAGGTACACCCTCAGCCAAAGCCTTAGCCTCGGCCTTTCTCTGCGCTTCTCGTTCCCGTCTTTCGGCTTTGTCGTCTTCTACCCGCTTGAGAATGCGAGCTCGCTCATCTCGGGCATCTTGCGCTCGCTTCTTATGCATCATGGCGTACTTCTTGTCGGCGGTCGACTTAGATGCTACCCCTTCGATCTCATCTCTTCTAGCCCGGATTTCTGCTGCACGGCGGGCTTCATCTTTTGCTTGCAGGGCTTTCTTTTGGGCCTCCAGACGAGCTTTCTTTTCATCGGCGGTCTCTTCATCACGTGACTCTGCTGGATGGCTGGTTGGACCTGGAGCTGAGGCTCTTGTTGGCGGGGCGTTGCTTGAAGGTGTGGATGGCGGTGAGCGCGGAGGTTGAGGAGAAGCTGGATTTTGGGTAGTCTGACTGGGGACTGCTGTTGGAGGGGCTGCTTGTATTGGCGCTGTCTGGGCGGCACTGGTAGATCCCAGAGCGAGGTTCATACGACGGAAGAAATCTTCCTTAGAGACTCCCGCAGCCAGATACTCTTTTAGTTCTCCATTCCTGAAAAGCAATTGTCAGTAAAAGGTGACACCGGTTTCACGAAGGGAAGAGTCCGCATTTGTAAGCCAGGATATGTAGGAGGTGAAGCAGCCGAGCGCCTTGTTAGGTGAAAACATAAAGCAAAGATAAAAAATCAAGAGTAATACTGTCCGGGACGTACTTTATGAGCACCAGTGTTGGGGTTTTTGGCAGAGGGAAGATAGCTGCTAAGTATCCAGCTTCCGTTGAGCCTGCCACGAGTCGAAGCAGAACCGTTTGATTTGATAATGAGGCCTTCAACTAATCTGGCCTTAGTTGTCCGTATTCCTTCTCAGATGGGTGACAAGTAAACTCACAGCTTCTTCTTGGAGAAACTCATTTTCCCACAGCTGACTCTCTTCGCCATCATCTGAAGACACATATCAGTACACCAGCCTTGCGCCGTGATGTAAGATGGATATTTACCTGCCACGAAGCAAGCAACCAACTTGGCTTCCTGCACAGCTTTACTAATTCCGCTCTGTAAATCACCTTGGTAAAACATCTTGATCATATGCTAGGTTGTGTTGGATGGAGAGCATGAAGGGATACCACAAAGCAGGCGGGAGTGTTTGCTTACCGAGCAAACATCCCGAAGCTTGAAAGGAAATTCCGACGTCCATCCAAGTCAACCGCCCAGGTACACCAGCTATGAGTGCTTCAAAGACTTTTTTACGGCAAGCTCGAAGCTTCAAGTCCGCGCGAGGTATTTCAAAGGATTTATGGCGACCAATTGCACCAAAATGTCCATCATGCCGGTATCTCTCCCAGAGCTCTCGTCGTCCAAAGGCCGAACCAGCAGATGACCCCAATTTCATGTCTATCGTAGACAACCCACCAAACTTAGTACGGGCAGGAAGGCGGCATGGCCCGGGGCTTATTGTTCTAGGTATACTTTGGATGTACTAGGTCTGCCACAACATTACTGATTTTGAAATACAGCTTTAATCCCGATCACTGCTTTTGCGCTCGGAACATGGCAAGTCCAACGCCTAGACTGGAAGTCCAAATTAATAGCCAAATTCGAAGACCGACTTGTACGAGATCCGCTGCCTTTACCTCCACATATCGATCCTACAGCCATACACGACTTCGATTACAGAAGGATATATGCAACAGGACATTTCAGGCATGATCAGGAGATGCTTATTGGGCCGCGGATGCACGACGGGCATGATGGATATCTGGTTATCACTCCATTAGAAAGAGAAGGGGGCGGTACTACTGTCCTCGTGAATCGAGGGTGGATAGCTAAAAAATTCAAGAAGCAGGCGGATCGACCGGATGGCTTGCCAAAGGGCGAGATCACAGTTGAGGGATTGCTGAGGGAGCCGTGGAAGAAGAATATGTTCACCCCGGACAACAGCCCTCAGACGAAGGAATTCTATTTCCCGGATGTTGTTGAAATGGCAAATTTGACGGGAAGTCAGGCTGTCTGGGTTGAGGAAACAATGGGTTTGTCTTGAAAAGTTCTCTTGGAGGAAGTTTCGCTCACTCATTGCAGATCCTGATTTGTTGAAAGCTTGGGAATGGGAGGCTCGAGGTATTCCAATTGGAAGAGCCGCTGAGGTCAATCTCAGAAATAATCACACGCAGTATATCTTCACATGGTAAGCAGCATACCCAGCCCATAAACACCTATACATGCAGTAAACCTAACGCCATCGCCCAGGTACGCTCTCGCAGCAGCGACTTCCATAATGCTATGGATGGTCGTGAAGAAACCCCCTGCCGATATAGCCCGTCGTGTCAGACAAAACAAAGACTGGTCATAAAGTCGTAAAGTCCTAGACGATCCCCTCAATCCTCGTCCGCCTCGTCAACTCTTTCAAGTCAACCTCCCTTCTTGAATTTAGAAGGAGGTACCATCCGTAGTTCTTGCAAAAGCTCTCGAGGCAAATGTCTCTGAGCAAGCGAAAACGGCGTCGTTGTAGCATTTGTCTGGCGTTGTCTGTACAGATGTAAATTAGATCAGGAAAAACATCAACTTATTTGACAGGGACTTCGACATACCTAGCCATGAGTGTAACAATATCACTTTCGTCAATCGTCTTGCGGCCAGCGTGCTTAGCATAGGCTCCCAAGTCGTCACTGACTTGCTCGAAAAACCAGTCCGACGCTTGCATAATTGCTTCCAAAGCCTCTTTGTTGATCTTGGCTTTACTGTTGCCCGCTGTTCTTGCAAAAGTTGTTGCTAGTTTCTTCACTACTCCCGCAGGAAGGGAGGGATACTGGATGCCATGTTTTGAAACCTTGAGTTTCTTCTTCCGAACTACCTTCCGTCGTTGTGCATCAACAATCTCTACATCTTGTTGGGTTGTATCTTGCATGCTGATGTCGCCGGATAGCCCCTCGGGACTTCCTTGTGGTTCTGGCTCCTCATCATCGGTCTCCTCCAATTCCTCCACTTTATTCTCTTCATCAGGGGCTTGATCATTCTCGAAATTTGGCAAGTCCAGAGGCTCATCAAGTTCTGGCTCCTGTGAAGGATCCCTTTGTGGGACCGTGAGGACAAATGTTGTTTCCGTGTCATCTGCTGCCAGTATCTGTGGTCGAATGTCGCTTTCTCTCCCAGATGCGAGAGAAATGCGACCCCTCAGCGTTCCTGTATTTTCCCTGTTGTTGTCAGAAGTTTGCCTATTCAAGCCATCATCCAGTGATCAACTCACCCTTGGAGTGCGAGATCTTCTTCCATGCCTGGGATATCATCGTCTCCGCCGAATCGACCACCGGCCAAGTAGCTGGAATCATATCCATCTGCGACCATTCCGGGATCATTCAAGTCGGCAAACACATCGCTCATACGCACACTACCAAAACTACCTCGTGAAAGTCTCCCAGGAGGCAGCTCACTGGCAGCTCTCCGAGGAAGTTCAACAGATTGGACTGTAAAATTCTCATCTTCTAGCCCAGCGGATCGAGGTGGCACCAAGAAACTATCGTCCTCATCTTCATCCTCCCCCATTGGGAGAGACAGGCGTGGTCGCTCCATGTCAGGCTCATCATCCAAGTCATCTCCCCTTTGGACATTTAGCCTTGTCGAGGCATTTGGACCCTGAGGCGTGGGCACAATGGGTAGTGACTTCGGTGCTAGTTGTCTACTCAATGCTCTGAGAATCCCCAAAGGCGTTTCCCTCTGTTGTCTGCCACTTCTCCTCCTATCCTTTCCCGGTGTGAATCCAGCTCTTCGCTGGTCCAATTCTCGCTGTGCAGCCCTGCCATGAGGTGTAATCGCGATCGGCCTTTTTGCTGAACCCAATATTCTCTGCGCGCCAGGAGTTCTAGCCTGGCCAGAGGGTGTTCGTCGGCCAGATCTTCGGGTTGATGGTGGACCAGCACTCGAAGCCCGGCGCAACGGAGTCGTTGGTCTAGGAATATTGGCAAGTTGGTTCAACGTTCGCCACGGCGTTTCCTTTACTGCCGCACTTGCAATTGTCTGGTCACCGTCAGAGTTTCGAGGAGTAATACGTGATTGTTGCGCCGAGGTCCCTCCAATACTTGGATTTGGCGCAAGGTTTGTGGGTGGCCGCTCACGGCTGCTGCGTCTGGCCGACATATCGGATTCGAAGAAGGCGTCCGAAATCAAGTCTCTCCGTCCTCGATGGGAGGCGTCAGAGAATTGCCTGGCGCTGACATTTGTCTCCTCTCGATCGCAGTTTTAATGTCAAGTCGCGTTCCTACGCGTCATGGGCTATGCGCCAGAAGCGGAAGGCGGTGAGCCCAACTCCACGGCAAAACGATTAAATTCAAAACTTCAACATTCTCAACATTTGCGTGGACGAGGATGACACAACCAAAAACTCGAAACTGAGTCTCGACCTGCCAAACTACGCGCATTCGCCATGCCGACCGAGGGCGACTTACAGGAGCCTCTTCTTGAAAGGCTGAGTGCAACTCCCGAGCTAGAACCGAAGAGTACTGGCTCTACTTCGAAGAAAAGAAAGCGCGGGGTAGTCGAGCAAGGCGCAAAGAGGGCTGCAAAGAAGACAAAAAGCAAGAAGAATGCAATAGATGAAGATGAGCTGGATGTCGAAAATTGCATCAACAAGGCGTTTTCGCACATGGATAACCAATTGTTAGCTGACTACATTGCCCAACGAACGAGAAAATACGAGAGCGACTTAAGCTCTATAGAGCTTGAAGACAAACATATTCCAGGTATTTTATGCCGGAACAGGGTGGGGCCTGTACTAATTTGGGCTTCAGCAAATGCAATCCGCGACACGACTTCGTGGGACAAGCCCAGAACTCTAGACACCCTCCCCAGTTTCTTAGAAAAGTTCTCTGGGAACTCGACCAAGTTATGGTCTGCTTCGAAGAAGAATGGCGCCCCACATACGATTATAGTGACGGCTGCAGGCTTGAGAGCAGCTGATATTGCAAGGTATTTACTGTGCTCTCGGGTTTGATATCAGATGTTGACATGTCGGGTAGGGGAGTCCGGAAATTTCAGACAAAAGACGCCACAGTTGCCAAACTCTTTGCGAAACACATCAAACTACAGGACTCTATCAAATTTCTCAAATCAACTAGAACGGGCATTGCTGTTGGCACGCCACAAAGATTGAAAGTTTTGGTGGATGATGGTTCGTTCGTTCCCTCCTAGCAATGACCAGGCTGACGCTTCCAGGCGCCTTACAGATTGACAGGTTGGAGAGGATAGTTGTTGATGCTTCGCACATTGATCAAAAGAAGAGAGGAATATTAGACATGAAAGAGACCCAAATACCTTTGGTGGTTTGGTTGGGCCAGCAAGAGTTTAGGGAGAGGTATGCTGCAAAAAGCGGAGGTATACAATTGCTCTTCTACTAGAGTTCGAGAGGTACATGGGCTGGCAGTTCTAGCTATCAAATTCTGCGCCTGAAATAAAACTTTTATGTTGAGTGCTGTTTCGTTTCGATTTCAGAATGCCCTTGCTGTTTGTATGGCCCGTCATTTAGGTTTTGCCAGGCATCCGCAATGCATTACCCAAAACTTTTACCTAGGAACTTTTAAGAAGGAACAAACCTGTCATTCAAACTCTTTGTTAGTTCCGGCAAGCGCAGGTGCTTTCAAAACCCAAAGTTGGTTCTTCCTTCTCTTCTCTCTCCTTCCTTCGCTCCACATCTGCCTCGCTATAACACACCCACTCGCTCGCCTCATCGCACATCTTGTCAAGCCGATTTCAGTTGAAACATTCTGTCACTATAACTCTCGAACGGCCGCTCCTCGCCTTTCAATCCTCTTAGCAAGCTGGATCGCTTCCGCAACTTCGCTCGCTCTCCTCTCGATTGGCCATCGTTTGTCCTCAAGTCGTAGACCCAGCCTGGGTTACGTCTCCCACTCTCGCTTTTTTGATTCTTCAACATGAAGATTCTTTTGTCGGTGCCTCTCATGGCCATGCTGCATTGGGCTGACGGGCAAATAAACCCCGCTGCACCTGGTAACCCTTCCACCCAAGATTCATCACTGGAGACTCACGTTCTCCTAGGATGCGCAGCTCGTTGCTGGGAAAACACACAATACGTGAGCAAGCGCAAATGTGCTGGTGATGCGGCTTGCCTTTGCTCCGAACCTGACTACCAAAATGTAAGCTCGAACTGCCGCCCAACAGCTCGAGAGACGAGACTCTCCAGCCAAGAATTGTTAAGGGCATAAGGATGCACTAACAAGTCTGCAGGCGGTCTTTCAGTGTCTCTATTCGCAGTGTGACACAGTGCACTTTGGCTCTGCCCTTCATCACATCATTGCTCAGTGTTTCGGCACAGGATCCGAAATGCCTCTCTTTGCTGCACCACCAATTCCGAATCGGGAAGACCTTCGGCGACGAGAAGAAGAATACGCAGCAGGAGCGAAACTGTACGGTTCTGGTTCTGCTGTTGGGTATCCCACCGAAAGTGTGTCTTTCCTGACACAGAGTGCTGGATATGCAACCCAAAGCGTCGGTGGCATATACTCTCCCAGTCCTTCATCAACACCACCGCCCTTATTTTCTCTCGATGCCGCTACGTCACCAGCTGTAACTTCCGCCACTCCAACAATGCCACTATATAACGCAATACCGGCCGTGACCACTGCTGGTGCTCCTCAACAAGTTTTCGTCGGATTAGCATCGGCACTGGGACCTGCCATTACTTTCGTTGTTCTGGGTGTGATCGCAACCTTATACTTGACACTCTAACTCTATACCACTTTCTCTCCTTCCCTCAATCACCCATGCCGTCTCGTTGGTAGAACGGATGCTCGAAGGGCTTTCGCGCGAAATTTTGCAGTGTTTACCTGAGCCCACTGAGGAATTTCCTCCCCCAGCATGTGGGCTTGGAGCAGGAAATGCACGTCTTTGACTATCGGTACTTTTTGTATTTCATTTTGTTCTAGTCGTCTCTTCCCCGGATACTCATGGAAGCAGACTTGAGCTTCATTGGTATGTCTGCAAGGATATTTTGGAACTTTGGCAGCTTTACTCGAATGCTCATGTGTGGCGAGCTCAGAACTTAGCCAATTAGGCTAGCTCAATGTTCAGAGACTGTTGAATTGGTATATTTATTTCGACTGGTGATAGTCAATCCATATGGTGCCCCTCGTTGCATTTTCTGTGTTCACACGTCATTTTCTTGCCCGAAGTGCCATTACGACTTGATCACATTTCCACGCCGGATTGTAGGAATCCATAAGAGCTTTTGCTAAAGACTCTAGAAAGACAAAGCAGAACAAGAAAACTGTGTTCAGGATCGCGTCCATTCATCCGAACTGCACAGTATTGGCTCCTCCCTATCGAGCGCAGGGGACCGAAAAGGTATGATGGTTGTTTGCCTAAGATGCTCTTCGTTAAACACCTCTATATCTGTCACTTTGACAGTCGTCTTCATTTTTGACGAAGGATGCACAAAGCTCCGAGCACCTTCCCAGATCATCAGCAATCAACGCCGCCGACTTGCCTTGCAATCAGATCCGCGGTCCTTCCGTAATCGTCGTGAGCCATTCGATCATCGCTTGCTAGAAGCAACTTCTCCATTTGATTTTATATCCCGGCGTCCAAAAGCTTCAAGCAGGAGTCTGTCTATATCGACCTTGGGCTGATCGATCTTTGCTCCCACGTCGAGGAGAGCAAGTGCTACGTCAAAAATTTCAAACTTGGTGGCAATCATGAGAGGAGTACGACCAAAACGATCCAGTTCTTTAAGCTTTGCTCTGTGTTCGAGAAGTATCTCCGCGGCTTGGATGAATCCTCCCAAAGCGGCTATGTGGCCATACTTGTCTCGAACATCTGGAGACATCTTCGCAGCTGTAAGGAGTTGCCGCAGAATATCGAATTGATTAACCCTTCTGTCCACGTCATTGGCATTCTCCAGTATAGCCAAGTGTAGCAATAATCTCCCACTTTGTTAGTATCTTCGTTCCTGCAGAGATTCATAAGCTCGGTCTGACCATATTGAAAAGCCGCAATAAAAGGTGTCCGGCGGTAGGTGTCTTTGTTGGACGAAACGGCTCCGATGGCGAGGAGATATCGATATACCTCGAGTTTCTCACATTTGCAAGCAGTGTGGATAAGTGTCATGCCAATCGAATCTCGAGAATTAGCCTGTAAACCCCTTTCGTGAAGTATCTGAAGGATTCCAATATTCCCCTGCTCCGTCGCTCCATGCAGAAGAGTGCAACTGTCTCCGTCAGGACAGAAAATATGTACCCCCCTTTGCGGCGCAGTCACCTCTCTCACCACTTCCAAGCCTCCTTCCTCAACCCCTCTGAATATAGCAGTCTTTCAAATCCCATAAGTCGAACCACTAACACATCTTCAACTACTATCTGATTTAGCCAACTAATCCAGGTAAGATTCTTACCGCACAGATATGAATGGGGTGAACAGTCCTTCTAACGTCCCATTTCTCATAATGCTTGGTATCTGTTGCCCAAGTACACTGAATGTATGATTCGACCCGATGGATCTTCCAAATAACGAATGTCCGCATCGTGAATCTGAGGGCCAGACCCGCGTACATGGTCACCCCAAAATTGCACAGGCATAAGAAATTAATGCATGGGAAGCTTCCTTTGTTGTAAATTCTTCCACAATGCAAGGCTTTGAGAAGACATCAAAACTTAAGTATGACAGACAGATGTTTGCCATGTCAACTTCTCCGGTGAGAAACCACTTCTGTCGAGTCCGACGGAGGTATTCTGTCAATGTGAGGTGACCAAGCGCATGAGCTTCTTGCTGTCCATTCTGATGGCAACGAGGCCTTTCGTCACATGCAGGATGTTCTCGGCGCCAAACGCCCTTGGGATAATGCTGAGTATCTCCAATGCGCGTAGACAGAGCATGCTAAAGTTCCTCTAACCTGAGATTCCGTCGAGCACGGGAGATAACATATAGAACCTGGAGTGCAAATTTCCTGTTGGCTGGCTCTTGGCCCATTATTCGCTCGTTCATATCGTTTTCGTACAGATCGTCCATAGTTTCCGACAAGTCTCGTCTTCGTTCTTGCATCTCCGTGACCGCGTCCTCGACGCCCCGATGACTCGGCAGGCAGTTCAAAGAATTCGGAAGCCAGCGCTTTCCTAATCAGGATTGCCTTTAGGGTGAATTGCATAAGGAAGCTCCTCCGGGAGGTGTACATAAGATGAATGGATGGCCAAATTGACTCTGTGCCACAGAGCATTTCGGGTGTCCTTACTTGCTGTTGACATCAACCTCAGTCTCCCAAAGAAAAACGCACGAAGTTTTCTCTCCAGACAACGACGCGTCTCATCATATGTTTCACTCAAATTTTGGGGGAGGGGGTGGGGAATCGCCTTCAATAATGCCTCCAAGTCTCGTTTCAATAGGAGTAAACTCCCAAGAAGCTCGTAAGGCGTGTGGGGGATGGTTGGTTTTTTCTCAAGAAACATGCCCAGAACAGCTAGATTTGCAACAACAAACGGCTAAAGAGTACTGTACCTAAAAGTAAGCTTCGAAGCTCAAAAATAAGCGAGGAGTGAACCAACCGCTGAACCCCTTAACTCCTTAGCGAAGAGTTGCTGGAACATGTGCACATTTGGAGGAGGAGCGCTTTCGAAAACGAATCATCCTACCTAAAAATTATTCTATTTATAAATGCCCTTGTTTGTAGTATACATATATATCTTACTGCTGTAATAATCTCCCGTATCCCACAGTGACCTAATTTACTTGTGCAAAAAAAGGCTCGGTTGATCACGTGCGCCCTATCTCTCAAAGAGAGAACCACCGGCTCGTCCATAGGCAAGATTGACGGTGACGGTGACTCTATAAATTAATTCTTTCAACATACCTCCTCACCGTTCGCTCTCGTTTCCTCAAACCGCTGTCAATCTGATCAACGACATTCTTTTTCGTGAAAGCGTCCCATTTTGTACAAGTCTCTGCCATCACCAAAGGGATCTGTCTCTGGGTAATATCATTTGGCCTTTCCATAAACGTCATGAAGAGGCCTTGAGACAAGTGCCACCCGATGTGGCAGTGAAACGGCCATGTTCCTGGGTTATCCGCATCAAATTGAAGGACAACATGGCCAAAAGGAGCCAGGTTCTGGGTGTCCCGACGCTGAGGATTCTCAGGGTGGTTGATGGAAACGCCGTCCCAGAGACCGGCCCCTTCGTGGAGGACAAAAAAGTCGTGGCCATGTAGATGCATTGGCTATGTCTCCTATTAGCTTGGGAAATTGAGAAAGGTACAATACAACTTACGTGAGGGCTCGTGTTGTTGTTATAGACGTTGATCCGGATACTGCTGTTCGTCTGGAAATTGACGACGTTCCATTTCGGGTCGTAGGGGTATGAGTAGTTTTTCTGCTCGGCGAGAAGCAGGATGGGGTCATTGTAGTCGCCCTGAAAGGAGTTCCCGTTCATGTAGAAAAGCTTTTGTCCTGTTGCGTTGAAGCCTTGATTGATGAGGATATTGTAGGTGACTGACGGTTCAGGGAGGGCGATTGGGTAGTATGGCAGGGTAAGATCGAGTGGGTCCTGGTCTGATTAGCAATACTCTCATATGTATTAGAAGCAACACCAACATTTGCGCACATTCCATTGTCTACTGGAGGGGGATTTCCCGTTGTGGTGGGGATCGTATCTTCTGGATAGTCGTCCAAAAGGATGATTGCCTGAGCTTTAGGTGCTACTGATCGTGCTCCACCGCAAAACTTGCCACTGGTCTGGGTTCGCATCCAGATTGAACCATTTCCTCTGGGAGTGAAGAGTACGTCTGTTCTCTGACCGGTCTTGGATGTATTAGCTGAAGTTGTCATGACCTTGATCGTGGAACACTCACTCCAAGAGTCACAATCGTTGTGTTGTAGGGAATAATGTCCACAAAATCATTGGAGATAATTGTTAACTGATGGTTGTCGATTGAAAAGTACTCAATCGAGCCTGCTCCGGAGTTGATGAGGCGCAACTTGTAAGTCTTTCCAGTACGTACCCTGAACTTGGAGTACGTCGCATCGGAAGAGTCGCAAGTGCTACCTCGAGCCGCCAAGCTACAGTTAAATGGCATCCTCCCATTGATTAATGTATTGTCCGCAAATTGAGCTTGGAGAGTAACATTGCTACTCATTTCTAAAGAACGTCAGTCTCGACTTCAGGTTGGATAACTATGGGATATTTACCATCTTTAAGTACGCTAAAATATGGTCGATGGAAATCTGCATACCGTCAGCTAAAACGCTGGAAGAAGTTAGCCAATGTGAGGTCGTACAGTCTTGAACCATGATGACTCCCAAATCTTCATCAAAATTTGTATGTGTTGGGCCATAGATGACCATGGCACCGAATAGTCCGTCAAGATACTGGGCTGAGTAATGAGAATGATACCAACCAGTCCCATAAACGTCGGCTCTGAATCGGTATCTTCGGTTTGATCAGCGATGACTGCGTTCTGCGCCTTTGGCAAACTCACGTAAAGGTTGATCCAGGAGCGATAGGACATTGGCTAATACTCGGAACTCCGTCCATCCAAGGCGTTTCTTTTTGTAGCAGCCCATGCCAGTGGATGCTGGTTCCATCTTCTGGCCCTGAAATATTGTTGTGAACGGTGACTTCAGAACTGTCAACAGATGCTTAGAAAGTTCAGCAATAACCAACCTTGGATCCAGTCACCCCAATTTGCCTCAACAAGGGGACCTGGAAACTCATTGTTGACGAGCATGACTTGCTTAAGAAATCCATCAGGCGAGGCGGTTCCCCGGCTGAGCGTAAAGTCATAATATCTGGTCACTCCAGTATGTGGTGGATGTTTCGGATCATCGTGCTTAGGGTTCTTATTTCCCCATGGAAGTCCGTTCGGAAGAGGCTATTCGTTTGGATCAGCACGTGAGTGCAGTACCGTCTGCCAAGAGTACTTGCATTATTTTCCAGAAACCTTGGCAACCGATTTTGTTGTAGAGTTCCCAAAATCGATGACCTGTTTCAATTAGTCTTACCTCCCCCTCAATCTAACAAATGAATCACGTACCCTTGTGGTTTAGAATCCGCAGTACATAGAGCCAGCACAGGGAGAACCACTAAGAGAAGACGACCAACAAACATCGTGAATTATTCAAATTTAAATTGTTTTTCTGAAGTAAGTGGAAAAGAAGCAGGTTTGGTGCGTCTTCGATGTCTTTTAAAACAATGCATTGCTAACAAAAAAGATCAGATGAAGAGCCCGCATGCTGCGGCTGACGCGCCAATTCGGTCAACGAAGGTGCCAAGTGACCAACCAGGCGGCGCGATGAAACTTTTAAAGCTCCGCACTTGCGCTTTAAATCAGGCTCTGGATCGTTGGGCCGAGCTCTCTGGCGGTTCTTTCGATATGTGCCTTGACATATCTGGACCGAAAATGGAAAATACAAGTAAATCGGGCTTGCCTCAGAGGCTGGCCGGCCCAAGTGAGAGTGAGATGCTTCTGCGATGAACGTAGTATGTCCCAATAAGTTGGGCCTGTGACAATTGTCAAGCACACACTATTTGTAGGTAGGCTAGAGGTTTTGGTGCGCACGGAGTATGAATAAATTGGCCTCTGATAAGGATCCCATCACGAAGAAGGCGAGTAAGGGTTGGTCTGGTCTGGTTGAGTGAGATCCAGGGATCGCCACGCCAAGACGGCCCCTGAATTAGCGAGCCCCGCCTCGCCCCGCCATCTCTCCCGCTCCTCTCCTCTCCCTTCCATGCAAGTCATTCATATCCAAGAAAGGCCAAATGTTTGCTTGCGGTATCTAGAAGGGGTCGAAGAAATCTCTCAAAGCATCGATATTCCATTGAGACTTTCTTATGTCCGATCTCCGAGCGAAAATGGCTTCGGTCTCCGAAGGAGTCGTACTGAGGTAATCTTGCCTACTGTAGTACAGTAACGTGTCACTGGCAGTAGAGTCAAAGTCGAGCTCAAACTCCGGGAGGGCCAATCAGCATCGCCACATCTCCTCCCACGAGTGCCGCGTGGGAGCCGGAGCTAAACCTTGTGCGTTCTCAGCCCCAGCCCCAGCCCCTTGAAGCCTCTCTTGACTCCACTTCACCTTGCCATCGTTCATCGTCCTCAAGCTTCAGTCGTTCGCGCAGCGACTGCGGCTTGTGGTTGGATCGGAGGAAGCCTTGCAGCCATGCCTATCTGCATGGTACCCAGCGGATGAGGAGATTTGGGCTGCATTCGCAAGTACCGCATGTCAAGTTCTCCGTGCCGCGTTAGAACTTACACGCCGAATTCGTGAAACTGCCAGCCATGGGTCCATGACTACTGCCAGATGGCCACTTGAATCTCATTGGACTGCATTGGACTTAAGGTAAAGGCGAACTGTTTGTTAATGCCGCCGCTTCATCGCTTTCCGATTGCTGGTGCGGCTGAGGCTCCCTGCAGTGGAAAGTTTCACATGCGGAAGGAGCTGCTGTACCAGTACCTGCAGCCTTGTTCCCCTCCTGCGCAAGGCTGAGAGCTCGCTGTTAGCATTATTTCCTGCTCCCAATCCACGCTCCCGCCTCATCCTCAAAAGAATAAATACTCCCCTATTCACCCTCCTTCCCCTCGTCCATTCACTCACATCCATCATCGTTCGATCAATCTTCTGAACCCCTACCCTACAAAACCTCTACTACCTGCCAGCTTTTACTTCGATAACAAACAAACACCCCCTCTCCGCAACAACAACAGCCACATCGCAATGGCATATCAAACTCCTTTCCTCGAGGCCATTAAGGTCCGCCGCACGATCCTCTCCCTTGCGAAGGAGTCCCCAATCTCTGATGACCGAATTGTCATGTGTGGTAAATACCCCCGAGCTCCCCATTCTCGCTGGACGGGAGCTTATCACAACCTCTCGACTCCCTCCACAAAGAAATATTTTGCTGATTATTTTAGTCAACCATGCGATCAAGCATGCCCCGTCACCTTTCAGCGTCCAGTCCTGCCGTGCAATCGTTCTCTTCGGTGCGCAGCATGAGAAGCTGTGGGATATTGGTATGGAGGAATCGAGAAAGACTCTTCCCCCTCCTGTCTTCGCACAATACGAAGGCAAGATCCAAGGATTCCGCGATGCCTATGGCACTGTAAGTCGTGCCCTTCCGATGTGTGCAAGGTATATAGCACGGAACTGATATCGGTCACATAGGTTCTCTTCTTTGAGGATTCCGACGCGGTCAAGGCTCTCCCACCCCCACTTCAAGATCTTATGGCCAAGTACCCTGATTGGTACGAGCACTCGAGCGGGATGAACCAGTTCATCGGTAAGTAACATTCCCCGAGCTCCAAATTAGGCAATACTGACTCCGAGGTCATCCAGCATGGACTGCTTTGGCTAACGAAGGTCTCGGCTGCAACCTCCAACATCTCCATCCAACCATCTCAAAGGGTGTGGCAGAAACTTGGGATGTCCCTGAAAGCTGGACCCTCCGTGCTCAGCTTGTCTTTGGCAAGCCGACTGGCCCACCTCGTGGCGGTGTTGACAAGCAATTCGCTGCTTTGGAGCCGCGAGTTAAGGTTTATGGCAAGAAGGCATAGCCTTGGACTGGGTGATAATTTTCTTTTCTACTGCACAGATTGGTTGAGCTTTCATCTTCCACTGGGCACATGGCGAAAGGGTACTTTTCTTGGTCATACTTGGATGCACGAACGGCCTTCAATGGCTTTCTTCGTTGATTTTGCTTGGGCATAGATTAGATCGGGGACTGAATGCGCATTAAAAAGTTGATTTTCACACAAATCGTCTATTTCGGAAGTGTTTTATCGTGCTCAATGGATGCCTGTCAAATATTCTCCACCACTCACAACTGGAGGGGTTCAACTTCTGCAAGCTTTCACTTTCGTAGATCAAACGACTGCAGGTATAGTTTCACTTAGGAGCGGATGTTAAGTATTCTCTAGAAACGTCTCGGGAAGGTCAATCGTCCTCTCTAGGATATATCAATCTCTTCAGCATGCTGAGGTAATTCTATTGGTGCACCACAATGGGCAATGAGAATGGAAGGGCCTCAACCTGCTCACCTTCTTCGAGAACATTATCCCATGTTCCCTTGCCAATTCATTTTGCAACCAAAGCTAGCTCAATTTGGGTTACAAACCAACCAGAGAGTTCTGCAGAGGGTGCGATGTGCCTTGAGTGTCCAAGACTGCATCCAGACAGTCGCTTTTGGCTTCGCATTTTACTTTGTGTTTTAGGGGAGCATCGTGACGAACATTTTTGGAATCCTTATATTCTAAGGTAAGGCCGCTATTAATATGCATTGCGTTTTCTCTCATTGCCGCGGCACACTTTACAATTTTAGTATCCTTTGGAACATAGCTATATGTAGCAAGATTAAATCCATAGTCTGTTAAAACTTGTAAAGCCCTAAAGAAACTAACAGGTTTGAGGCTAAGTATTAGGAACCACTCTCAGATTTGATAATCTCTTAACTGTTTCAATGAATCTTGAAGTTATTTTGCTCCATCTAGGTAGTGGCCCACAAGCACGTGACCCGCATTGATGTCTCATTTCTCGATTCCTTCTTTCAACCTTACTTCACTTCACCAACCTCATTCCCCGAATCAAACCCCCAATCCCAACCACAACAAGTCATGGCCGCCAATCCGACCTCTTCACAAATGAATCGCCTATAGAACTCTACACTCCAGTCGGTTGGCACTGAAGCAATGCATTGTTCTGCTTGAGGCCACTCGGGGACCGAAACCATGAGCCGCGGCAGCGAACAGAAACGCGCTCAACCTCCATCGACTCGGTCAATCGGGATCATCCCTTTAGTCTCGCTTGAATTGGAGACTAATCAATTGAAAAATCCGGTGGTAACAGGGTACATGCGTTGTCGGGTGCTCTCGGCAACTTTCCATGACGCTTCGATACAACCCTATGAGGATTCGCTGCAGTGCTTGCGTTTCCTCTGCATTGACTTTGTACCTACAATGAATATCTCGCTTCGCAGTTCGGCAAGGGTGATTAATTTGTTTCTGCTATAGCAATCTCTCTGCTGAGCGGCCTCCAAGGGGGGCTGTTTAGATGCGATTTCCACCGATGAGAGCCTCTGTCATCGGACTGGCTAAGTGGAAAGTTCGGAGAAGCTAACAAAAGCTTGCACTATTACTGCCAGGCAGCATGTCGGAAATACGTTTAAATTATCGGGTTCTCTTCCAGTGCCGGGCCAAGGGTAGATCCCCCCGAGTTAACTCTGCTTACATCCCATACTTCTTTGGTCGAGCCTCGAGCTGCAATCGGATGCCGTATCACCCAATCGTTGTCCTGGAGGCAGTCTCGCAATGGCTTTACTTGGCCTAATCGGCGAGCCTGGGCGCTACATATGGTGGGAACCCGAGGGAGCGACGATTGCATCTGTATATAACGTCAGTGATGTGTACTTCTGGAGGCAAGCTCCTGTTTCTCATACACACTCGCTCACTGCCTTTATTAAATATATTTCTGCACACCGCTTCTTTTATCTATTCCTTTCCCCTGTGCTTCTGGTTACCCAATATTCTAGATCCATCAAAATGCTGTCCCCAACATCCACCTCGCAAGTTTTCATCTTCGGTGACCAGACTAGCGCCTTTGAGTCCGATTTGCGTTCCCTCCTCCATGTCAAAGATAATGAAAATCTTCGATCCTTCTTCGAGAAGGCAAACTACGCTCTGCGGCTTGAGATTGCTCGACTTCCCATGTCGCAGCGAGAAATATTCCCACGTTTCACATGTTGCCTTGACCTTTTGCAATACTACCGAGAATCTGGGGGGAATCCAGCTTTAGGCTTGGCCCTTCTCACCCTCAACCAGCTTGGTCGTTTCATCAAGTGAGATTCACATTCCATTGCATCAACTCATGCTGACAATCTAAAGATATTACGGAGAAGACTCGCGACCGTACCCTGCTGCCTCAAATAGTTATGCCATTGGTCTCTGCACTGGTTCTTTTGCTGCTGCTGCTATCAGTACATCTCAGACCCTTTCCGAGCTGATCCCTGCCGCCATTGAAGCAGTCCTCGTTGCCTTCCGCACCGGTCTGGCATCAATCGAGGCCCGAAATGATATCGAGTATGATTCTACTACAGCAGCAATCTGGTCGGTGCTTGTTCCCCTGCAAGAAAAGGAAGTTCAAGCTGCTTTGACTTCTTTCATTTCTGGGAAGGGACTACCAGAGGTTTCAAAACCTTACCTGAGCGCGGTTACGAAAACCAGTGTCACTTTGAGCGGGCCGTAAGCTATCTCTCCTTCATGACGTCTCGATATGGTTCTAACAGAGGAAAGACCTTCCGTACTCAAGGATCTGCTGTCTATACCGCATTTTTCAGCTGTCAAGCCACTGAAACTTTCGGTATATGCTCCGTATCATGCATCCCACATCTTTAGCGCTTCAGTTGTCGATGCAATCCTCGCCGCCTCCGACTCCCACATTCTGAACACATACAAGCCAAGAATTCCTCAGATATCTTGCTCTACAGGCAGAAGAGTTGCAGTGTCTACTTATGGGTCTCTTCTCCGCGCAGTATTGGAGGATATTCTCATTAAGCAACTACGGTGGGATCTCGTGCTTGGAGGTTGCTATACTGAACTCATTCAGACGGCACTACAAGGAGCACAGTTCCGCCTTTTTCCAATCCTTACAAATGCTGCACCGACTCTGGCTTCGTCCCTTTCGCAAGCCGCTGCTCTGAATGTCCCGATCGATGGCGCTATTGCAGAGCATTCCAGCAAATCCTTCTCGTCAAACAATTCTGGGAAAATGGAACAATCTAAGATTGCGATCGTGGGCCATTCTGGCCGCTTTCCTGACGCTGCCAGCACAGAGGCATTCTGGGAACTGCTCCACGAAGGTCGTGATGTGCATCGAGCGATCCCAAAGGATAGATTCGATGCAGAAGCACATTTTGATCCAACGGGCAAGACGAAGAACACCAGCCGCATTCAACATGGCTGCTTCATTAAAGAACCTGGTTTATTTGATGCTAGATTCTTCAATATGTCCCCAAGAGAATCTTGTCAGGCTGATCCTGGACAACGTCTGGCAATCACTACCGCTTACGAAGCCATGGAGATGGCCGGGTTTGTCCCTGACACGACTCCTTCCAGCCAACGCGACCGGATTGGTATCTTCTATGGTATGACGAGTGACGACTGGCGAGAAGTCAATAGTGGTCAGAATGTCGATACTTACTTCATTCCGGGTGGAAACCGAGCCTTCACGCCTGGCCGCATCAATTATCACTTTAAGTTTAGCGGACCTAGCTTTAGCATCGACACAGCTTGCTCTTCCAGCTTTGCCGCCATCCACACTGCCTGCAACTCGTTGTGGAGGGGTGATTGCGATACAGCCATTGCAGGTGGAACGAATGTTATGACAAATCCTGACAACTTTGCTGGTCTTGATCGCGGACATTTCTTGTCAACAACTGGAAACTGCAATACTTTCGACGATGGAGCAAATGGATATTGCAGAGCGGATGCAGTCGGCACGGTTATACTCAAGCGACTCGAGGACGCCGAAGCAGACAATGACCCCATTTATGGCGTGCTCTTGGGTGCATATACCAATCACTCGGCCGAAGCGGACTCAATGACTCGACCTCACGTTGGAGCTCAATCCTTTATCTTCAATAAGATGCTCAATCAAGCGAATGTCAATCCCCTCGATATTAGCTACATCGAGATGCACGGCACCGGAACTCAGACTGGTGACGCGGTCGAGATGAAGTCGGTCTTAGAGGTATTCGCCAAAAGACCTCGAGGGGTGGAGCATCCGCTCTATCTTGGTTCAGCCAAGGCGAGCATCGGCCATGCTGAGTCTGCTTCAGGTATCTGTTCTTTGATCAAGGTTCTCAAAATGATGGAAAAGAGCGAAATCCCACCTCATTGCGGAATCAAAACTAAGATCAATCACGGATTTCCCACCGACCTTCAGGCTCGAAACGTGAACATTGCACTCGCTCCAACAACGTGGAGGCGCCCTCAGAATGGTAAACGGACAGTGTTTCTGAACAATTTCAGTGCCGCCGGTGGTAACTCCGCCCTTTTGATGGAAGATGCTCCAGTCAGAACTGCCCCAGGTGCAGAAGACGGAAGATCTTCTCACATTGTCTCCGTCTCAGCCAAGAGCATACATTCGCTCGACAAGAATATCCAAAGTATGATCCGGTTCATCGATGACACTCCGGGCCTTTCACTTCCAGCCCTGTCATATACCACAACAGCTCGTCGCATGCATCACAACCATCGGGTTGCCGTTACAGGCCACGATGTGCGGGAAATTAGAGAAGCTTTACAACAACTCGGCCCCTCAAAGAATATACGACCCATCCAGGCTGCGAAAATACCAAATGTTGCATTCGCGTTCACTGGCCAGGGATGTTTATACTCTGGAATGGCCAAAGGTCTCTTTGACAATATATCCTCATTCAGATCAGACATTCAACGTTTCGATCAGATTGCTCATAACCTTGGGTTTCCTACCTTCCTTCCTCTCGTCGACGGCAGTCGGGATGTAGATGAACTGGGACCCGTTGTTTCTCAACTCGGCGCTGCTTCTGTGCAGATGGCCTTGAACCGTCTCTGGGCTTCCTGGGGCGTTGTTCCTAGGGCTGTCATAGGTCATAGCCTTGGGGAATACGCGGCACTGAATGCCGCAGGAGTTCTTTCAGTCAGTGATACTATTTATTTGACTGGCGCCAGAGCAGAATTGCTCGAGAAGTACTGCACCATCGATACGCATTCTATGCTTGCGGTTAAAGCATCCCCAGCATCTTTGGACAGATACGTATCCAAGACAAGCTGCGAAATTGCTTGCATCAACGGACCGGAAGAGATCGTACTAAGCGGAAACCTCTCTGAAATCGCGACCATTTCCCGCGATCTCACAACAGCCGGTTTCAAATGTGTGAAACTTGAGCTCCCGTTCGCGTTCCACTCAGCTCAAGTCGAGGCAATTCTTGAAAAGCTCGAGGCTCTTGCCCAAGACATCGTCTTCAAAAAACCATCGACACCTTACATATCACCTCTCCTCAGTGAAGTCATCACAGAAATCGGTGTTCTGGGTCCATCTTACCTTAGCCGTGCCTGCAGAGAAACTGTGAACTTTGTTGGTGGTCTCTCAGCAGCAGTCGAGGCCAAAAGTATCAGCGACAAGACGATCTGGATAGAAATCGGAGCCCATCCTGTGTGCTCATCAATGGTCAAGTCCACTATCGGAGCTCAAGCCACCACCGTTCCCACTCTGCGCAAGAGTGCGGACACTTGGAAGGTCATAACAAATAGTCTTGCGGTTCTACATACTACTGGTATTGACCTCCATTGGAATGAATATCACAGAGACTTCAAAGAATCCCAGTACGTCCTCCAGCTTCCTACCTACAGCTGGGACGCGAAGAACTATTGGATCCAATACAACAATAATTTCTGTCTGACGAAGGGCAACGACATTTCCAAAGCTATCTGTGCACCGGAACCGACTTTGTCCAGGTTCAGTACAACATCGGTGCAGAGGATCGTGGAAGAGAGCCACGGACCTCACACCTCGGCCATGATAATTGAATCCAACCTGTCAGACCCTGTGCTTGCAAAGGCCATTCACGGCCACAAAGTCAACGGTGCCGCTCTTTGCCCTTCGTCTCTGTACGCAGATATTGGTCTGACCATTGGAGAGTACCTACTCAAGAAGAGCCCAGTGTACGATGAGTCCATTGGTGTAGACGTCGCTGATATGAAAGTTGGGAACCCTCTCGTTGCCAACGGAAATCAACCCCAACTTTTCAGAACTTCCGCATCCGCCTGCTGGGACACTCGTACTGCCGACCTTCATATTTACTCAGTCAGTGCCGAAGGCAAGAAGACGATCGACCATGCCAGATGCAAGATCAGGTTTGGCGATCGAAACGAATGGTCAAAGGAATTCAAACGCAACGCTTACTTGATCAATCGTCAGATCGCAGCCCTCCAAAATGGAGTCAATCACGGAAAGAGTCATAAGATCAAGCGTGGCATGGCCTACAAGCTGTTTGGCGCCGTTGTGCAATATGACCAAGCTTACCAGGGCATGCAAGAAGTCGTCCTGGACAGCGAAATGCTTGAAGCCACCGCGCAGGTGAAATTTCAGACGACAGAGAAGAATGGAAATTTTAATGTTGGGCCATACTGGATTGATAGTTTGGGACATGTTGCTGGGTTTATAATGAATGCCAACGAGAATACGGACCCTAGCCTTCAAGTATTCGTCAACCATGGATGGGATAGAATGCGATGCACGAAAGCATTTTCTCCGGAGCGAACGTACCAAGTCTATAACCGAATGCAGAATATCGGAGGAACACTCCATTCCGGTGATATTTATATTCTGGAGGACGCCAATGTCATAGCTGTCTTTGAAGGTGTCAAGGTCAGTTGTACTTCACCAAGCCCGAACATTATACTGACCGTAAATAGTTCCAAGGAGTGCCTCGCTCCGTGCTCAATCATTTGTTACCTTCCGAGAGCAAGAGTTCGCGCAATTTGCCAGCCATCACGGTCAGCGAATCGTCAAATTTCCCCAAGAGTCAGAGGTTAAAGCCTGTCCAGAAGGCAAATTTGCCTCTTCCCGCAGCTCTCAACACGAATAAAGCGAGTGTTGCAAACCGAGTGTTGGCAGTTATAGCGGACGAAGTTGGCCTTGATATCAACGATCTACTTCCCACCAGCAGCTTTTCAGACTTCGGTGTCGACTCTCTGTTATCTCTCAACATCACTAGCAGATTTCGGGAAGAGCTCGACCTTGAGGTCGAGTCTTCTTTATTTGCGGACTGTCCCACTATCAAAGATCTTCTGGCTTTCCTGCCCACTGGCGCAACCCCGCCGGATTCCAGTGACGAGTCGACTGCACCGTCTACTCCGGAACTGGATTCGCTTTCTGCTGCCACATCGACAACAGATGAGACTGAATATTCGCTAATTGGCGATGAGATACATTGTGACGAATCTAACCTCCTTGCAACCATCCGACTTACCATTGCGGATGAGGTCGGCATCCCCGTTGAAGAATTGACGGGCACATTGCCTTTCAGTGATGTTGGCATGGATTCACTATTGTCTCTTACAGTTCTGGGAAAGCTGCGAGAAGTTCTGGACGTTGAATTAGATGGGACGTTCTTCCAAGATAATAACTCTCTTGACGAGGTGGGGACTGCTCTTGGTCTCAAGACCGGGTCCTCAACTACCCCCTATCAGGCTCCATCAAGTCTCGATCTCGTCGTCAAATCCGTCACACACCCACCGGCCACATCTATCATCCTACAGGGGAATGCAAAGACTGCTCTAAAGACGCTATTCCTCTTCCCTGACGGATCTGGATCCGCAACATCTTACGCGCCTCTCCCGAAGATATCTTCGGACATGGTTGTGTACGGTCTCAACTGCCCATACATGAAAAATCCGCAAAACATGAAATGCAGCCTGGATGAACTCACCCCGAGCTACCTCCAAGAGGTTCGTCGACGGCAACCCCATGGGCCATATTTCTTCGGAGGCTGGTCTGCAGGAGGGGTTTGTGCGTTCGACGCTGCACAGCAACTCGATCGTGAAGGCGAAAAGGTTGAACGCCTAATCCTGATCGACTCCCCATTCCCTATCGGCCTTGAGAAGCTTCCACCACGTCTCTACGATTTCTTCAACAGCATTGGCCTCTTCGGTACCGGAAACAAGGCCCCACCTGCTTGGTTGTTGCCTCACTTTCTGGCATTTGTTGATTCGTTGGATCTTTACAGAGCCGTTCCATATGAATCCAAGAACGCTCCAAAGGCGCATATTATCTGGGCTCGGGACGGGGTTTGCAAGAATGCTGGAGACCCAAGGCCTCCCATGAGAAATGATGATCCAAAAGAGATGAAGTGGCTCCTGAATAACAGAACAGACTTTGGTCCTAATGGATGGGATAGGCTGCTGGGGGATGGCAAGGTGGTTGTTGAGACTATGAATGACGCGAATCATTTCACTATGATGGAGGGGCAGAAGGTTCAGGAACTTGCATCATTTATCAGGAGGGCTATGCTGTGAAGGGTCATTTGCCCTTTCTTCTTTAGATTTACCTGTTTCCTTTTTTGTTTTTACCTTTCCTGTCTTGCATGTTGGGTAACTGAACATTTAGGGGTCTTTTATTATTTTAGTTTTCATAGAGTGAATAGAACAGAATCTTGAGTATTTCACATACCTACATCAATGCGCTACTTTTATTCATCTTGGGCTTCTCTATATGACTTTGTGGCATGGGACAATGATTGGTTTCTTATCAGTGTTGGTGGGCGACGTTTGCAGGTAGAATTTCCGATCGATCGCCAACAATCAATTCACCAGAATCCATAGACCAGAATTGAATCGAAAGTGAATCTAAAGCAAAATCCCAGGTGGTCGCGAACTGAAAAGCATTTGCTACTCCAGTTCGAATCCTTCCACCTTTTATACAAAGCCTCACTTTCAAGCGCATCGTCCCACCACGACCACGATTGGACAACCCCAATATAGGGCGTATTGTCCTACCACGATTACAATGGCCCCCAAAAATGCATGAGGAAGTGAGCTGGCGAAAGCAAAGGACCGCGGACGCAGCGGCAAGACGGCACTTGCAGGAAAGCCACTAGTAGCACTCCCCACGGGCAGCCAGAAAAAGCCCAAGATGAAGCCCGGTAGTAAGTAGACCCCTTTGGATGTTATACTTGTTCTTCTAACCCTCCATATAGTTTCAGCTTCTGGTAAGATTCAGAAACGCCGAAAGTCATACCGGGTCAAGCTCTCTATCCCACGCCTACTTTTCACCAGAAGTGTAAAAGAGATAATGGATCACTCCGAGAATGATCCCCGTATCGAATGGGCCGCTCTGAAGCCCTCCAAGAAGCTACAGAGGTATTGTTGGTCCAAGGGTTTGAGTGTTTTGTGTTTCACCCTTTTGAGGTAGATCTTTCTACTAATCGATGTCGCATTGTGCAATCTCTACGCTGTAAGATAGTTAGCTTACCTCATATCATTTCCATATTCTGCCTCTAACTACTTCAAGCTCCACGCAAAGAGAGTCACTATTTACCCTAAGGATATTGCTCTTGTGGAAGCCATCGAGCCGCCTTCCTGGGTTATAGATTGAGCGTTCTGGCAAGCATTAGCTGGCAGGAGATATTGGAGCCTTGTACGTTGCAGACTGGGAAGGATGATAAGCATATGGACTAGAGGCATAGAATGGAAATAAAGTGGCCTGCGAATGGATCTAAGTCCCTGAAAGAAACTGAGTAAGAGATGGATAATTGATTTCAAATTGAGAGGTATAAAGAACATAATACATTGAGCCAGAAAGCTCGATCTTGAACGCCGGTATCTTGGCCCCAAGCAAAATCACTCCCGGACTCTAAGGACTCCTGTACATGTATACCGTTTCCCAAAGGGAATAAGTCTCCGCATCTAGCTATGGTGTGTCGTCTTCCTCGAACTTTCCACCCTTGACACCATATCTCCACCCCATATAGCTCAAGATCCCCACTACACTTCCCGCGCCTATACCACCGACAGCACCTCTCCAACCCAGCCCTTTCACCTTTGATGCTACAGCCGCCGCGGCAGCGGCCATCCCGGCATAAGTCCAGTCGTCAAGTTCCGTTTGGCCTTTATTCCCTCTCAACCTCCAACTCCTATCCTGCCACTCAATTGCTTCTCTCCCGGACATTCGAATCGGCAGCCCCACGGACAATATTCCCAAAGCAAGGACCGCGCCTGTTCCGGTACTACGGAGAATCATCAAGTAGGCGGGAAGGGGCGAGATGCGGGGGGAGAGGACATTGAGGCGGCGCAGTGTTAGGAGAGAGAGTCCGACTCCGGCCCCGCCTAGAGAGCTGGCTTGAAATGCTCTGGTAAGGACATGAGTTGTGAGGATGGTTTTGGCGAGAGGCTGGTCTTCTGCATAGGCTGCGTGGGGAAAGAATCGAGACATCGTGAGGTTCAAGTTGCCGGAGCTGGGCTTGGAGAACGATGTAGCGTCGCCGCGTCAGAGTCTTGGAATCGCAGAGCTCCTGTGCTACTATCCTGTAAGTAGTCGTGAGTTTGATAGCAAGATGGTGTAGCAAAGAAGGGAGCCGCGATGGAGGTTTTATCATGCTCGTGTGGACTGATTCTGATTCTGGAAGCCAGAGCCAGTTGCGTGCGTAACCTTACAGTACTGTAAGCACCAGGAAGGTTAACAGTGAGACGCGGGGCAATTGTTTTGCGGCTGCCCGGAACACCACGCCCGTAGCAAGCTTCACCTGCTACGAGTAGAGAGGTTTAGGACAAGATGCTTCAGGCTTTCGTCGTTGGGCCTCTTTCCTTCGAATGGCATGGTGTGGGGAGTAGTGAGAGCTTCTGCTGCTTAGCTAGGGTGAGTGAGTATGGCAGGAATTTGAGGTGCGGCAACCTTACTCGTTAGGGCAGGATTTTAGGCGGTAAGTGGTCAAAACACTCCTCGCGGTAGTGCACTGTTACCACCGTACGAATCCGTTCTGAGAGATTGAGGTCATCGGGAACCGACCCGGAGCAAACAAGTCATCGCAGTGCATTCAGCCGTCCCATAAGGTTATGTCCAGCGGAGACAGCTGCACCTCTTTAACCCGCGACGAGGCACTCGGCCTCCCCAGAGGGATTCCCTCCCACCGGATGAGCTCCACAGCTCTTAGGTCGACGTGGTAGGTGAGATGACTTCGTTCATCTAACCCCACCGCCGCCAGGGCTGGGCGAGCTTTGGAAGAGACTCACTGGAATTGGGATCAGTGCCCTCTACTATGGATTCAAGCACACCGCATAGCTCTTCGGTCCTTCGTATCCCCGAGAACTCGAGTTTCTCGAATGCAAGTCAAGTCGGCTTTCGCTGGACTTTCATCCCTTTCGGTGCCCGAGAATCGCTACTTTTGGCACTCGAGTCGAACATCAACATGCTACCAACTTTAAAAAGTCATTCCAGGCTCTTGTCTGAATCAGCTGTTCTTTTCTCTACTTTTCGTTTCATTGACCAGCACAAAAGTTTTCACGATTTGATCCATCATGCCGACCGCCAAAGCTTTCAGTCAGGTTCCCCCTTTCCCAGACGATGTTCCCGTGTATGAACTTCCGCGCTTGTCATTGCGCAAGTTAATCTCAAACGATGCAGAGCAGTCAAAGGAGCTTTTCAAATCGTTTCGTGAGCATGGGTTCGCCCTTCTTGACATGCAGGGCTGCCATGAGGGAGAATCATTGTTGAAGGAAGCAGAGAAGATGTTTGAGATCACTCGGGATGTAACAATTGGCTTGGATATTGAGGAGAAGATGAAATATGTTCCTACCCCACCTGTCATCTTTGGGTCGGTGTCTCGTCTCGCCCAGTGCGCGGAAGCTAACCATGTCGCAGATACAGCCGTCAGGGTGCTACGAAGACCGAAGCTGGCCTTCCTGACAGATTCGAATCATTCAGTGTCAACCAAGATGACATATTTTCCAACATACCCGAATGTCCGAATCCGGAACCCATCCAGAAGAACCGTAAAAGCATCAAGTCGTACATCAGCAAAGCACATCGCATCGGAGAACTTATCATGAATCAGTTAGACGACCACCTGCGTCTCCCAAAAGGCTCTCTTGGCTCCCTCCAACGTCTAGATCGAGTTTCTGGGTCCACGCTCCGCATGCTTCGTTATCCGCCGCAGCCAGAAGGAGACCGCCGAACGGCGTTTCTTGGTCACACTGATATCGGCACTATCACCATTCTATTTAACGTTCTTGGGGGTCTCCAGATCTTGCCCCCTGGGCTCGAAGCCCTGGAGCAGAATTGGAGATATGTTCGGCCGGAGCCTGGATGCGCGATCATCAACCTCGGAGACGCCATGGTCGAGTGGAGTGGAGGCATCCTGAGATCCAACCTTCATCGTGTGTACTTTGCCCCTGGAGATCAAGCTGTGCATGAAAGGTACAGCTTAGCATACGCAGTCCGGCCAGAGGGGATTGTGCCGATGAAGAGGCTTGCGATGGAGGGAAGTGCAGTCCCAGATCTGGAAGAAGGTGAAGAAGATCTTGATTGTACTGCAAATGAGTGGTTGGCGAGAAAGGGGGCAGCTATTCGCGCTGGCAAAGACAATGCTAGGAGCAGGGGCGGGAGAGCACTTGAGGTTTACTGATGCTTTCTAGAGTGGCGTTTGCCTTTGGGTTTCTCGAACATGAATATGCAGTTTACAGTAGCCTCTTCTTTTCTCAACTTAAAATCGTTGTTGTTCAAAGGACCAGAAAACGAAATTTTGTGTTAATCTCGTTCACAGTTTTCGTATCCCACGGCTGATACCAGGGCTCAGCGGCCACCCAGTCCGAAGACATAAGGGCACCACAGCGTGACTTAGGCTGGCCTGAAGTATGCGCCGACCACTCCCACCTGTCGAATGTGTTTCACTCAATTAGGCATTGATAACGCCGGGCATGATGCAATCAGACTAGGGGGTCAAGCTGAAGAGGTGCATGAGATCAAAATGTGATCATTGGCAGGATAGCATCCTCGGAGATTCTATCGTACGATTCGAAGCCGCGTTTCTATATAGATGCAGCTGAAATATAGAAGAGAGCGTTGGCAGTTGAAATCTAAATATTCTTTACCCTGATTTCATCAACGGAGTCTAGTTTATGTCAAAATCCAGCACCGTTTTAGACCCCGCCGCCAGCTAACGATACCCAACCCCATGGGTCTGTGCGCACAGGGCATTTTCCGGGCATTTTCCGGGCATTTTCAGGCTACGCGAAGACTACTTCAGGGTCTCGAATAGCAAAAGTCTTCACAATCACTTAACTGTTACAAGACAGCAACAAATAATTACGGCCCACGATCCGGACTTTGAGAATCAAAATAGGCAAAGTATAGTTCTATTAATTAATTCTCAAAATTTAAAAGTTCTAAAATATTCGTTATCACTAAAATGCCCTGTACGCACAGACCTATGAGGTTGGGCTCGTAAGGAGCTACGCATATTCAATGCCGTGCTTAGCAACTTCCGGCTCAGCAACTCGATTTTGAGGCAGTGTGAGGTGAATTCCGCTGGCGCAAGTCAATTAAGAGCGTAGGGCTGAATGTGTTGGAATTCTCAGACGCACCTCTGTGGACAGCTCCATTTCATCACGTGATCCCCTTTCTTGTCCATCGGGGACCGAAAAATCTACGAAGCCACGTCAACCAAGAAGGTCGAAACAAGCATACACGGCCGCACCACAGAACCAATAGAAAGTTATGCCCGGGTTCCATCTTCCATTCTCTCCCGGAAATAGAACACAGCTTTGTCCTGAGTTTTTTTACCAGGTGCATTTACGGATCTTCTGAGGAAGCTTCTACGACCTCCGGGCATTCGTGTCGTCGGCATTCGAATATATCCTCAGACTAAAAGAGCCGAGCAAATTCCTTGCGAAGGAGTATACGGATAGCGACAGGGACCTTTAAGAGTAGAAAAGCCTTGAATTTCCTAACATATGCCACCCGTGTTCGATCTTTTGATAAGCTCTCTCATCCAATGTTCTTTTGTTCACAATCTGCAACACGATGTTTCACACGAACCTCTCCCCAGAAGAACGGGGCTACCTATGGAAGAAGTCCATCCATGATTCTCCATACTCGCCGACTTCGTCATCCAGCTCTGTGAGCCCACCTTGGATCACATTCTCTCGGCAACTCACCAATCTTGAACGCATGTTTGAGATCTTCAACAGGGACTTGTATGGCCAGAATTGTCCCTTCATGGGGGCAAAAATCTCTGTGCAGCCGCCAGAATCACAGTCTGGATCTCCATTGTTCAGTCTTTCCCAGCTCGCAGATCGAGCAATTGAAGCATTCTGCCAGACCCGGTGGAAGTATCCTACTATTGCAGCTCGAATTGATGGTGATCGAGCGGTTTATAAGGTTGAGGACAAAGAAGAAGTGAGGTCCTGGGCGCGACGAGTAGTGTCTACAGTTTCACTAGCAGGGGGTTGGGAGAAAATGCGAGAGCGGGTTAGTAGAGAAGTGCAGTTGCCTACGATCGATGGCGACTATTGCACCATGTATATCATCTTGCAGCCATTTGAAGCTTCTCAAAGACAACTGACAGCATTCGATGTCCTTCTGCATACACACCACGCTTTCACAGATGGAGCTGGGATCCGAAGCATCCTCGATGAATTTCTCGCTCGTCTAACCCAGCCTCTGCAGGGGGGTGAGGTCTCGTGGGGGCGGGAAACTGATAGACTGGCACCCCCTTCTATTCTTCTAGCAAAAAATGAAGAGCCAGAAGCTGGAGTGACTCCTGTCGCAGATTCTGGAGTAAGACTGAAAGGGTTTGCAAAGGTAAGCCGTCTTCTTGGTCAACGGATGAAGGTCAGCTAATTCTCCCCACAGCCTGACATTGGACTTCCTGTCTATAAGCCAGAGATCGGGCCACCAAAACCTGAACATCGGGGTAGGTATATGTCTAGGACACTTAATTTGACTCCTCCACTAGACAGTTCTAAAAGTGGTTCTGATAGAACTTGCGGATAGCATTCCAATTCCCAACCGTTTATATCAGTTACAAGGTTGCTAACAAAAAGATATAGGAACTTTACTGGTCTCTCACACCTTTGACAACGATTTCTTGCCTCAGCTACTCGCTGTAGGAAGGAGACATGGGGTAAAGCTTGCTGCGGTGCTTCATGCTGCTTTATTACAGACCGTACACGAGCTATCCGACGACGTCCCGGGCTCTGATGATCTATATAAAAGTGGGTCCGCTTTGGATCTTCGCAATGGGTGGATGGTAACCAACCTATTTCTTTGTCCCATGCCCCGAGCTCCCTATTCCACTGGTCGGGAGCATGAGACATGCTCTCGGCTCTCTCCTAGCTCCCTCCCCTCCAAAGAAACAGGTTGCTAATTCGTTGAAGATATCTCCGTACTCAGAGCACAAGGCCTACGTGAATAGTGCTGTTGCGATTCATCCCATTGAAGTCCCCTGCTTGTATTTTTCCAAGACCAAGGTCGAGAAAAATGGCTTCTGGGAAGCCGCGTCTTTCATTTCCGGCCTATGGGACAAGATCAAAGCAAAGAAAAGTATGGCAAAGTCTGTTGAGGCAGACGCTGGGGCTTTTATAAAGTCGTGGGAAAATAGGAGGTGGGGATCTTTTTTACTAGAGAGATGGTACAGGTTGAGCTAACTGTTTCGTGAAGTGCCTTGAGTGGCACCGCTCCTTCAAAACCTCGGACTTGCCCCTACTTCGTTTCCGATCCGCCTGGTTCGCATATTCTGAATTCCGTTTTCCCTGTCTCCGGGTTTCCTGGCCTTCTCCTTGTTCTCGAGTCATATCAGCTTGCAACAGACCAGACGCAAGCTGTCATGTGAGCCGAGGCCTCAAGACAAGTGTATTATTGCTAACGGCTTATTTCTAGTTCTGCTCGATCTCACTCTTGGAATAACAAACTTACTCTGTGTTTGGTATTTAATGAGGCTCGAAACCCGAGAGAAAAAATAGAACAAGTACTTGCGAAATGGGTAGAAGTTATTCAAGTTATAAAGGAAGATATTTAATAAATATTACTTTACTAGATTTGCTTTTCTTATAATATATATAACTTTCTTAAGTTATAAGATTTCTTAAAGTATAACAGAATTTGGATCTTGCCGAACAAACGTTGGCCTAATCTTCCCCTTCAGGTCTGCGCCTCTATCGCGGCTAACACGCAGTATTCAGTGTTCATATGTGGACTCCGCTCAACTAGCCCATTATTGATCCTCCCCTACCAGAATCATCCCAAAGTTGTTGTTCGAGCATTTGAAACTCTTCTGCCAAAAGCTTCGGGTTATCGCACCGCTCGGCATGATCAAAATCAATCAGTATCGCCTCTCTATTGCGAATGAGAAAGTTGTGCTTGTTGATATCGCCGTGCTTGATTCCTAATTTGTGCAGTTTCGCCAAAGCATGCTGACATGAAGGAAGATCTTCTGGCGTTGCATGACGGCAATCTAAGACCCGTTCAATAAGAAAGCCTATAACCCTGCCTTCCTCTATCAAGTGGCCGAGAAATTCGGGACCGATTTGATGACCATTAATCCATTCGTAAGCAGCTGTTTCGGAGTCGAGGTACGGTATCTACTGAGGCCCACAGCTAGCTAGTCGACAAAACAGAGAAGCGAGATTTGATTTTCTGATTTTCGATTTCTGATTTTCTGATTTCTGATAACCGTATATACCTGCCCCTCTATTTTTAGGGTACGCCTCACTATTACTCTAGTAATTTAGCGCTTATATTACTAAAAGTGCTTCGTAATAGTAATATATGGCCTGAACTTATAATATATTAATACTATTAATACCTTATTTAATTATATTAAAATACTATAATACTTTATAAATCTTTTACTATATTATAATACTATTATTAAATAGGCTTATATAAATGTTTTCTATAAAATAATTATAATAAAATTAAAAGATTTATAGAAAATTAATATTAATACTCGTATAATTAAATACTAATTATAAGAATAAAATATCCAAATATATATTTAAATAGTAAATATGCCTTTTCTTTATATATAAATTATAATCCTATATTATCTAGGAAATATAGGTAAGGAAATACTTGAGGATTTTAAGAATTATAACTATATAGCTTTAATTACTAGAATTATCTATATATATAAGAAGCTTAGTTTTATTTATTATATAACTATAATAGATAGATAAGCAGTAAACAAATAACTATTTATAATACTATAGAATAAGCTAAATAATAAGCGGGTTATAAGTTATAAATAATAGTATTTATATATATATTTTTATTAATAAGGTTTATTAGTAATCCGGTTAGCCTTTTTATATTTTATTATTTTGCTCTAGCTTGAAAAGTTAGGGCCTTATTTACTAATATATTTTATTATTTATAAGGAGAGCTTATATATAATATTATAATTTCTGGATCCCGAAATAATTATACTATAAATATAATAGATATAGTCTAAGAAAAGAAAATATATTATATCTAGGCCAGACTAGATTTAGTTAATTAATAAATATAATAAGTTATTAGTTTAGTACTTTTAATAGTATTAAAGTAAGTATTTTTATATTTTAAAGTTCTTATTTATAAAAAGTATATTCTAAAGCTTTAGATTTATAACTATAAAATAGTATTAATTTATATAAAATCTTTAAGTTATTATTTTACTAGGATTTAGAATATAAACTAGTAATAGATTTTGGAATACTATTATTAGCTACTTTTACTATTTTATTTATAAAGTCTTTTACTAATAATCTAGTTCTTAATTTATATTATTAAATAGAAAGAATATATTATTAAGGCTATTAATAAGATAATTATTAGAATAGTCGGAATTAATAGAAAAATAAAGTTTTAAAGACTAAAGTAAAATAAAGTAAAATAAAGTAAGGTTTTAGATTATAAACTAAAAAATAAAGTAATTTTAAAGTATTATTTAAGTACTTAATTTTCTAGTTCTAAAAAAAGAAATCTAGCTATTTAAATAATAAAATCTAGCTATATTAAACTATAAGAATAACTTATAACTCTATTAATTATAATAAATATAACTTATAAATCTACTAATTATTAGAAATTAAATTATAAAATAACTAAATAAATATTATATTAAATTATAAGTATAATTTAATAAATATTCTAATCTTATAAATCAAATCTTTAGTTCTAAATTCAAGTTATATTTCTAATTAGCTAAGAGCTTACTAAAAGATTTTAGCTATTTATAAGAGGGCTCTTTTAAATAAGAGATAAAATAGCCTAATAAAACTAGTTTAATTTTTATAATTTATAATTATTAGTTAATTATTTAATATAAAAACTTAAATCTCTTAATTACTACTTTTATTTTAATAATTAATTATTAATATAATTATTAATAAAAGCAGATTTTATTTTAAATATAAAATATTATATAAAAAAGTTCTAGTATTTTTTATTTAATATATAATAACTTATATTATTAAAAAAAGTAATATTTAAATAATCTTTAATTATTTAAATATAATAATAACTTATAAATTTAGTCTAGTTTACTTTTTTAATATTAAATCTAACTGAATTAGAATTAGAGCTATAAGTTAATTTACTAATAGTAAATAGAATTCCGAAATAATTAAAATCTAAGTCTAGTAATATTTATTAGTTTTTAATCTTAGTAACTATTTTACTAATAGTAAAACTTAAGTCTAATATAAAAGAAATAAATATATTTAATTTATAAAAAGTATTTTCCTTTATTTTATTTAATAGTTTTAGAAAATAATTCTTTATATAATTAATTAAATAAATTATATAAATATTTTAAAGTTTAAAAGAATTTTATTAAAAATAATATATATTAAAATTACCTAGTAATAAAAAGCTATTATAAAAAGCTATTATAAAAAATATTAAATAAGATATTTTCTTTTAATATAATTAATATATTATTAAAGTCTTTTAAATAAGTTATATTATAGAAATTAATTAGTTATATTTTTAATATATCTAGATTTAAGTCTATAATTAAATAATTAGAATTATTTAGTAAGTTTTAAGCTAGACTAGCCTATAATTTACGGGCTATATAAACTAAAATTCCAGATTTCAAAATACTATAATTTAAAAGTATTTAGTAATAGCTAAAATATATAATAAAATAATATTTCTAATTATTATTATTTCTTATTATTATTTAGAACTCCTGAATTATTAGAACTTTAATATCTAATTCTATAGCTATTTATAAGACATTTTTAGTAATAGAGCTATTATAATTTATATTAATTTATAATATTTTAATATAGTTATTTATTAATAATAATAATAGAAATAATAGTAATAGTTTAAAAAAAATACTATAAAATATTTAAATCTAATTTTTAAAATCAGACTATTATATTATATTCTAAATATCTCTAAACTTAATTATAAATTAGTATATATCTTTAGCTTTAATTTAATATTAAATATATTTTAATCTAATATAATATTATTAATTATATAGCTAAAATACAAGAAATTATCTAAAAACTAATATAAATATATTATAAAACTTTATATAGTAATTATATATTTACTTTATATTAAATAGAAATAAAACTCTTATTATATTATATAATATTCTTCTTTTCTATAAAGAAATAGTTATATAGCCCTTATAAGCTAAGATCTTTATACTTTACTAGAAAATTAATTAAGACTAAATTATTACTAGAAATAATATTATTATTATTAAAAATATTATAAATATATATATTTTCTTATTTATTTATTTCTTTTCTATAATTACTAGCTATAAACAAGTTATAAACTAGGCCCAGATTATAGGTATTATATCTATATTTCTATTATAAGTATTCTTTTTATCTAGCTTTATATATAACTCAAATACTAATATTATTATTATCTTAAATATAACTAGTTTTTCTAAAAATATTAATCTTATTAGTATTAAAGCTAAATAAATAGTTATATTTAAGCTTATAGATTATAAAACCTTTCTTAAGTTTTATTTATAGGCCTCGCGCCTTATCTAATATATTAATATTATATTAGTCTAATTAGTAAATTTAGAGATAAATAAAATCACGTGCCTTATAGTCTTATAGCTTAAAAGTAATAATATTATTATTATAATAGCTATTTTTTAGGAAATATATATATTATAATAATATATAAAAAACTAGAAATTATTATTTAATAAATTAGAAAAGATTATTATACTAATTTTCGAATTTATTATTAATAGTATTTATATTCGAAATATATATTTTAATATACTAGAAAATATTAAGAAAATAAATAAATAGCTAATTATAGTAAATATTACTAATATTCCGGATATAAAAGTTATTTATATAGGCTAGCTATTAATAGTAATAAAGTTTAAAAAGAAATTATTTATAATTATTAGAATTAAAAACCCCGAATATACTAATTTAGTAATTCAGAAATTAGTAATTTGAGATAATAAAGTTTTAAACTATATCTAATTTAATAAAGTAAGCTATAAGAAATAATACTTCTATTATTATAAATATAAATATAAATATATAAGAAATTAATATCTTTTATTTAATTAAATCTATAAGAAATATACTAATATTAGATATAAAATAATAAAAAATCTAATTTTTAAATAAGTAAAATATATAATATATAAAAGAAAATATATAGTAAAAAACAAGAACTATTTTTAAAAAAAAGAAGAAAAAAACCTAATATAAAATAGCCAGAATAGCTATATTATATTTCTGGCTTATTTTCTAAAAACTAAAACTAGTAATAAAGCTTATTTATTTCTTATATCTAATTCTTATAGAAATAGCCGGATTAATTTAGTCTGCTTTCTTATATTAAAGAAGATTTCTTATTATTATTACTATTACTTTACTTATAAAAGAAATAGCTAGCCTTATTAATATATTAATATTATAATAAATAAAGCCTAAGCTAGGCTAATTATATAAGAATACTAACCCAGAGGCATTAATAACTAAAACTATAAATATAATAATAAAGAATATAGTATTTA